TGCTTTATGGCAAGGTCACGTCTTTTGCTGAGGACGCTCCAGGGTTTCCTGGGGGGGGGGGGTTGGGAGGGAAGGGGCACCTAGATTCCAATGGAAAATTTCAAAAATACGGTTCAAAGTGCGCTGAAGTCAGTATGCTACGTTCAGCTTTTGGCTCTTGCTGACAGGAATATGTGTAAAAACGAGTTGAAGCCTCAGCTACTGTATAGTTATGGTTCCCTTGGAGATAACCCCTTTAAATGGCCTTTTTTGCGCTCATAGCCAGTGCTAGAACTTTGCATCGGAATACTCATTATAATGCCAGCTTTTCTGGAAGAAACGATCCTTTATTATTTTAGGTGAAGAATACAAGAATCTTATCGAAAAGCGAGAAAGTACAAGGAAAGATTTCGAAGCTAAATTTACGGAAACAGGCAGGGTGAGACGAAGAATTAGTACAAATTTTCATCCGCAAGTTTAAATCTTTATCAATTTTGGAACAAAGAACGGATTTCTTTGCATTGACAATATATTTTCTGTTGTACTGTACTCCACTTGTATAATGCTTTTCTCCCCCCCCCCCCTCCCCCTCCTTAGTGAGCCTGTTACAGGTTAGGGTTAGCTGTAACTTGTGAACAGTTGCATACGGCAAGAAGCGAAGACGATAGCATGCAACTCGTATTGAGACTCGAAACTGACTCATGATCATAAGATAATTACAACAAAACACAGTAAACAGAAGCAGCATAAATTAACATCGTAATATTCTATAGATTAGCGTCCAGTCTTATCAGAAGCCTCCTCAATGTTTTTAAAAAGAAGCTTTTCATAATCATAGCTCATGTTAAGATATCTGTTTACAGTCTTTATTTTCTTTGGTCCAAACCGTGAAGGACCTATGTATAACTAGAGGATTTAAAATTTTGAATCCTCCCATCCAGCTTGGAGCTTCATTAAACTGTTGGCTGCTACCTTGGCTAGGTTCCTTATACATCGATATTTTTTTTTATATTTTGCCAAAAAGGCTCTGTTTATTAATTGCTTGTTTCTTTTTTTCAGAAATTTCAGTCATTGGAAGAGGAACATTTAACGGAAGTGCTTGCTTTTCTTGGAAAGTATGGCAACTCTTTGACGACTGAAAGAGTAATGCTGAACCAGGTATGCAACATTTTCTGCTCAAAATTTCGCATACTGGTCTATGTGTGTCTTTTTAACAACAAGACGTCATCATATGATTACTTACAGCACTGTTTGGTTCTTTAGATACCCTGAAAGAAAATATTGATAAAAAGTATTATCTTCACGATTGACCTGACTTTCATTAGAATTTTGAAGGCAAATTCTACACAAAGCTTCTTAAGACTTATGTTGCCTTAACCATCACCTTGGCTGTCTTATTTTATTTGTTAGATGTTTTCGTATTATCTTCTTTTTCTCCTTGTTGTGGTGCTTTCACTATTCCCTTAATTTCCTTGCGTTAGTCAGTAATTCTGATCTTGTTCTTATTTTCATATTATTTTACAAAGATTTATTCATTCATTCGTGTGTTTATGAAGGGAGTTTATTTCATATGTCTTGTATTGCTTCAGGTATGCATTTCAGCTGCAAATAAATGCGTAGCTCTTGAGTAAATTTAGATAACCATGGTATTAGAAAGGGTCTGTGTGGCCTGTGTGCCTTTCAGTGTTAATTAAACCAACAATTAATATATTCAGAACAGAACTGATTTTTGCTATGACAAACTCGTCATTTCTTTGCTATGAAAAAATTAAACCATCATTCTTGCTAAACTAAGAAATGAAAATCTCTATACATCCACCAATTTTTTCAAAGCTAAAATTTTCCTATAATTTCGAAGCATAACCCTGCCATCTCTCAAAACATTGCACTTTCACACTGACATGCTTCTCAGTAACATAACAACTACCTTCGGGTGCTAGATAGTCAATAAAATACAAAGTACTTTCAAATTGATCCTTGTATAGAAAATATGTCTTGGAAAATGTTTCCTGTGAACTAAATTTTGCAGTGAAATATCTTTTCTTTTAGATAATCGAAGAATTCTCCAAAAATATGGACACATTTCAAGTTTCAAGTTTGCTAGAGCAGTTTGTTTGTTCAAAAGAGACTGGCAAGGAAAAGCCAGGTATTGCAACCTGTTCTTCTCTCTTTTTGTTGTTTCCTTTAGACAATTGAGTGTTTTCTAGACAACCAAACTTCCGCGTTGTTATTGCAACAAGATTTTCAAAAAAGTAGTTTACAGGCTGCTCTATACCTTTTCTTGCCCTTTGTTGAAAGGATTAATTACCTATACTTCTTAATTTGATTCAAGTTAGGAAGTAGGTACTCATGATCACCTTGGGTAATCTTTATGGGCTTATCTTGGTTCATAAAAGCAAGCATGAGCTCAAAGGTGAAGCTTCAATAATAATACATTTTATATTGATCATTCATTTCTTTCTATAAATTCCAATGTCGTCATGCAACGGTGGTTGAAATGATATCACCAAATGTATGAAATTTTTAGCGATTCGTCAGTTTTTACTTTCTATGAAGAAGCCAATCGTAGAAAAGCAATTTTCAGCAAATTTGTTTCACTAAAATCAAGGATCTGCAATATTTCAGCAGCCAATTGCGGATTAATCTTCAAAAAAACTCAAACAAGGCAGCCAGAACGAGAATAATGATGTTGTCACAGTCAAAACATTTTAGCAGTCTTCTCTTAGTAAATGAAAGATATGCCGAAGCAGACCTCGAACCCAGAGAACGGACATGTCAATACCCCAGAAACCCCCGTAGAACGGACTTGTCAATACCCAGAAACCCCCGTAGAACGGACTTGTCAATACCCCAGAAACCCCCGTAGAACGGACACGTCAATACCCCAGGAACCCCTGTAGAACTGACATGTCAATACCCCAGAAACCCCCGTAGAACGGACATGTCAATACCCCAGAAACCCCCGTAGAACGGACATGTCAATACCCAGAAACCCCCGTAGAACGGACATGTCAATACCCCAGAAACCCCCGTAGAACAGACATGTCAATACCCAGAAACCCCGTAGAACGGACATGTCAATACCCCAGAAACCCCCGTAGAACAGACATGTCAATACCCCCAAAAACCTCCGTACAATGCAACCTTCACGCTTTGTTGGGGTTTGCTGGAAGTAACCCTTTTATACTTTTCGCTAGTTTTTATAACAATTTTGTAAGAACCCCCTTGTCTTTTTCATGGCAAGCCAACCCTAGCAACTATTAAGTGTCCAATCGATACAGTAGCTTCTTAATCCTGTTTTTCCCAGAATCGAGGGTCTCATGTCCAATGTAGTCTTGCGTTGCTGGACAGTCAGGTCATTGATAGGCGGTTCCCACTTGTCGCTTAGTACGTACACCCAGTACACGCAAAATCTATTATTTATAATCAAGGTTTTGCGATTGATGGATATGAGCGTAACCAATTGTTCGTTGAATGACTAACCGAAACACCATAACAGCTCTGTCTTCCACCTTCGGAAGGATTGCTCAACAACGAATTAATCAATTATTTTATCCATATTTTAGCGGTAATGGAGTTCGAAGAGGTTGCATTGTCTGTTCCCCCAGTTGACACAGACGCCATTACAAGTAAGTTATTCAACTTCTGTTCGCAGATCGTAGTTTAGGCAATATAATTTGCGCTATTTTTGTATTTAGCCTGATTAACACGCTTTTTCGACCATTTATCAAACGTCTCAAGGTACCACTCAAAACTAAAAGGACTCGTGGAATATTGATGTCTTCAATGACAGCAGATGTTTTTTATTTCTTCTGTTTCATTCCTCTTCAGGGCTAATTTTTGAACTTTGCTGGATTAGTTTAAAAAGTCCCGAATGAATTGAAAGCATTACCTTAGGTTATCTGTCGGTTGCTGCATTTTTGCTCGAACCTTCGACAAAAAACAATGGGGAAAAGCACAAAATGTTTTCTTTTGATTTGCAGATTTAATTAGGGATTGGAGCAAGTGTTTTTGTCAAATTTTTAAGACATACTTTTACTAACGCAGACCTAACTCAAAGCAAATCGCTATGTAGCAAGCAAAATTTTATGTTTTGCAAAGTGCAATGATGTTATGAATTACTGGTCATGATTTAGTTCTTTGCTGCCAGTGATAGTTTCGAAATGCAGTTAAGTAAAAAATGCCTTGTAAAAAGGTTGCAAGTTATGTGTCGCGAGTAATTTACACGAGATGGGTGCTTGCTATATCAAAGGACTTTCATAGCAAGTTGCTAACCAGTGAACCCATGTCATTCCCCCTCATTACAAACCCATCACAGGTTTCTTTCCCCTTCCCCCTACATCATTTGTCACATACTCCTTAACCTGTTGATAATTTAAATCACCATTTCACTAACAATAACAATCAATAAACGATTATTTAATTTACAATACATGGTCGTTTGCTGTACACCAGTTCAATAAAGTAGACGTTCTGAGACTTTTCATTAATTCGTCAATATATGTGGGCTTTAAAACCAGACTCTCGGGTGCCCACCTCCCGCCGTGTAGCAAAACTGCGATATCGTTTGAAGTATATTATGACTTTAATGTTGGTTGTCTGTGCCTACGGTACTGGTTTTCACCAAAGCAATTATGTTTCCAGATTTCTTTTTGCCCATTGAGAGTAGTTGATTCGTCATGTATTTCGTGTATCAGAGGAATGGTGAAAAATACAGTATCTTGAATTGAAGGGTATTTTATTAGAAGCCATTATTATGCAACAACAAATCCTTTAGTGTGAAAGAGGAAACCTTTCTCTATATTTGGGAGATTGTTAAAATTTCTTTCTCTCAAACATAGATCGAAATCGCTTCAGCTTACAGCTCAAAATAATCAATGACACTGATAGAAGATCAAATTTTGAATGAATGTGTACTCGTTCGTGAAAGGGATTACACTTTCCCATTTATTTTTAGTCTTTTCGGGCGTATTTGAGGATCATTTTCTCAAAAGATCTCGACGTCGCCCACCAAAAAATCACGTTTTCATAAAGGGTCTAAAATTTTCTTGGAAGGTCTGAAGTCCTGGGTTTCAACTATTTAAAAATGTGAATATAACTGCTCTGATTATGGCGAGAAGCCATCAGCGTTCTGCTCGCAATCTTTGAAGTATGGTATAGGAATTCCAAATCTAGGTTTTGTTTTGGCTGCGATAAAAGTCAGAAGAGACGATTTCAAGACCCGCATCAAACTTGAGCCAACTGTGTCTTAATTTTGTTACATTTCGTACTATAAAATAATGTTAAATATTTCTAAAAACAATCTTGTGGTTATTATCTTTTCTCCAAGTAAGATTTCAAGTAAGATGTGCCCGTGTCCTATTCACAGGACGCTTTTCCCAGTTTAGCATTATGATGAAATCAGTGACCCTGCTCGACAAACGTCTCATATGTTTTATGGTCGAGTTTTGAGATTACGATTATCAGGGATTGATCAATTATTAATTTTCCAGTTGGTTATGAGTGGGAGTGATTCCTAATATACTACACATTTATACCGAACATTATTCATAGGTGAATGACCGTTTTTATTGCAGAAATAGTTTTATTCATTTTATGGAATATATATCTATTCGAAACTGGCGATAGCACCTTTGCAACATCAGCTCTGCGCACCAACTGTTTCTCAAAATAGCATCATGGTCATCTTAGGTGTGAGGAGGCCGTTTCTTGAGAGGTCTATTCATACAATCTTAAAGTGAAAAGACAATCCATTTGGGTCGGGAGTTGTGGCTTGATTTGTTGAATTTGTGTTGACAATTCTGCACTTTTCTTGTCACTACTTTATTGTAAACCCCTTTTACAATTACGTTTTTAACATTAGAGCCCCCAATTCCTCTCCACTCTCCTCTCAAATTATAAGGAGGTAATTTCAATCCGGGATATTCTTGGACGAGATGAAGTTGGCGATAGTTATTCCAATGTTTAAGAAATGTTGTCCCTGTCCAGTCTTCCAGAGTTTTATAAATTTCTGTGACGGCATGAAAGATTTTAAGCTTGACAATGTTGATTTCGTGCCAACTTGCGGGATATTTATTGATTAACAAAAGGTATTTGACACAGATAAATGTTTTAGTTATGATATTGTTTCATAAAACTTGAATGTTGTTGTTGGCTTAAAGGAAATCCTTTCTCTCAGATAGGAAAAATATGTATCTGTAAGTTGATCGAACCTATGTGACCTCCATGTTTCTATGGAGTACCACAGGGCTCGGTCCTTGGTCCTTTTCCTTTCTTAATTTGAATTAATGATTTACCTCAATCTTTATCAAAATTTTTCTTCGGTTTATTTGCTGATGATAGTAATATTTTCTATGAAGCTGAAAGTCTCAATCTTTTTCAAAGAACAGTTAAAGACGAATTGAAAAAATTGAAACGTGGCTTGATGTTATCAAAATGCCCTTGATTTTTGACAAGACCAATCTTTGCTCCTTGAAAGTAAAAGGCCTTCTTGCCTGCTTCTGATTGTACTTTGGGCAGAATGATATTTTTTGCATTGGCACGAGTACACTGTCTGTGTTTTTACTCTAGTGAAGTAGTTTCGAAAGGCGTGTGGCGATTAACTATTTGTTTTGATTACTAAGTTTATTATAATTACTTATAGCTCACCTATAGTTTTGAATAATTTTCTCGACAATTTCCCTTCATGCAAATATTCTAGTTTCATGTATTTTTTTATTATTTCTGCATTGTATTTTTAATTGGGTGTGTCGTTATTTTGATTGTCGTACGTTGTTGAGAAGTATTTGTAGAAGTGGATTTTAAAGCCAACTGAACTGAACTGAGCAAAGTCCCGTGTCCATCCTCCTTCAGCTAATAAACCATACTCCAGCCATTTGTCTTTGAACTTGCTCTCACATTGTCTGATGAACAACCTTGAAAGGTTTGTCGACGTACAGCATTTTGATTTTTCCCCATAGTTGTTGTATTTTGCTGGAGATTTATTAAAAATTAACTTGGTTTTCAGGTAAAGAGAACGAAAAGAGAAAGGCAAAGAAAGAAAGGAAGACTAAAAAGAAGAAAGAAAAGGCGAACGGGACAATGTAAGTATTTTTCTTATGTGGATCTAGCGAATCTCCTTTCTCTAAGTGAAACTTGGTCATGGCAGGGACTCGAACTACAGACCCTCGCACAGAAGGGCACATTCATAATACGTTCCTATATTTACGTGAAAAATGATCGTAAGATTTTACCTTTAACACGGATATATGAGAAATTTGATGAAATTTGATGGAATGCAAGCAGAGATCAATCTTAATATAATTTCTTGTTTTTACGTAGGCAAACACACGGAGATCAAAAGAAAACTGAAGTGGTAAGATAATTATATATTTTGATGTAGCAAAACTTGTCATAAAGAAAACATCGCATGATAAACATTCTTTGCTCTTAAGTTCTCGAACGTCGTTTGTTATCTGATAAATCTGCAAAAAAGTGAAATCTGTAATTAAAACCAACAGATTATTATTTTAGCCAATGTAAATTATTATTAACTAGATGTCTTATTGGGCCTGTTACAGAAGGTCTCAATGTCTCAAAGTTTTCAGTTATGACATCATTTTGGAGCTTTAAATCCTTATTAACGAAATGCACCAGCATTGGACAATTGGTTGTGCGAATCATTTTTAATAATAAGGGTGTATTTGATCCTTATATAAGTGCCCTAAAGCAAAGCATAACATTTCAGCCTGCAGGTTTCGTTAAAGCGGATTCTTTTAAACGTTTATTTACTGTTTCCAGGAAATCGTGAGATAATTTTAAATGCTTCCAGACTTTGTAAAGTCTTTTTGCAGAGTTGAGTGTCATGGATCCCTTGCAGCTGTTGAATTTTTACTGTGAACTCAATAAATAATCACCAGCTCCATAAAGAATGGCCTATTTTGTCAGCAGTTCTCAGTAAAGTTGAAGACCCCACCACTTAACTCTTTCTCCAAGATGTCCTTCTCATCAGGTCAATCTCACATTTGATTTGTTTATCAAATTGATCTCTAAGGAAGCTGATATTGCCTCTCTTTTAAGCAAAATATCCTTAGGTTTACGCTTGTTTTACTAAGTTAGTCTTTCTCTCTTGTACATATTAAAAAAGGTCTGTGTTGTGTTTGAAACATTACTCCTTTATTCTAGGGCGTCGAAGTCGACGAGGATGGCTACAGTATTCGCCCACCTGACCCAGACAATGCCAGTATCTTTTCTGTTTCTTTTAGTTTCTTGTCATATTTTGAAACCTGGCATTAGAACGCATCCGTCCTCCATCATACTTTGCAGCAAAATTTCTTTTATCCACATATCTATCAGCCAACGTTACCTGGTACCTTGATCTTTCTAAAACATCGATGAACATATAACTTCTCATCCGATCGCCTTACTCTTGTTATTTTTCAATTTTACAGCTACTCTTATTATCTACGTAACATTTTTATGGAGAGTCAATGCCCGCTTTTGCTATTTTGATGTTCTAAGTTGTGGTATTCAAAGTCTTATGGATCGATCAAACCAATTGTGTTACCTTAAGCTAGAGACCAATCTATTGCCTCTAAACTCTGTTCTCCAGCCATTATTGCCATTGTTTGACTGTGTACGCAAATTGATAATTTCAACAGTCGATACCTACCCCTTAAACTTATTAGGCCTCAAAAGTTGTATGGTGGTTAAGAAAACGCGGAATCCTTTTCCTCTAAACTGTCTTGATTTGGTTAAAGTGACAAAAATGTCTGTCGTGAAATATTGTTTTAGTGAATAATGACATTACGCGAGGTCAGTTTTAATCTACGACTCAGAAGAGTTTGAATTTTTTGTTAATTGATTTGATATATTTGAATATTTAATAGGTCAGTAGTCAGCGTTTTGCAAATCACAGGTCGTTTTGTAAGACCTTCCTCACCAAGCTGTTTTCTGGCGATCTTATTCAAACAATGTGATTCAAGCAGACTAATTTTGCTAGAAGCAACTAGTAAAAGGCAAAGCTGGAGCATACTGTAACCTGCGTAAAGTCCTTCTCACAGGGTCAGGCTTTTTTTTATTTCTACTAATCGACTTCCACTGAACCTGAACTTGTTTGAAGAAATGTCGAAAGGCTATTAAATTCAATTTTTAAAGATTCGAACGTGTGCTCAAATCTCTTAAAGCTAAATCGATAGGTGAATGGATGAAATTTCACTTACTTACACTGTCTGTTGCCATTTAACGCCCCTTTCTTCACGGCTTCAGCAAGGCCGAAATTTGAAAAAGGCGCCAATTTAAAAAATGATCGGCAGACATTTCTCAAAATGTTTACCATTCGTCCCCAAATTTGATAATTTTCTTACCTCGCAGTTTAAAGGGTTCACGTTAAGCAAGGGTTAATGTTTTACTATATTTTTTTGGTATTGTTATGTTCCTTGATGCATCAAAGGTTTGAAGTCTGGAAAGTCAAGAGACAGTTTTTCGTCAAATTCTGGATCGGATACTGGTATGTGGTTGCGAGAATTATTGTCAGTATGTAGATCAGTTGCGAGAGTCAATGATGCCAAAATACCGTAATGCTCTCTTAAGCTCCCTCTCTCTATTAAGCCCCCTCTCTCTATCAAGCCCCCTCTCTCTATTAAGCCCCCCTTTTCTATTAAGTCCCTCCTTATCAAGCAATAACTTAAAATAAGCCCCAACTTTCTATCAAGTCCTTCCTCTTTAGCCTTTGTTATCAAACAAGGTAAACATGTAAAGAAGATGCCCCAGGGTTATCAATTGATCCTGGTGATTCTTATGAAGATACGGACCTTGTAATTGATTGATTAGACTTTCGAAGCTGCTAGCAAAGTTTTCTGAGAATATTTATATGACATTTTAACTTCAAGTTTTCAATAAGCCCCTCTCTCTAATAAGCCCCTCTCTATTTTAAGCTTCTCACTAGGACTGAAAAAAATAAACCCCCTGGGGGTTTAATAGAGCTTTTACGGTACTTGCATAGCCATTTTTGCGCCTTTACTTTTTTCCCTTAACTCAGTTTCGTAGAAGTAAATAGCATGGCTCAACTTTACACCACCAAGTTATTAATCATGATTATGATTATTTTTAAGAGGAAATTAATTGAATAGATTGCAATGTATTGTCTCAACTATTTGTCTTAAAAGTCACTGATACTTTTCGTCGATTGCCAAATCACTTTATGGAAATCTCGTACTCCTTGGAACGTAATCCAATTGTTTTATCAAAAAATTCCTAGGAATCCTTTTGTTATGATGGAAATCTCGTGCGCCTTTTTTCAAGGTTGAATTGCCGCCCGCCTTTCGATGTTCACTTTCGATATGTTCTTTCAGCTTCCTCAAATTGGTACATAGTTCCTAGAAGGCCGCTAATTTAGACTTCCTTCCAAAAAAAGAGATTGATTGCTATTGTAATGATTACGTCAGTAACGGATGGAGGCGCTTGACCTAGTATTATTATTGTTGTTGTTGTTGATTGATAGTTACTGTTTTGATGTTTGGGATATTAAATTACTTACTATACAAGCGGGTAGAATATAACAGTTAGATTGTAAAAAGTCCTATCATCCCAAATCAGATGAATAACATGTGTGCCAAAACCATGGTTAATTTGAAGATGTTATTTGGCTTCAAAGATGTGACAAAAATTTTCAGAAAATGAAGCAGACTTCGATTTGAAAATGAAACAATCTAGCGTCAGTTTATCTAGCTTAATCTGACAATCCTTGAAATGCAAACATTAAGTTCTTTGAACACGGCATTTTAACGTAACCATCATCATTGGATTGCTCTACTGTAATGGTTTCCGTATAACACAAGTGAAAATTAAGGAAGTAGAAATCCTTTTACAGATTCATTGGTCCGCAATCTTTGACAAAAATATGGGAATGCATTTTAAAGATCGATAGCAGTTTAGATTATCACGTTTTCTTTTCGCTCCCCCCTTTCTCCCTTTGTCCAGGGTGGTTGATTTGTACTCGCATAATGCAATTTGTTTTATCCATTTTATTCATGGCTTTTTGTTCTAACTCTGTGTGCCCTGACCTGTGTTTGCCATCCTATAGGATTGATGTTTCGTCAAAGTTTTTTTATCGTTTCAAAACTCTTTTTAATCTTTTTAATCTTTTAAAATGTAGGTACCAAGTTTTTTGATCTATTCAAAACTCAAGAAACTATGAATTATTAGCCCTTTCAATTTTTGAGATAAGACGATCGCCTGATGTGAATTTGAGATAATTGCTTTAAGTCAGTTTTTTCACCTCAAAAAGATGGTAACTTTGCGGCTGATAATAATTTTCAATCTCCTTGAAGATGACGATGAGCCGCGTAAAATTCAAGTGAAAATTAAGCCGAAAGAAGATACGCAAGCAAGCAACATTTCCATCGATGCACTTAAAACCGTCAGTGCTGGCTTGACCTTGTCGTCACCTGGAACAGTGGTAAGGTCCTATTGTTGTATTGCTTATTGTGTTTGACAAAACACTGGACAATGATGTGCTTGCTATCCAAGTACATAAATTCATTTTCCACCATGTATTGTTGTTTTGCATTGTGAATCCATCAGACAAGATTGTCTTTATCGTGAGCTTCGACGTCAAGATTACCTACGTGGGTTCTTTGAATTCGCGTTTTTATTTTCGTTTTTTTTTCTAACACTTTTTGTCTTCAACAAAGCTGATCGTTTGCATATTCTGTCAATATGCTTTTGTTGGTCTAAGTCTAAAGCCTTCACCTTTGTGTCCTTTTCTTTTGCATTATGTAACGTAATGTCATTTGTCATGTCATGTCATGTCATGTCATGTCATGTCATGTCATGTCATGTCATGTCATGTCATGTCATGTCATGTCATGTCATGTCATGTCACATTATTTCACATTATGTCACATCGCATCATGTCACATTATGTCATGCCATATATGCCTATAGTATCTTATTTATATCTAGTCTAGAATATGAAGTAGATTTGATTTTTTAGCTCATACGAATATGATCGCTGCCCGATTTATTTAATGTACTCTCACTATCGGAGTTTTTTCAAACTGTCAACGTTATTTTGCTTTCCAAGGCCACAGGCAATGATTACTCCGGTTTCTCAACCTTAATTATGCAAAAAATAGTTCCCTAGTGACGTCATAGGAATTTCACTTTTTAATAATTGCTCACGCTTATAAGACAATTTAGTTTTCAATGTTTTTATTAGCCCCTCAATAAAATTTAAAAGCATTTACTCCTTCAATAAATTTCTGATTCCTAATTCCACTCTCGTTCTTAACAGCACAAGAAAGTTCTTGGAGGTATGAAAGTGCGTTTATTCGTTCACCATTACTTTATCGTAGATAGCTTCTCGAATTTTGTCGCTAAATTGGCACATTCCTTAAATTACAGAGTAGTCAAATGAAGCCGTCATTTGTAATCTGCCTATATTGTCGACATTTCATGATTTTGGTTTTCCAGCGTTCAACTAAACTTTGAATCAGTCGCTGTTTTGGTTTATCTTTACCCAAAATATTACTATGTATCCTCTTGTTTGCTATGGTTCTTCTCGCCAGGGCGGGCTTTTTCAGCTCCGTTTCTGCATACCCATTAAAAAGTGTAACTTGTACTGACACAGTCTCTATTCGCTACATAAATGTGGATCATTCCAGCTACATTTCGCAGAAAAACTTTGTGACATAAAACAATTTAGTTTTAAAACCTTTTTGGGCAATGTTGCTGCAAATAATCCAAAAGATCTCTCAAAAATGAGGGATCACCAACCGTTTTATCCCGCTTAGCTGATGCTCGTGTAGCTGTGCAGGGTGGGACACGTTCATAAGCAGACAGCCCCTGTTGCTCACACATGTGTAGAGCAAAGAGTACCCTCATTAGAAAACGCTTAATCTCAGCTTAAATCCGATTGCAAGAAATAATCATTGTTGCACCTTGTAATTCGTACTTCTTTTGCTCGTAGGTGCTGCACTTGACATGAAATCAAAGAAACTGTAAGTGTCTTTTTCAATGTGTCTCTCGCCAATTCCCTTTTTTTCTCTAATTGCCTCTTTTATCCGTTAGCATGAATTCCTCCTCAACAGTTTATCTAGACATCGGTCTTCTCAGAAGCTCTAAGAAATTCAAAAAGAATGAAAACTGATTGGGAATTTTGATCTGCCACTTTTCAATACTCCAGTATGAGGACCATGACGTTAAACATGAGTTTCAAAAATGACAATCCAGTTGATGCATAAAGAATTGACTGTACCATGTTGATTTATGGTGGCTTAGACATTTGAATATTTTATCTATCAAAGTCACTCCTTCAATTTTTAATTTAGCGGAAGATTAGGCGAGCTAGTTTCGAAATGTTATAATTGATAAGCTTAAAAAATGTGTTATTGTAGAACTCGTATAGCTATGTCTTAGACACTGAATAATCGGCATAGTGTAGTCAAATCTACTGGTTTCAAACATGGCTTATTTAAAATCTTTAATTCATTAGAATGTCGATTACCACACTGGATTCTCTTTTTTGAAATGAAACTCATTTTATTCATCGTGGTCGTCAAACTGAAATTCATATCAAACTAGGCTCTCCAACCAATGCTTCCACCTTTCACAACTTATTTTGAAATTATAGTTTGTCATAGAAGGTCTTGCGTTGGACCTATTCATCAAGTGATTTTACCGAGCTGTAATTTTGCTTTACAAAAGAAATTAGGCCTTACTCCTGCAATGAAATTGTTATCATAGCTGAACGTAAACCTTCAGCTTGCGTTTAGTTAAACGAACGTTACTGGCTGTAACAAGAAGCCCCGAATTTTATGCAATGAAAAGTCCATCATTATCACAGCCATCGTTAATAACTTGGTAACTCTTCTTTACTGTTCGTGATTGCCTTATTGCTCTATTCCCGCGTTCTTCGCGCATCATGCTGCGATTGCGTAACTCCATTTATGGGACTAACGGTGGAAACATCGTTCTCCCTTAAGAATTCAAATAGTACCGCAGACTACTGAATAATAGACACCTACTAAACTGGGTTTATTCCGTATTGACCTGACCCAGGTTTCTTCATACTGTTAAAGCACCTGCAGCTTAAACTACGTGGTTGATTTAAATCAGATCTGTTTAAACTCGGATAGACCCTATATGGAGATTCAATTTTCTCTATTTCCAATTGACTGAAGTTCAGTCAATATGTACTACACTTGATTTCTGACACTTTTTCTTTTTCAATATGGTAATTTTCTTTTGAAAGATCGAGGTCGAACAACGCCCTTCTTGACCTTGAGCAATCAAGTAATTCGGACACTGCTAGCATCAAAAGTCTGCCGTCAACAACGTCACTAGATGCGTTTCAGCCTACGTTTTTTGGCAACATGTCTGGTAGCGTATCTGGCAATACTTCTAATGACAACAGTGCAAACGATTTCAACAGCTTGTTCAATTCCGGAATATTTGACTCGACGCCTTCCATTAACTCTGGTATGATATTTGGGAAGGACTTTTTTACATTGCCTTTTACATTGTGGTAATTTGTAACTTTTGAAGCCTACCCCTATATTACATTGACCAGGAACTAGTTAAGACCATCACTTCTCTTCTGTTGCAACTTTTTATATTTTTTATGATTGGCGATTAATCATTTCAAAATGATTAATGATCAATAATTTGTGATTAACCCAGACTCCCGAACCACGTGACTTACTACCGGGAAGATTTTGGTTAAAAACACATCATCTGGAATTTGCTTTATTTCGGCGTTTTTCTGATAATTGTTTTGAAACCCAAGTGATTTATAGGCCAGCTCAGAGGCGACGTCTTTTCTGGTCTATTGATTCGCACCTAGACATTGATAGCTGATTATTGATAAACGATAAAACGCTTGCTCGATCATACATGATCTATACTTAACAATTAGGTGATTTTAAATGATTTATCTACCAGATTGGGCGAATGACCTTGGAATGTCCAATGGCAAACCTAAGTCAACGTCAGAAGCACAACGTGAGGATGACGACACGCCACCGCCACTCCCTACAAAGCATCATGTCTCGCAAGAGGAACCGAAGACCCTTCCAAGAAGTAGCCGGGTAGTTTCACCCACGAACGAAATGACAAAGAGCCAAAGCGACAATTCAATAGATAGACCAGTTCCTTTGCCAAGAGTTAAGACTGTATCTGGAGGTCATCAGGTATGTATTTTGTCTCAAAAAATTTTTTCTTCAAAAAGGTAAATTTTCCCAGTTTCCATCTAACCAGTTTGCTAGTAGAAATACCCTGTCATTTGGATTTACTCATTTCTAAATCGTTTGAACTGCTTATATTGTCTTTGAAAGAAACAAACATTTTGAGTCCTACTTAAGCTTTTCGTCTGACATTCTTCAAAGTATAAAACGTCAGGTCATAGATCTTATACTATGAAGAGTTTCAGACGAGAAGTTTAAGCACGACTCAAAATGTTTGTTTTTTCAAACCATTTTTACGTTCCGTACCACCAAAAGATTGTATTGTGTTAGTGTTTTGTTTATCAAGATACGGGACGTTTTTAGAGTTTTTCTAAAGACATATGATGTTGAACGGAAGCAGTCCATGTTGATCTTGATTACAAACTGATCAGTTGTAAATAGATATGACAACATTACCTATCAAGTATTATTGACAACTTTCTTGTTACTGTGTGTTTTTGTTGTCATTTTTTAGTTCCCCTCTCTGGCACCCCCAGTGGCTAATCGAAGAAATACCTCGACGGGAAGAATGCAGAACCGTCCTTTGCCGCCACCGCCAACGCAACAGGCTCAGCAGCCGCAAAGCTCACTGCTCGATCTTATGGATATTTTTTCCACACCTATCAATACACTGGCAATCACCACAAATCAAACCAACAACCAGAGCGAAACAAACTCTCTTGAAGACTCTTTAGGGACTTCATCTCCATCCTTACAAAGCACCGGAGTTGTTTCATCAGTTAACACCACGGAAACGAACACCACTGCGTTTTCAAACAACGCGACGCGCGGTGATCAGCAGGCTCCGTCCACTGCACAAACCAATGCTGTTTCTCCAGAGATAAAGCCACAGGCTAGTGTAAGCAACCGAACCACTCCAATCGCAGTGGCATTTATAGAGATCGTTCACGTCCACTTACCGGTGGCTGAAAAAGTGCAGTAAGTGGAACAGCTTTTTACTTTTCAACTTTGTCATGCTATCGGTATCCGCATTGGTCGCCTAGAAACAGAGGACAAAACCTTTAAAAAGTAATTCAAACACTCTTATTTATAACGAATCTAGTTTCAGGAAAGATGCTTTTTAAACGCTAATTAAGAACGTGAAATTCTAGAAGATGCCTATATAAGCCTATCGGTTCTTTGCATGAACAACGGACAATGTATTTAACAGCCCCTTGCGTCAATTTTTAAGTAGAACTGAATCTATTCAAATGCTTTTCTCGTAGGCCAATGGTGAAAATCACTGGAAACATCACGATATCGTTTTCTTCTTCAATCATCCCTTTGTTAGTTAAAAATCCAAGTCCTTCGGTTCTCAAGTTCGATGTTAATGGAACTAATTCGCTGGAACAGATCTCCCCGGTTAAGGCACTCGTCGAAAAGTATGTATTTTTAATTCAATGTTTAGTTAGTTTGTGATGTTTTTTTAAACTTTGTCGTCTATTCAGAAGCACCCGAGGTGGACTAAGTGATGCAAGGTTTGCCAGTTAAGGTCCTCTTTTAAGAACGTCTTCAGTGGTATGATAATAACATCAATTTCCCGCAAATTTCCCCCATATTTATCGGATTTAGGTTGTCTGTATATGAACCAGCTTTCTTCTTTCGTTTAAATATTTTCTAGCTCCTGAGTATCTTTTGACAAGTTTGTTAACATTCTGTTTCTGGTCACTAAATATCACGTCTCCCCTTCACATTCCCTTCTCATTCTTGAAAGACCCATATTGCACTTTATCCAGTATTCGTCCGACTCCGAAAATCCTTCTGTGAAATGTTGCGTTATGCAAGTTTGAATAGTACTACAAGAATGGCACGTGAATTGCACGAAGCCTTTATTTGCCCCCGATAACGTCTTTGTAGTACAATAAAAACAGGAGGTTCTGAGCTCAGTATGTCACACAGTTTGATCTTGCCCCTGGTAGTAAATCAGCTTTGCAAAACTTGGTAGGATTATTTTAAGTGATGTACATGCTTGGCAATGTCAAAATCACATACCCCTTTCTTCTCTACAATGTAGGTATGTGGGTAGAAAGTGGGGCTGAAGTGGTAGTATTCGACTAATTAATGAAAAATTCAAAACAAGTTTCTTGATAAAAAAGCATACGTTTATCATTTTCTACAAATGAATTCTATTTTGTATTTTGCTGAAGATTTTAGAGTGATTTTTATTTCTTCCAATAGGGAAGGACAGCTGCCTGGTGGAGACACTCTCTGCTACAAATTCAATATGGCAGCGCTGACTGAATACTTGAAGCAACAAGCTGAGCAAAACCCTGCTCAGTATTACAATATCGACATAATCAAGTACAAGGTAACAACATTAAATTTGATTATAAAATCTTACAATTATGCTTTGTAGTACAAAAATCAAGGTTTATTTATGGGGACATATGATGCCCCTTTTCTGTCACAATGTAAGCAACCAGTAAGCAATCACTGAGGCAGTTTTCCCTTGTCCCCCTCTCCCATATCTCCCCCCCCCGCACCCCCACAATCTCAGACCGGTTTAATCTACGCTACCTGTTGTAAAAATATATCAATGCACAACAATTGTTTCTAATACGCCCTCTATCTTTAGGAAAAAGTGACCCACCGATCCCATGGATTGAAATCGTGTAGCTATCACTTTAAACCATGTATCAATCTATTGTAGGTACGAAGCGATGGCATGAAAACCGTCCCTTTACAACTTCGCTCATATTGGAGGTGCGATGAAAAAATGACGGATCTTAAAATAGACTATGAGTATAATTCACTGTGTATGAAACCCCCGTCGAGTTTATCAAGTGTCTCTGTAATTGCGCCTGTTGACGGAGGGGTCGAAATCATGCATTCGAAACCGAGTGCTTCATGGTAAGTGGAGAATTCTCGTTTTGAAAAATGAATATTACCCCTTAATAGAATATACGTATCCATGGAAGGAATTATTGAATCTCTGCTTGAGAACTGCAGCCATGCGATCGTGTCAGCGCACGATTCTTTAAACCAAGATTTTTGATAAAACCAATGCCGCAACAGCGTAGAAAGCTTGTTCAGTTCAACAATGATGTCATAGCTTGACCTCTTTGCACAGTCAGTCGCATTGGATTGCATTCATACGTAGTCAATCAGAGCCCTTGAAAATGAGCGTTTTATTAAGATCTTTGTGTTCGGTACCATGCTGCAGAACCGGCGAAGAGTATTAATAAATTTTCGTGATTTATATTCGATTTATTGTAATTTTGTATTCAATATTTGAAAAAGTATTTGCATCATTTGAAAAGTTTACGATCGTCAAATGATTCAGCTTTTTACTGTGATGCGGATAGATTTAGGCCCATTCAAGAAATTCCTTTGGTATAAAGCTTGTCCATCTTTAAGCTACCGTCTGGTTTTTCCAGAATTGATTTAAGTTTTCACTCCCCAGTAGCCTTTCTCAGATCACTCTCAGATGATTTCTGCCAGTTTTCCAGTTCCGCCCATTAATGCTATTAGATCTAGTGCGCGCAAGGCAACAACTATCGCGTTAAAATATCTTAGTTTTTTTAATGTTTTCTTTTAACGTCAGGTCAGGGGAACATCAGCGAGCTGTGTGGAAAATTCCTATTATCTCGCAAAACTCGGAAAACAAAGGTGTGTAACAATACAGTAAACTTTCGTTAAGTGAGGCTCCGAAAAAGTGCGTCTTTTGCTACGTGGGACCAAATTTTAATGACCCTTGAACTTCCCTATCAAATTTTGTAGAAAAACTTCGCTTAAGTGCAATCGGAACCCGGATAAAGAGGGCTTTTGCTACCTGGTCATTCGTTCCCCCTGAGCTAAAAACTTCGTTTAAGTTGGACTTTCGAAACTCGTAGTGCCGTTAAGAAGTCTGAAATTGTATTGTAACGTTTTCGAAAGAACATGGGACATTTTCACCTTTTTCATTTTTTGTCTTACCTTCCAGGAGATGCTTTTGACTAAGACATGTGATAGGTGGGACAGATTTTTCCATATCCCGCCGAGGTCCCACTTACCTAAAATGCCCGTTAGAACATTGAAGTTAGCAGTAATGTTTCAAAGTGCGTGGAATAGCCAGATCCCCTTTGACTTCAATGTCAGTGACTAAAAAAGTTCATGAATGTGAGTTAGTCTAGCTTTGAATTTAATATCATGTTATATATTTTTTATGTTAATCCTCCTTCTTTTCTTCTTTTCTAAGGTTCTGGTTCGCTTCGAGCAAGATTTGAAGTTTCAAGTGGGCCTAGCACTCCCAGCTCCATAGCAGTTCAGTTTACGTCAGAAGGGTCGACAATTAGCAATATGAGTTTTGATCTAAAATCTCCTGGTTACAAATTGTCGCTTGTAAAGAAAAAGTTCACAAGTGGTAAGGAATTAAGAACTGCTCCAATCGTGTTTGGAGTGCAGCCGTAACCTCTGTTTTTTATATTAAATTGGTCGATTCACCCTATTTATCGTTCGTGTTCTTATTAAACTAGCTGCATTACCATTGTTCTTTTCTTTTTTAATTTTTTCTAATTTTTTTATTGAAAAGGAATAGTGTTGGCTATTATACCGAAATATATGGACGAAAGATGGACATTTTCCACTTTGGCTTCTCAATATTTTCTCTATTACACATTTTTACTAGTTGAAGATTCTCCACCAATTGCATTTCAGTTTGCTCCAGTATAAAATTTTTCATCTCTTGATGCTCGTTACAAACATTTCGCGTTGTGTCCCATTTCCACAAGCGTTTTCCGACAAGTTTGACTTAAGCATCGCTATCCCTATTGTACATTGTAATGAAGACATCCCAATCTCAAAAACATGAATATCCCGAAAAGCCATCTTACAGTGCAGTTTCAAAATTCTTGAATGGTCAAAGCTAGCCATATTCTACTTTATTTAACAATTAACGGTCTTTTTTAGGAAAATATGTGGCAGAACCAGTCACAATTGCTGATAAATCATGAAATGACGCAAACAGATGTGGATTTAGTTGCAGTGTGGGGATATGGGAAGGTCTCTGAGGCTATTGTGATGGACAATTTGTATACCAAGGGAGTAATGAGCGTGGTTATTAAAGATTGTATGCATCTTAAATGATCGAGGTAAATTCTTTCGCGAAATACGTACATGACATCGCTCGCAATAGCTATATCTAGGTGTTGCGTGGTGAAAAATGCTCATGACGTCACTTTTTTAGGCTAGAATTGCTCGTGACGTCACTGGCGTTTTTTTCCACGTGGAGCAACATTGTACCAAAGCCTGAAGACCATAGACGACAGAAACGTGGATCTTTTGCAGTTGGTCCTTACTTAAAAATTAGGAAATTGTTTAAGCCATGAATTTTAATCCTGTTTCTTTGTTTGGAAGCCATATTCACGTCTCCAATTCAGAGTTGAAGTTGTGTTGCTTCTATTGTATTCGCGGTTTAAACATCTGGCGTCGTCTATGTAGAGCGTAGACAAAGTTTCAGAACAACTTTCTTCGTGAATAGAACGACTAACACAAAGTATTACTATGAGCTTTGTTAAGAGCACCGGCATTGTCATTTTCTCCATCCCTTTCTAAGCATCTAAGTCATTTGTTTTGATGTATGTATGGTTAAGCATAGTTGCAACAACCATTATCTTAGCAAACAGTCGACACATAATCTCATCTGTTAAGTTAAAAAGCAAAATAAATGGCTCAATATACCGATGCAGTTTCTAGTGTTGAGCTGGTAAGGTGTATTGTCGGTGTTCCTAATACTTTTCTGAACTCGTGGTCAACCGTCCTTCTTTATCACTTGCCTGTAAATTTTTAATCGCCTGTATATTTTATATCAATTAACAGACCTAGTCGGCATCTGCTTCTAAATTCTCCAATCTTTTTCTGAACTATCCAGTTTTTCAAGGTTCATACCATCAAATTTCTCACATTTAATGTTTTGCCTTGAGCATGATGGTCTCATTACGCCAATGTAGAATGTAAGGGCCATGTCTGTTTCCCACATTTTCTTATGCTCTAACAAGTTAAAATATTGAGTCAACTTAAACTTAGGCCTAGAATGATTTATCAACTTCAATCCCGACAGCGCCCAACGCACACCCGTTCTATGAACTTATAATACTTGATGTATAGTTTTTCTGTGATTATCCGCAATTTGACGCCGTGCATCATGTTAGTGTTGTCATTAATTTTTTGAAAGGGATTAAAGCTATAATTTTTATAATTCATGTATTTAAGCGCTGCTGCCAATCTGTTCCAAATCATGCTTAACACAAAAGTTGCTCCGGACCTGTCTACGTAACTACCGCGTACTACTGTCTGTCTCAGAGGTTTTATTACTAAAACAAAAACGCATGTGGAATTTCGAAAAGAACAAGCGTAGAAAAGAAATATTGCTGAGATATGTGGACAGATATTAAGTCACTGCTGGCATGGAAAATCTACACGGCTTTTCACTGCTTTTTTAGGAGTAAGAAATTGCTTCACCAATCTATTACCGTGGATTAGCGTTTCTAGGCTTCTGAGAAGATCAGTGTTGACGGTTGTTCTTTTTCCTTGTTTAAGGTTTGAAAACTTCTTGAGTTTTTTGCTGTAGGCACCTACTTTTTCCTCATCTTGGCTTCCACCTCTAAAATGATGTCTTTTGACAAAGAGTAAATATCGTTGTGCTACGACTGGCTTCCATTAATTGCCCTTTTACGTCGAATTGAACGTCTTACAATTTATGTATTATTTTTAATACAAACGTACACCAGTGCTCCCCATAAGTTGATCTGAATGAGGAAATGCCGCACGGGTCGGGACTTATAACAAGAGGAATCCCTCATGTTCCTTTCAATTTGATAGCCCAGGCGAAGAATAGCACAAAATTGGCATTGCTCAAATTTAACAGTTGGCATTTGAATTCTTAACCTCTTGCAACCGTCTAAAGGACTGGACGGCTTTCATCGTCCGATGCCAGTTTAGACTAATGATCTTATGCAGTTCTCCTGGATTTCAGTAATCAAAGTAGGTAGAAATATTTGGAAGATTATTTTGCATTTTGTTTGATATATATGTACCACATTAGTTGTTTGTTGATATAAATCATTAAGTGTAGAATTTGTCATTGCCTCATCCAATGCTTACTTCAGCTCGTGTAGTTAGGTTGTATTAGCAAATTTTTTATTGAATTTTCGTAATTATTGAATTAAAATGATATTTTCTCGTCAATTGTCTTCACTATTTGCGTCGTCTCCTTGTTTTTTGATCACATTGTCCACCCATGAGGCGGATATCTTGAGCTTCAGCAAAGAGCTTAACAAGCACATAGTTTTTTAAACAAGGCACGTTTTCATAAGAAGCTCCGTAATTGGTCTGCATAAGTGCTACGAAACTGCTCTAAACATTAAAATAAATAGTAAAGATAACGTGTTTTCGTTTTCCTCGTCAAGATATCGTGCTATCCAAGAAAAAACGCTATTTCTGATGTGTGAATAAAGAAAAGGTCATGATAGCAGGCTGCTCGACGGACTCCGAAGGAATTCTTGCGGCGAAAATCGATGAAGCCCCGTATGCTGGGGCGAAATATTAGCCTTCACTGATTTACCTGTATTTGTTGTTGTTCATTCTCGTCGCATTGCAGTGTCTTATTTGCTACATTTTTCTGATGTGTCGTTTTCCAACTGAAAGTCCAACTTTGAATCAATTGTAGCTCCAAAGAGCTTTTTATGTTAAAACTTTCTATAATGTTTTGAAACACAATTTGAAATATATCCGCTTGTGCAACCGGCTGAATTTTCAGTATCAAACCAAATGTATGCAACAACTTCCTCGAATTTTTTGACTGCGTACAAATAGCATATTATCTTGAGCAATACAGTATTCCCGAGAGCACTGTAGAGGAAATTCGATTAAAGATAAGTTGAATACTACTAGCCTTAATACAGATCCTTGAAGAACAGCAAACACTGCAGTGCCTGTTGCTGAAAGTACTTTATAATTACATTGGGGGTGAATATGCCACATTTCCCAGTTTTGTGTCCTAAAATTTAACAAATTTGAAATATATTTCGTATTCAATTAATAAAAGAATAAGTAACTTTCAGTACTGATAACTTTATAAGTTTTCTTATCGAAAGTTATTTTGTCATTGAGGATAAATTTCGTTGATATAGAACTTCGATACACGTCATCTTTTAAATTTCAATTCAATTTGATTTGATTGAACTGGATTACAAATATATCGTAATGTGAATAGAAAGAAGGTAGGATCAATCTTACTAGTCACATCGAGTTTGTAGGATAGAAGTAAACTTCTTGTCTAGGACGTATTCGAAAATATTCGTTTTAACAATTTTTTTATTTGTTACTTCCTTCAATGGATATTCTATTTTACACTCCCAGCTCAGCATTGATAATCACACAGCAGCATTTAATTTCAAAACAATTAACCAGGACGCATCAACCGCACACTACACAACTTGAACTTGAGGAAATAACAGTTTTTATCAAATGGCATACACGTCGCTAATGACACAAATTTATATGAAAAAGTGAGTAGCAACAACAAAGGTGGTTCCTCGATGAAATTTGATAGAATGTTGATTACAAAAAAACAATATTTGTGCAAATATCTAAAAACGTCACAAACGAGAAAGGCAGAAAAAATAACTTTGATAAGATAACATGAATTTGATAACAAAAGTGATTTTGTAGCTAAAAGGCATTTTTCGTGAACGTGATTGGTTAATGCAATACAATAACCTTTATTGATGAATTTTCACGGCAGAAGAAATTAATGTTTCTATTTTAAATAACTGTCCCTTTAAATAACTAGAAGAAAAAATTTAGTTTTGTCCTAAGTGGATGGGGCAATATTCCTTTTCATGATTTCCTTTTGTCTCTCAATAACACCTACTAACATTTTATCTAGTTATTCATTTCCATTATCAAAATTCTTCCCATGCCCAACTGTCAGTTTCTTTCTTCCCGTATGAACTAGTCAGTTTTTGAAGAATCCCTACAAGAATCTTTATGAGCTCTACTCACAGGCATGCTCGAACAAAGAGAAAAGCTAGCACTCTGATTTTATTGCCACCACCTTCCACGTTGCAAGTTTTATACCGAAAGCATAGAAATCACAGTGATGACAATGAAATGCGTTGGAAAAAGCTGATTGGTTACTTGTGCAACAAAAGTTTCAGCCAATCAAATGAGACCACGCTCGGCGTCACGGAACAATTCAAAACCGCATGTGTAGTCCTCCTTTCACTCCTCCAGCTTACAGCACGGTTTGCAAGAGGCAACATGGACAAGCAAGTGTTAGTTTTCTTAGCATTCCTAGGCCTAGCATCGGCCAAAGTCTACTTTCAAGATGGATTTGAAGGTAAGTTGTCAAAGTTCGTTGACTTATTCCAAATAATTTTTCTACTCGCTTTTAGTATTTCCGAGGATCTTCGGCCTAAAGCTTACTAGGCCTAACAACATAACCACCTTAGACTCACATGGAAAATCGTTTCCGAAAAGTTGTGTTATCAGAATGAACATTATTTCTGGTGATAAGCTATCGTAACTGCTATTATTATATTGTGTAATAAATTTCTTAGAATTGACAAAATGTAATTTTCTCAATTATACTTTGCCACGAATAAAAAGGCAGCGTCGTTAACGATGTATGAAAGGCTGACAAGAGTGGCTCTCTAAGAAAGTAAGTTATTCGAGAGAAAAGGGTCTATATTAAAGCGTAGTCTAGTTCTGTGCTTTTCTGTTTACCATGCAAGTGTGAAAAGTTTTATTTTGTAAATTTCAGACGAGAGCTGGGAAAAAAGGTGGACATATTCGACAAGTAAAGGTAGTGATGCAGGCAAATTCAAACTTAGTGCTGGAAAGTTCTATGGTGACAAAGACAAAGATTTAGGTATGCGTTTGTCTTTAGATATCTGTTCAAACAATGTTGTTAATATTTATTGTTACCCACCAGGGTAAGGTTGTGTTATTAATTGGCAATCATGTTTGTTCAGGTTTTGAGTTAAAACTTCTGATTACCTACAGGCTCTTAATAAGTTTGCATTGAGTAAATGAAGCTAAGACAGCCAAGACAGTTAGATATGATTACATTTAAAAACCTTTAACTGTTTGACAGCTAGGCTTTTCTTTACAATTTTAAATGATTTAAATTTTTGAAAGAACTTGTTCTCAGCACATTGTAGATATTACTTAACTATTAGGTTGATGTTAGAAAGGGAGATAATTTGGCCAGTTCATCTAGTTTGAGATGTGTAGCATTGTGTTTATTTTGTATCATGGTCATTGTGCTTTGTTTCAATACCAGAGTCGGGATTTTCCAATGTTCGGTCTACAATGATTTGCTAATTAGAAAAGCATCTTTGAAACCAAACCAATCGCCTTTCTATTGTGGTTTTTTTAATTTACAGGCATACAGACCTCAGAAGATGCAAAGTTCTATCAGTTAACATCAAAGATAGATCCCTCATTTTCCAGCAAAGGTAAGAAGCTTGTCTTGCAGTTCTCAGTTAAGCATGAGCAAAGCATTGACTGTGGAGGTGGCTACATTAAGCTTTTCCCTGCTGATATTGTACCTGACAAGATGTCTGGTGACTCTCCATACTATGTCATGTTTGGCCCTGACATCTGCGGTCCAGGAACCAAGAAGGTCCATGTTATTTTTGGATACAAAGGTAATAATTTGTTGACAAAGAAAGACATCAGATGCAAGGATGATGAATTTACGCATCTCTACACTTTGATTGTAAACCCAGACAAGACTTACGAAGTCAGGATTGATAATGAGAAGGTGGAAAGTGGAGACTTAGAAGCAGACTGGGATTTCCTGGCACCCAAGAAGATCAAGGATCCTAGTGCAAAGAAGCCAGAAGACTGGGACGACAGAGCAAAGATTGATGATCCAGATGACAAGAAGCCAGAGGACTGGGACAAGCCAGAGTTGATCAAAGACCCAGATGCAAAGAAACCTGATGACTGGGATGATGAAGAAGATGGTGAATGGGAGCCACCAATGATTAGTAACCCTGAATACAAGGTAAGGAAGGAAAGGTTTCTTTGTATGTCAGATATATTGAAAATACCTTATATTTGCTGCCTGTTTTATTGCTGGATTTTTAGTATATATAAGCTAAGTTCTGCTGCTTATATACTATTATATTATTTCATTTCCGTGTTCTCTTTTTAAAGGGTGAATGGAAGCCAAAACAAATTGATAATCCTGCCTACAAAGGAGAATGGGTTCACCCAGAGATTGACAACCCTGACTACAAGGAAGACCCAGAAATTGGACAATTTGATAACATTGGTCATGTTGGTTTCGAGATCTGGCAGGTACATATGCATTTTCTTAAATGTCCTGTTTTTTTTATTTCTGATGTAAAATGATAATAAATGATTTTAATGGTCAATGATAAATGTATTGTATATATATATATATATGGTTTTTTAATGATAACATGAATGTCTCTCTCTCTCCCTTTCTCTTCAAATTATGCTAACCTTTTCTATTTCACCTTTTTTATGTTGAAATCAAGAAGTTTGAATAAGTTGATATTACTCAGTGAAAAAAGGCTTGCCAGTTTGTTGTTTTATGCAGTTGGTGCTTTAACGTTTTTATATTTTGTTGTGAAATGTCTTCTTTCAGTTTTATACCTAGATTATGTTTTTTCTGTTTCAATGTATACAACAATTTAAGATTTGAAGTCATTGCACAGCTATCTTTTTTAATTGTTTCAAAAAATAATTTAGGACTTGGAAGTAAGCTTTTTCCATGGTGTTTTGTAGCTGAAGCTGTCCTCCATGCAGTTTTTTAATAAGATTCCTTAATTTTAGGTTAAATCAGGCACCATCTTTGACAACATCCTTGTTACTGATGACATTGCTGAGGCTGAGAAGGAAGCAAAAGACCTTTTTGAAGCCACTAAGGAAGGAGAGAAGAAAATGAAAGACAAGGTACACTATTTTTGCTCTTATTTATGTATTTATATGTTTTTATATAGATTCATTGAATCTCTATAAGACAGCTTGATTTTAAATGTTACAAATTTTGTTCCTTTCAAAGTTAATGAGCGCTAGAACCAATTTTTTTCTGATTTTATGTTTGCTCTTTTCTTGCAGCAAGATGAAGAAGAACGTAAGAAGCAAGAAGAAGAAGAGAAGAAAAGAAAGGAAGAAGAGGACAAGAAGAAGTCTGAGAAAGCTGCAGAGGAGCCAGAGGTAATTTGAATTATTTTATGTTTTTTGTCCCAAACAGCTTACTTCTGCTTTAGTTAACTTGTTTTATTATAAGGACAGTTTCTTTTTCACTCCTAGGTTGGTTTCACTTCTAAAGAAAAGTTACTGTATTTATAAATATAAATTTGTTGTTTTTAGGAGGAAGAGGAAGATGATGAAGAGGAAGGTGAGAAGAAGGATGAGAAATCAAGTGAGGGGAAAGAGGAAGTAAAAGAAGCTGAAGAAGCAAAAGAAGCTGAAGAAGCAAAAGATGAGAAACCAAGTGAGGAGGAGAAGACTGAAGAAGACAAAAGTGATGAAGATAAGACCGAAGAAGAACAGAAGGAAACACATGACGAGCTGTAGACAGTTGTAATTATGATAGAGAATTTCAAATTTGATTAATGGTCATCCATAGAGAGAACATGTGTTTCTAATGGACAATGAGATGCATGTAAAGCAGGTTGGCCTGGTAGCCCAGTACAGGCACTTAAATGTAGTAATTTCCAATCAAATTATGATGAAAATCAATTGCTAATGCTGCTATCAGACTGCACTGAGACTAAAACATAGTAAGGGCTATTTGTTCAAAGAGTGTTCCACCTTGAAAGAAAGTCATTCACATCCTTAATCTTCTTAAGTTCCAAAGATAGATTAAGAGAAAGATTTGATTTGAAAAATATTTTAGCCCAGTATTTATGCTGCAGTTTCTAGATGTTCAAATGTTTTCCTTGCATTTTTTTGCTTTATAACCATGACGGTTCCTTTTAACATCCTTTCAAAGTTGAATTATTTCTGTGAGCGAATTGGCAGAATCTTTTAGCAGTCAATGCTTTTTATTTAGAAGTTTAGAGAGAAAGTATGAATGAATTCAGGGTATGGTGCACAGCAAGTAAATGCCTTAGAGTTTTGTAATTTAATGTCTTGAACAAATATTATGTTTGCGTCTATAGAAGTATGTTTCTGGTTAAGTTGCAGTTGTTGTCTTGCCAATTAAATTAAACAACTACAAAGATGTGGTTTGTTTGTTTGTTCTTTTAAGAGTGCTTCCTTGCATTTTTCAATCATTATTTCAAACCTAAAAGAAATTGAATGGCTTCCTACTTTGCTTACATTTTCTATTATATATTTATAGTGGAACATACTGACACAAAGGTCATATTAAAGCAACGAGCCATGTGTTAGCAGTATTTTGGACACCTTAATCCTCTGCATTTTGCTTCATGGCTTTGGTCCTTAAATTAAGTTTTTGAAGGTAGATTGTTCCAGCTATCAACATTTCAGCTGTTAGAGATGCCACAAAATCCTTTTCGTTGTTGTTTTGTGTATGATTATCGAAGATATGCATATTAATTTATTCAGCCAGGAAACAACTGTTTCTCACAATTCAGTTACTCTCAAAATACATTAAGTACCAAAAAGTCCGGTGCCAAGAATTTCGGTGGATTAATCCTCGGTGGAAAATTATAAGTCATATTCTTTTAAATTTTATTGTAAATTTAGGTTATCTATCTTCAACATAAAATTGCCTGGAACGCAGTCACAAAAGTTTGGATGTCAGTCAAATGAATGGAATTGAAGATTAGGCAAGAATGTCACAAACTCTTGTTAGCAAATCTTTTTTATTTTATTTCTAACCCATAGAGAAAAGTAAATTGGAAGTGCTAGTGTTACAGTGCGCAATATTTTCGATCGCCAACCCAACAAGTGGATTAGAAATTCTGATCGCTGGTAAGTTTAAAATTGAGGCGCCCAGATTGAAATCGCTGGAACGTTAGAATAAGTAATAAGGAGAAATTATGATTCGCTAGTAGAGTCATCAGTTCAGCCCATAGAGTGTTCAAAAGTTCTTGTATTAGAGGGCGAAAGTGAAGATGAGCTGGCATCTTACTTTTTGATGATGAACGAGAAACCGAAAGTGGGTAAAGTTCTTTTGTTATTTTTGAAGTCAATCGGTGTGAAACGAGATTTTTCTAGCGTTTTAAAATTTCGGTTTCAAACAAATTCGGTCGGATTAATTTTCGGTTGCCCTGCTTCACCGAAAATAAATGCCACCGAAATCTTTGGCACGTAATGTAGGAACTGTAGAGAAACATGCTTCAAAATATATATTCCAAATTTTTGATATACATTATCTCACATTACAACTGAAAATACTTTAGAGGTAATGGCAAAGACTACACTGCTAGTAGTGATATCTGACTATACTTATAATAATAGAGGTGATGAGAGAGCCTACTTTTCTAGGTTCACAGAGTTAGAAGTACCAGATGTTATTTCAAGAAGTAAATTCTATTATATAAAGCGGAATAGTTTAGCTGATTGAGATCTGTAACTCAAGTTGAATCGGTGCAACTAAGTGTCAGAAAGACAAATTGTCCCTCGTGTCAAAGGTTAATCGTTCTCAGGTTTATCGGTTTATGATTCAGAATTTTTACTTGTGTCCAGTCTCAACGTAGCATTTGCTTTCCTGATGAAGAACACCATTGCATTCCAGTTTTCCAATTAGTTAGATGTGCCTGTAAAAATGATTTTGACTGTTAGGAATTGTTTGAAAAATGATCAGGAAAAACGAAAAAAGATGGGGTGTTGCATTGTAAATCTTAGGCGTATTTAAAACTACGTTTAGTCTAAAATTTCTCTCGGAAATCTTTGTTTAGAATTTAGATTTATTGTTTTTAAAAAGCGGTAATAACTAGTTGTGTAAAAACATAAGTTAAAGCTCCATGTTTTATCCATGTCAGTTTAAGAGTAGGGCAACACTACAAACGATTTCAATAAAAAGGACAGGTTAAACCAAATTAGGCCGTGCAGCAATTAGAATTTATTTGAGTAAAAAATAATTGAGTAAAAATTGTGTTTTGCATTGAAACAGAATAGAAATACATCATCTGTTTTTTAATAATTAATCATTCACAATTCGCCAACAGGGCAATGCTAAGGTTAACCTGTGTTTGGACAGATGAAGCTCAAATTTTGCTTGTGTCTTAAACTTGGGAGAATCAGTATTGGATAATTCATACTTACAAGTGCTTGGTTGTGAGTATCACTCGTCAACAACTGGGTTATAATATTGGGTCCTAAAACAAAATGCAATTATCAGGCTATCATTCTTTTACTTGTTTCTCGTTGTTCATTTTTAAGATTTTATTAAAAATATAAATGGAACGTAATCATTGAAGAATGTACTTCATTTTCAAAGCTGTTTCAGATAGCACACGATTGCAAATCATCTTCTTGACAAATTGTCCTTATTAAATATTTGTCAACTACCTTACTTTGACTTTCAAATAGTAATGAATAATTCGCCAGGCTCGAATCTAGTGAGTCTTCCAGATTTAATCCATTTGTAAATGAAAAGGCTAAATACTCAGTTTTTCACTTTTCATAAAGTTTACAGAAACAGTTGGTTATAAAGAAGTGGAATCACGAAGGAGTGCCTTGAAGAGCTGGAAAGATATTCTTGACGTTAAATCAGCTGCAAATTGTTTAGAACAGTTGGTACTTTTCATTAATTTTCGTGTCATGCGTTGTAAAAATTTTGTTTTCCGAGAAAAACATTACAGAAATATCCCATGTTGCCAAATAACCGCGACTGTTACGATATGTTGAATTTGTTTAGTTTGTCACCCTGTGTAGAAGCGCCTACGCAAGGACCTACTTGCTTTCCTGTAAAGAGTAGAATCTTTAGAGTTGTTAAAGGAAGTTGTCGCCTGAAATTATCACGAATGAACGCATTATCATAACGAAACGTTGTATATCATTAATCTAATTCACGAATTATCACAGTCTAAAATGTAACTGTTTGTTTTTATATCATCGTATCCTGGCAGTTCTTCAGTCATTATAGCTGGATTTGGTATTTACAATCGTCGTAAATTTTGGAAACTAAGGACGCAGGACCTTCCGTGTATCCTTACTAGGATACTCAGTCAACTTCCCAACACCATATATACTTGCATACCATTAAGCTAGCCCCCTTCGGGCTCAAATAAGAATACTCTCTGTGTGCATTTTTATAGGAGTTTTTTTTGGAGCTCTACGAGCTAAAACTAGACACGATGTAAGGCTAAACAGTTTGATTAAAAGCTAGATATATGTCCAAGAGCCTTGTGTGATCTTTCGTGGCAAGAAAAATTCGCATTACTCGTATGGAAATACAATAATATGTACCAGCTCGTGAAAAGTCTTCTTTGCTTTTTGAATGATGACATTTTTTAATTAAATAAAAAATAGCTATGCAACGACCTGTAGAGTGCCGAAGTGATGACGTCACAAAAATCTATTTCTAGAATTTTTGAATTTTGATCTAATAACCTGAAAGAGCGTCATGGAATACCTCGAAACATGCAAAATCAATTGAAGGTATTACGAATGACTGAGATATGGCCACATGAGCACAGGCTCTTGCCCCATCAGAAATTTGGTTCATAGATTTATTGACCAGGCAAGAATAACAGTAATTTGTTAGCCAACTTGGAATCAATGGTCATTTAATAGGTATGTTATGCCGTTTTTTCAGATTATCTCGTCAAATTCATGAAACTCTAAAAAGATTGCTGATGACGTCATACTTCAGTACTCTATTGACGGTATTCCAACTTACCGGCATGTACCAAACTTCCTGGGCTGCAACGCCATTCAGCACTTTGGCGCTGTCTAAATGAGGCTTGACCGCTGATGGCTGACACAAATATTGCTCTGGGGCCAGATATTTGAAATTGAAGGACATGCATGGTTCGATCAAGTCCAGGCATTTGGAATAGCATTTAAACCAATCCTTAACAATCGTCTGGGAACCCAAGTAGATAGCTGGAAACGAAAGAAGATAAATATTTCATTAGAGCTGGAGTAGCTACTCTTCATACTCAAAGCTACATTTATTCGGTCTTCGAGGGTATGGCAATTTGCAATATATCAAAAGTTAATGATTCAATAGACAACAATGTACCCAACATAGATCCTCTTGAAAACTCCACGTAGCCGCAAAAAGTGCTTTATAGGGTGCACATGTTGTCTTTATCTACACAGCATTACAACAAACTGTTTTTTCAAGAGAAAATAAATTCTTTGTCAAATAATTGCTTTGATTTAATTCTTGTTAGTTGTATGACATTTTCTGTCGTTCTTCTGTGCAGTAGTCACAATGCATTTAAATTTAGGCCGTTATCGTGAATATTGTTCTGTCTTTGTAACAGCAACTCTTGTTATAAAAGAAATGATAGTGAAAAGGTAACCTACACTCCTCCTTAATATAGGAAGATTTCATGAGATGAAAGTCGACTATCTTCAAATCAGCATTCTTGAACAGAAATTCCGTCTTTGTTCCATCGGGGATGAAGGTGAAGCTACACAGAAGAAGCAAAGCGACTTGACGGTAAAACATGGCTTTTTCCTCGTTGGCTCTTTATTTCGCTTATAATTTTGAAGTCCTTCGTAAAAGTTTATGTTCGACTATGCTACGACAGACTTGTCAAGTTAAATCATCAATTTTTGATGGTAACTATAGGGAACAAAATAATGCTGAAGGCTTGCTTCTAGGGAACAGCAGGTTCTATTCATATAGCGGGTAGCAGCAAAACCAGGTTTCTCTTGGTTCTCTAGGAAAATTCAATTAAACAACCAGCAATAGAAATCATATTCAAAAAATAGTCATGTGACTATGTGACTGACCAATCGTTTACTTTTTTTAAATATATCTATAATCACATATCTTTTTCTACACTCGCCAAAATTTCCATCAGAAAATTGAACTTGTAAAAATTATCTGATTTAGAGTGGATAAAGGACATTTCTTGAGCTCAGATACCACCCTTATCATTTGTTATCTATTATCATTTGTTTTCGTTCATGAATTAACTTAATAGTGCTAAGATTCGGGCGGGTGAACGTTGAATAAGAGGTGCATTGGTATAAAATTGGATAAGTCTTGGAACTGAGTATCAAGTCACACCCGTATATTTTCGCCTTATCATCTAGCAACATGGCTTAGCAAGAATTTTTAAATTTAAGTCATAGAAGTAAAGGCCACTGATAAATTTAAGCCTTGCAAAAAACCGGAAGTGTACCATTATCGATGACACCATAAAGCCTAGCGCACACAGCAGATTTTTGTCGCAAAAACGAAGATTTTTGTCTTTCACGATAAAAATCTGCAGTTTGCGGGTCATAAACGAAAGATTTTTGTGATAATCTTTCAGATCAAACATGTTTGATATCTGTCTTTGGTCTTTGCGACCAAAGATAAAAATCGTGCTGTGTGCGGAGTTGAAAGACATGTTTTCCATTCTTAAACCAATCAAACTTTGATTTTTCGATCACATGACTGGCTTGGCTCTCTCTCCTTCCCGCCAAAAATGATAGTACATGGTTCGCTTGAAAAAGAACACCACGCAGAACCCACCAGAAGCAGAAGTCGGCTTGTGGACGACAAGCAAAGAGGAGCAGTTTGTCGATTTGTAGCAGGAACGACCCTGTCTGTATATCGTAAATTCGCCGAATATACTTTTTCAAGGAGAGATTTGAACAGGTCTTCGTTCAGTGGAAAGTAGCGTTGATACTCAGGTTTATCCTCCAATGCTAACTCTTGCACAATATTTTGATAAGCTCCCAGTTCATTTCTGCGCTCAATCCATTACTTAAACCACATTCGTCTCGCAATTCGCCTCCTCCTACTTTTTCTTAACGAAAGGATGACTGCCAAAATTTTTTTCTTTTTTTCCAAATTCATGCCTTTCGTCTCTTATGCAGATTTTTGTGTTCAACATTTTACGCACCAAAATACTTAAACTAGCGTGAAACCGAGGTGAAACCGTGAAACCGAAAACAGCCGTGCTTTGTGCGGGCAGTAAGTTCTTGTGAAAGACAAATGCGTTTTTAAAGCTCGCTTTGCATTTTTGCAAGTTTTTTAAACTTAAATACAATCACATCTTTAAAAATGCCTTTGAAGTCTCGTAAGTAACTATAAATTTACTTTTCTGATATTGCCTGGTGTGTTAGATACTGTATAAGACCTTGTCTTTTGTTTTGTGCCAATTGGGAATGTTTAATTTCTTGCTTGCAAAATAAAATACTTTGTGGTTTGCGGTTTTGGAGACGTCTCCATTTGTAACAATTGGAAGCATTACAAAGCTTACAGGGCACTATGTCTCAAAAAAGCAGGCAATTTCCAAAAATAGCAAATTAGAAACACCGCAATGCGACGAGAATGAACAACAACAAATATACGTAAATTAATGAAGGCTAATATTTCGCCCCGGCATACGGGGCTTCATCAGAGCAAAATGTCCTAAAAAGGTGTGAGGATGGCTCAGCAGTTGTTAGAGACGCTGACTACAGACGCAAAGGTCCGTGGTCCGAGTCCCTGGCATGACCAAACTTTCACCCAGAGTGAGGAGAGTCGCCAGCTCTCTGTAATTCCAGGCATAGGGATCACGAGGTGTGGTCACATTCAGAGGAAGGACCAGGACACTGCTCGATAAGCATAAGCTTCTCAGTGTCCTAAAAATTACCTTTGGGTGCTAGGTAGAAACAATTACAAAAGGTCCTAAAGAGGTTACTTCTTAGAAAAAAGCATCTTTATAAAAAATGGGGGGAGCACATGCCACTGGTCTGCTCCCAGTTCCAAGATCATTAGCACCACCACCAGTACCTTAGCCCATGCGAGGGGCAAATCACTCCAAGAAAATCTCGTACACCTTTGGTGGAAATCCTATTGTTTTATCTGAAAATCCTCGGAAATCATTTTGTTTTTAGGAAAAATCTCGTACGCTATTTGCAAGAGTGAATTGCCCCTCGAGCCCATGTTGGTAGGTTTGTTACAATACTGTACAATGTTTAATGAAGATAAATTTGTTCTTTGTATTTACTTGAGGAAACAATGCTTTCAGGGTTTCACCAACAAATAGCATAAGGAGCGCCTTTCTTTGTGAATTTCCCACAGGATCTTGCTTTTGATAGAAACCCCCAAAGATAGAAAGAAGCGTTCAAATACGGACAAACCTCAGAAAAGACCAGATAATAACTAGCTGTCGTTTGCTCTTGCAAACCATTCAGTTTTTGAATTTTCAGGTCAAGCCCCTGTTGGAAGGTCGGAGAATTTCTGACGCCACTACTGTACTACATTTTTTGTTCATGTAAAAGGACTCAAAAAACAAAGCGTGCAATTTACGTCATCACGAGTCAGCAACGCCAGCATAGTTGATGTGATCATCCCATAATAAAACTTTTTGTCAAAAGTAAACCGACCATGCAAAAAGGGTTGTCCAAAATTAAAGGAAATGAATATGAGTGTTATAAACTTGAAAAAATAAATTTAGATGTCTTCTCGCAATTTCTCAGGTTGATTCGTCACCTTTCATGCCGAAACCGTATGATATAGGTCAGTTTTGAAATTTTGGCTTTGGATCAGGGGGCCTTGGGATCAAGTAGGCTTAAGGATCAGGGATCCTGGGGGAAGGTGTGTAAAACCACTGAATTTACGAGGGTTTTACAGGCTTGTGTTCGCAGATTCTGCAGTAAAAGAAAGTACAAAATTTGATAAGCGTGTTCTTGTTTCTTGGCTTGACGGTTCTTATAGTTTTATCTAATTCAACAAGGACTAAACGGCTCACTTTGACAAAACTGGTATGCTTCAAACTTCTCGAAATAACAACGGCTATCCGAACATCTAAAATCACGACTAAACTCTAGCGACTGGCACGATGACAAACAAAATGACTGACGCAACAACGATAGACATTCTCATTAACAATAACGAACCACAAACACGATGCACGACAGACAAAACTAGTTGTATAACACTAGTCAAGAAAACCTGCTACTACTTCTTAGGAGTATACTATCCAATGTTGCGTTAGACCATAGTTAGGGTAAACTTTCAAAACGTTTACGAACGTATTATCGCAAAAAAGTGGGGGGGGGGCTATAGCCCCTGCTGGTGACTTGCTTGCGGTACAACCTTAACTGCGGTACAAATCGTCAGCTTGTGGTACAACCTTAACTGTTTCAACGAGTACAAGATTTTGTCTATATGAATATCCATAGCAGTGCAAATAATAAGCCATTGGTGCCTTATCTTTTATGAGTTTTTGGCCCCCACTGTGGGGCACTTGTATTTCCTTAGAATTATTCCTTTTCCCCAATCGATCTCCAATTCCCAGTGACACCAAAAAACACTCATATTTGCTACGACTGTCGTTTATTTTCTTTGTCACAGTTATTTACTTCAATTTACTCTCTTCTTTTTGATCTTTAAGCATTCCGTATTTATACATTTTTCTTACCTATCGAGAATATTCGAAAACTTAGTCATGCTTACATCAGTTTGTTCTATTCTTATCATATTGCATCACATTACGTCATAATCAAATGCTCCACAATTTTCTACCGAATTCTTGATTCTCAAAACGAGGCTGAATCATAGTTCCGGGTTATTTAGGCCTAATCGATACACTCGGATAATAAAGTTTATAAAAATCAACGATTTCTACGAATTACATTAAGTCATTGATTAAAATTTATTAAAATCAAGGTGAGTTATTCAGCGTTCTCATCACCACCTAGCCTTCCGCTCATAACACTCGCTCCATCAAATCCCATACCTATCAGGCATCCTTTGTAGTCCAAGCCCATCTGCTCAAGTTTGCTGAAAATATCTTTACCCATTGATTGAGCATCTAATTCCTTCATTGCCATGAAGGTTTCAAAACATTCCTAGATTTTTTTGCATCTTCCTCAAAAAATCTTGTTACCAAAGACAATTATTCTGTTTTTCTGACATCTTTTGATTGATTCATCAGCTTGTATTGAAAAAAACGTGATTTTTAACACTCTCCGCGATTTCCTCAAGCACCATGGTTGCCAAGGTTTCAATGACCTCATTTTGTATCGAGGAGGAAGTATACTTTTCATTCTTTGGTCCACTTTTTACACGGTCGGCTATAACAGGGTCATTAAGCAATTAATCGAAGCAACTTTCTGACGTTACCTGGATTTGTAACATCGTCATTCTCTCTATATCCTTACTGTGCAATGTTTTGAGTGGCAGCGATGTGAATAACTTCTCCAATGGTCTTCATATAATGGCGATTTTCGGTTTCTTTTTTACGATAGTTTTCACTTAAATCCTGTTCTACGGATGTTTTGGCAGCTTTGTTTCTCTTATAATCACTCCAGGACATTATTGGAGCTTTGTGGCAACGAGAATTGATGTGCTTCGTTATTGCACCCTCTTTTCCTTGTGCTTTTTCCATCGACGAAATCCAGTCTTTCAGCGTTACCATAACCAGGAGGGCAGAAATGTCGACAGGGAAAGCAGAACATGGCATCAAATTCTTGTGAATACTTGGCCCAACTGTAGCGCTCATACCAACTTGCTACAAATGATCTGTCTTCAGATATCCCTTCACTGTGCTTTCTCCAGCGTGTTGAGATATGTCATTTGGCGCCTCTTTCACTCCTGTATCTTCTTTGCTAGCCTTTTTAGCTTGTAGCTCCTTATTATTTTAGTTATCCTTGCGCTTTCTGAAACTTAAAAACCTATCCATAAATGAAAGCACAACCCTTGAGCGAAATAAATTCGATAAATAGCAGTAGTTTCGCAACAATTTCGCAATTTGTTAAACGACCTATTCGCATGTGATTCAGTCTCGAAGAGTTATTGCAACTTTAGTAACACTCACAGGAAGCCATTAGCAATACTTAGAACGGCTGAATTAGGCAGACCATCTAACAACGGACCCTAAGAGCTAGCACGAGTCTATATAGGTATTATAATGAATAACTAAATGACATATCAAAAGCTACGTATAAAGCATATGGGCGGAAACACTAACCAATAACCAAAAATCTTCTTGAAAAGTGGGGGGCAAATGAAGGGGCCGAAAAAATTGTGCCAAGGCCCCCTAACCACCCCCCTTTAGTAAAACGTCACTGAAACTGTAGTGATTGTTAGCTTTCATTTCCCTTTTCACGTGGACCCCATGTGAAAGCGGAACCACCAAAGAAACAATTGTGACGTCACTTGTATCCCGAAATGCCATCTGGTCGCACCATAATAACAAATGTGAGAACAAAAAATTGGCCAGAAGTTGAAGTGCGGTTTGTAGAATTTCGCCGTCCTGAAACATATATATTCATACATATACCATGGGAAACTGCTTGAAAGGGATAAGCACAGATAATGCTTCGCTTCTTCGGGAGGATACGACATTGGATCATGTAGAACCCCCGCCACCATACCAGGTAAGACCAATTTGGGCCTAAAGTTCCCAAATATCTAAGATCTCTGTCGAATCAACAAAACATAAAATACTTAGTTTGATACAAAATGTTTTAGCTTTATTGTTGATCATATCATTTACTTTTTTCTTGTTCTGGAACAAATTCGATAGAGTACCTAAGTCAGTGATAGGTCTTCTGAAGTTTCTTTTGAACCTGATATAATTCCTTTACAGTCCGCTTAAATCCATGTATCAAATTTCTTTTCATGGTCGAGTACATGAGTGACATTGGGAAGGAATTCGGTGTTAATTCGAAACTGCTGAACTTCTGAAGCCGGCATATGATAGAGAAAGGTTTCCGTCGACTTTTTCTGATACAGTTTATCACCCGAAAACAAAATAGGCTATCTTTCTAATTCGATGGCAACACAAAACAAACGTCCTGTATGTATCACAGACCGTATCACTCCGATGTGACAGATCAGTCACAAGCCGACCTTTCCTCTCTTCTAACGTCGTTACTGTATGAACTGTTCCAATTTCTATCGTCATTTTTTGTTCCATTTGTTTGCGAAAAAACTTCATCATATTCCTTAAATTTTCTAATGTATAATTGTTAATTTTGATTTTAGTAGATGTGGACTTGTTTTTCAAAGAAAACTTAGTAGATCCCATTTATTTCTGGTCTATGTATCTTCAGTCCACCAGAGCTATATGTGATATTTATATTTTTCATATCTTTGTGTAAAAATTTTCTAAATCGTTGCCTAATCTCTGTTGCGAAAGAGTTATTGTTTGCTAAGGGGAGACAGGTGTGATAGTTTGGTGCACATGAGATTTCTGTGAAACTATTGTATCCCAATATCTAAGGCCACCGGATACTGCAATTTGAATGCAGCCTTACTGTTGACAAAGGTGATTCTTCAAGCTGATTGATTTTGTATTATATTTCAACTACAGGAAGCAATTAGCTGACCATTACTGAAGTCTAATGCAATCTTTATCACACCTTATTATTTTTAAAGAAAATTCAAAGAATTTTTAACTATACCCGAAACTCTTTCAATATTACCTTAGTTGACCCTACCCCTCTTCAAATATTAGCGAAACAATAAAAATTTGTAAAGATCTCAAGGAATAAGGTCCAATAATCCTGTATTAATTTATTTCAGACAGACTGTTTCTATCATTATAAGAAAGGGTGTGATGCCCTGCTACACTTAATAATATTTTTGGGGACTTAATTTGCCACTCCTGCCATATGTAGAGCAACAAGAATGAAAATACAGTAATAAATTTATTCAACCATAAAAAATCCTAACCTATTTATTTTTCAATGAGTTTTAAGACCACAAAAATGGTGAATTTTTATAATCATGTAATGAATTGGTATGAACAATGGAACCTTAATATCAAAGATTAATTTTAGCCTCAATTGCATAAACAAGTTATTAGAAAAAAATATATTTTGGAAACTGTCCCACCCAATTCCAGTCCTACCAAAAAATGTAGGATATTACATAAAGTTTACTGTGCTGATAATGTAGCCCCTGAGGGGTTTGAAAGTTTTTTTCTGACAACAATATTTAAAGTTAGTAAGACTCTGGTGATCTTTGCTTATATTTACCTAAATATCTTAAAACAATTAGATTTGGGAAAGCTTGCATAACTTCATTTAATTAAAATTTTGCTAAGAAAAACATGCCATTTGTAGGAAACTTGACTGGGCTTGACAATTTCAGTTTTCGAATTTGGAGGCATTAACGATTGCAGTATTATATTTTAATCTTCTTTTAACTGTAGGAAGAAGCTGCACCAGTTTTTTTGCAAGGGCAGGTTCAAACAAGTTTAAGTGAGGAACAACAAATCAGGGTTGCACAGCGTCTAGGGCTTATAAGTCATCTTCCTACAGGAGTGTTTGATGGAACAAAGAAAAAGCGAGAGTAAGGGCTAGTTTGATGCTATCTCTTTGTTGGAATATATTAATCCAATGGTACCAACCAATGCATTATATAAATTTATTATATATATATATAATATTAAGGAAAGTATTTGAGGAAAGCTTTTGAGGAAAGTGTTATTGAATCAATTTATATGGGAAAAGTTTTCTTATGTATGGTTTTTTATCAGGATAAACACTGAAATTGGGATATTGTTTGGGGTTTGTCCTTGTTTTTTCTGTGTCATGATGTTTGTAGTTTATATTTCCCAACAAAAGTTTCAATTCTATTAGATTGTGGACACTGTTTGGAATTTGAAATATTTTGTAAAGAGCTTTATTTGTAATAGCCTGTTGTCCAAAGCATCAAGCCTTGCAATGTATAATTGATTTATTTATACAATTACTGCACATTGACCAATTCTATGGTTATAGTCACAGGTTTGAAAAAAAATGCTATTCTCAAAAGGAAAAGGCTAATTTGATAAATGCTCTTTGCATCAGTGATAAAAAGATGGACTAAGTCTTCTCCATATATTGATGTTTGTTAAGCTGTTAGAATCAAATGCTCAAAGTGCCTAAAACAAACTTTACAAGATGTATTTAACTTATATTATTCTTCTATTAGATAATTAAGAATTAACTTTTGGCTATCCATCTTATTTCTAGGTGTGTTATTTGTATGATAGAACTAGAAATCGGTGATCCAATACGGTTTTTGCCCTGTATGCATATATATCACAAAGACTGCATCGATGACTGGCTATTGCGATCATTTACCTGTCCATCATGCATGGAACCAGTGGATGCTGCACTTTTATCAACATTTTACACTAGTGAATAGATGAATTTTTTTTGATGGTGAGTTGTCTGTAAATTTTGTTTTATTCTTGCATACATCAGATGTTGATCTTCCTTTCAAAAGCTATCCATAAGCTTAAAGCACATTTCTATCACTTCTTGTCAAATTGCTTGCTTTTTATCAGAATAATTAATAAGCATGTCCCTACCTGTGGTTGTTTCTTTTACTAGTAAGGGTAAAAATATTTCCAGTTGTGATTGCTTAAAAAGGTTGCAAGTTTGCAGCTTTAAAAGTATAAAAATTAGTACAATCATCTGGTATCAAAAGTTAAATGGTAAAAATTTGTATGATCAGTAGTTTCAAGATGGCATTGAAAAACTAAAAAACCTTTATATTTTTTTGACACATTGACATATGGACAAATTATTCAATGATCATTTTTATTCCCATTTGACTAAGGGTTCCCCTGATAATTTTTTTCTAGATATCTATACCACAATGCCAAGCATGGTTAGATGTGTATTTATATGGCTACCTTGCATTCAAGGTATGAAGAGAAACATTTAGTGAATATAGAAGTCTAAAAATTTATTTAATGTTATTCAGTTTGTCAATCAGTTGTAGAAGTTCGTCTCATGCTTCCTTGAGTAGTGAGTGTGAAAAGTTTCTTCATTCATAATTATAGCAAATTGCAGTTCAGTTTCAGTATATTGAAGAGTTTTGTAAGATATCTGGCAGTGAATGGCTTTAAGTTAGAGTTGATATTCAATAATTGTGTCTCTGCTACTTCATTCAATTGATTCTATTTCTGATTTCATATATTCCATTCCCCATATCTTTGTTCAGTTAACTTGGCTTGACTTCAGAAGAAATCTTGCAATTTAGTATGAAATTTTTTTTTCATAATTTCATGAATGAAACTCCATAGCAACCAGGTTTACCATCCCAAAAGTTAGAAATGCACTTCCCAGATCAACCCAAGTTCTAGGTAATCCAAATACTACATTTATAGAATCGGATCCTTTTTGCTTGAAAATATCCACTCTTATAAATTGATCAAAAGAAACGATTAGTGGAACTGATCAAGGAGGTGGGCCTTTTTTGCAAGATACAAACTTTTGTTAGTGGCCCTTCCCCACCCTCCCACTATTTTTGTAAAGAAAGTGCTAAGCAACATAGGGGCCCTATTATAAGGTTCTAAAGCCGCAAAGCCATCTAAAAATTAGCAAAAAGCTGCAATCCACAAGCACATTAAGTCAATTTACACAAAAAGAGGCAAGACACATCGTATTTGATGTGCCATTTTGCAGAAAAACCATTCCCAAAATTATGGGCTCTAATTAGAAATTGGGCCAGACTGGCAAGCTGAAAATCTAGGGCTACCACATACTTTTATGATTTGGCTATCCATTTTTGGAGAACAAAATATTGATAGTTTTTTTAAGTAGAAGATAAACTGAAATGAACACATTTCACTACAGGACTGCAATTTGCTATTATTATCAATCGATTTAAAAAGTTTGAGGGTAATTACCTTTGATTAGTCAACTGTTAGTATTAATCAATATTTTTGGGAATTATTCTGATATTTCTTGTATAATGTTTCTTGTATAGGAGATTGACAAATTCTATTATTCCAACCCTGCTTTAAGATTAGACCTTGAGAATACCAACAAATTATGCTGGTCATAAACACAGTGCCAATCAGGAATGTGTTACGAACCATTTTAGCTGCCACAATTGCTGAGTCATTTCAACTTTTTTGTATCTTCCTTTGCATAAGTAATGATTGAGGTTTCTGTATTATTGTGTTGGTTTTAGATCTTTGCAATTCTATGCTTGCTTTTTATGTTAAACACGAATTGAATCTTAGACAGAAGTGTACATAGAAAAGAATGAGAGTAGCTAGAAGACTTTTGTGAATATTCTTATAGCTAGTTATAAATTATGATGTGTGTTTAGTTATTTGTAAATAGGCATTGAATCAGTAATCATCGTTCTTTGATTAAAGTATATGGTCACTTTGTAACTGTTTGAGTTTGGATTGCATAAAATTCGTTGAAGTTATATTGCCTTTTCTTCGTTGAATCCATCAAAGAATTTACATTCCTGCTAAAAGAATTTCGTGGGCTTTCCACACCAAATCTTGTTATTATAACAGCGATTGAGTTTTAGTCCTGACCAACAAATCATTGTGTGACGATTGTTTGTCGCTAGAGCTAGAAGAACTGATGTTTGAAGTTTCTAGATTTGCGTCATCGATAATTGACAATGTTGGTTGTCAAGTGAGACCCGAGGATCTGTCTGTCAGCTTGCGTTTCAACTGACCTTAAATTTTGTGTTGCTTATGGGATAGACTCAGATAAAACATAATCCATGGAGAATTTTCTTTCCTTTAGTTCATATTTCAGCCCAAAGCAGGGACTCCGTCACAATTTTCAAAGTGAGTGGCCAGATTACAGATTGTGTCCCGAAGTTATTTTCGTTTGCGAAAAAAGGAGAGCATGTCTTTTTCTTATCTTGCCTCTTGTTTGCAGTTATTGCTATCTTTTGTGTAAATAGTAAAAAAGTAAATAACAAAACAGCAATTAGTACATTAACGACAGGCCTCACTTCCCACGTGTATTTCCCTTTTGCTTTCAAAGATGTTTATGAAATACAAATATATACTCAAGTAGAATAGTATCTTAGGATAAACAGTTGATCATGATAAGAAGGCTGTCTGATAAATAATTCCCCAAGTCAAAAATCTCAGCATATGATCAACACCTCTTTTTATTAAATGCCACCCTCTCAATAGACGCCGCATCAAATTCTTTAAAGTAACTGCCGTATTTAACTGTCCAAAAAATATGCAAAGAAACAACACTTTCTAACTCCATATCTCTGGCAATATAGATGTTGGTTATATTTAGAATTGCAACATTGAGATCGACAATTTTGGTGATCATGTGCAGTGTGTGAATCGAGAGACTGTCTGACAGCTCGATTTCTAGTTGTCCTAAAATATTGAGTTGCTCGTTGCATCCATTTATACGCAGTGAATTATAAAAGCGGATATAGAGTGTAGTGGATCCAAAAAGGCATTTAGCAGATTGAAACTCATGTCCCTGCAGAAACGCATATGACACGGTATGTGTGAAAGGTATAGAATATAAGGCACGATAAATCCCTGGGCCCAACATTAAATGGTAGTTTATTAGAAGACAAATTGCTAGAAGTGTATATATTTTTGATTGCATTCATGATCGTCCTACGCGTAAAAAAATTTGAGGCAAATTGTTCCTGAAGATGACGTGTAATGCCGTCTTCAGTCGCGAAACACCTAAATCTTTGTGCAGCATACACACTAAATTCCACATTTTTTCGCGATATCCGTGCTATGCTTGCCGTCCGTAAAGTATTGCTTTCCTTACCCAGTCCGCACGCAAAACCGCGCGACCTCTCAAGAGACCAGAGCGCACGCTATAAGTTCGCCATTTTCCCCCAAGTTGCTTTGTTATTCCCTAAGCATTCCTTCTTCTATCAAAATATGAAGTTAATACTTCAACATTTTGCTTTTGAACTCCTTGAAACAATAACTTTTGATAAGTTGTCTACAGAGCTTTTGGCAAGATAAGAGACAGTAGAGTGGCTTGGTCTTTCCAAGCAACGAGTTGCAAAGCGAAGACCCTGGGCGTCAGGTATGAGATCTCAGGTATGAAGTTGTCAAATTCAGCTTGTAATGTGTTTGCTTCGGCAAAATGATAAGAGTACTGTACTTTGACGAAGTCAGTGATGTAAGTTCACATTTTTCCGCAAATCTCATTGCGAAAGGTTTGTAAATATTGTATAGGTTACTTGCTCTTTTGGTATCGGATGGGATAGAAAATTTTCTAGATAAAGACCCGCTACACCGCGGGACGAGTGCAGTATCCAATACAAAGCACGTGTTTTAATTAATAGGAGACAAACTGTTCTTGAGTTGCAAGGCTCTTCTGACTTTTTTCGACAGCAAAAGTCATGCAAGCTACAAATGCCCCTAAGTGGTACTCATTTCGTACCGACAGACACCCTTCCATTGCTACCCCAAGCCCCATTTACCACTTTTGTCTACTTCCTTTTGTCTGTAGGCGTTCGTCTTAGGCCAGCTTTTGTATGTTTCTTGCTGTGTTTGAAGCAAATCCAAATCAAGTAGGCTTTAGGTCACTGAAGATGTCTGTCCTGAACATTGCTGCAGGTAAAACATTGTTCAAAATCATCCGACAAAGACAAGATTGACTTTGTTTAGATGCAAACAAGAATCTGAATGCTCCTTTAATCTTTATATCAACCAGTTCTTTCTCAAAAATATCATCTCTCAAAATGATTTGTAATTTGCCACTGAAAATTTTTAAAAGCATTTTATCTGTATTTCATTGGACGCTGATATGTATAGTTTGTTTTGGTGCTTTTAAAGGAATCAAAGGTTTTGAGAATCGCAAAAGGTATGGAGTAGTTTTTTTTCTTTATATTATCTTTTATCTATTCGGATTATTGAATATGGACTTGAAATATCTTGTCTTTTACCAGATAAGGGATGTCGTTTGTGGGCACTGTAGACAACTGTCCGTTCTGTTTTCCGAAACTTGAAAGATTCAGCACTTTTAAAACTTTGATTTGCACTCACTTTTTGCTGATACTCAATATTCTTAAAAATCTTGGATTCTGGGTTTAAAATTATTAATAAGCGACACAAGGTTTGAGTTTGGTAAGACTCGAGAAAGGAACATCATAAAAACGATTTAGGAATCGAAACAAACCAGCACAGAACAAGCTTGAAAATCCCAGAAACTGTCGATGGAATTAGAGCCTAACTTTGATTCTTACGGATCGTCAAAATTTTTTTAGCTAAAAACTATGTTGTTCTATTCTGCATGACCATTAGAATGATTTTTATCATGTTTCACCTTTATTGGACGTGACTTCTTTCATGATAATGGAAGTCGCCCTTTTCTGTCAACAACATAACCTATAGGCTTACCAAGAGGCCTTTTCATATTGAAGGTGAAAACCAGGTTTTTCCTTTCTACATTAATCAGTCTGAATATATTTCAAAAGTTCACCAATGTTAAGCCCTGTTAATCTTACCTTATTCATTTTTTTAAAAAAGTTTGCAATGAAGATCAAATAAAGATTCCACTGCGCCATTGAAGACTGTATTAAGTTTTGTTGGTATATTCAGTCAAGTTACTAGTTCGCACTCACATCAGTCTTAAATCGACATCAGCATAGTCGTTGTTAAATAGACTTTTGAATTGTTATCACTAGTATCATTAGATAAAAGAACTCGATGTTTTTACTGCATCCCCTCTCTCTCTCCGAACAATTTTGTTTTATGGAATGTTAAGAGGTTTTCTGTTGTCCAATTGGTTTATTTTTGATAACTAAGATATTTAACCCTACAACTTCCATTGTTTTGAAGGAGAGGGTGTTTATTATCGGTCTTTCAACCAAGCTAATCTGCATCTTGTGATGATTCAAAATGCGTTATCTAACTTGAAAAATTTAGCTACAAACAGCTATGATAGAATTAAGGAGTCTAAAAAATTTCCTTTTCTAGGTTGTTTTGTACAATTTGTATAAAAAAAAATCCATTTGATTATTCCAATTATTGACACGTCAATTTGGTGTCACATATCTATTTACTTATTTTGAAATCATTGACCTAGGAAATTTTTTGACCATCTTCATTCATATCTGTCAGATTGATATCAGGTTTTGCCTTTGCCTGTAATTAAGATATTAAAGATTTGTTGTCTTCATGTTATGTTCACTTGCTAGCTAACATACTTACAAGCTTACGCGATTGCTCAAACTAAACTTGAAATCATCTTTACCAACTTTCTGTTCTATCTTCTCATCGACTCTTTTTTGAAATTTCCTATTTACTTACTTCCTTTACTTACTACTATTTCATTTTATTACCCACAGAACTACTTACCCTTCTACCACCTTTTGGTGCTAGATACCTAATTATTTACCCTTTATTTTTGCTCTCCCTAGAATGTTTCCGATGGAGCCTTCCCACTTTCAGAATGCGGCTGTAGCAACAGATGATAAGAGATGTTCAGAGATGGGGAAGTCTATTCTCCTTAAAGGAGGAAGTGCTGTTGATAGTGCAATTACAGTTCAGCTGTGCATTGAAGCAGTCAATAGCCATTCTACTGGCATAACTGGAGGAGGATTCATGATCATATATGACAAAAAATCAGGTGTTTGTTTATTAAATTTTCTATAAGCTCTTTTTTTTGTGCAAAAGTGCTTCTTCGAGCAATACCAGATCTTTGGACCTTAACTCTTCACTTTTGTCTCTTTTCGTTTTCGAAACACTTACTCAGCTCTCTTACAAGTCCAGCAAGCTGGTATTCGCATTTTATCTTAAAGCAATTTTACCAGAGGCCTAGCTAGTAGGGAGTGTAGGAGACTGTGACACCCCTTCCCAATCTCTTTAAGAGTTTGTTGGTAAACCTTCAGCTGGTGCAATAAAATTTCTGGTTTGTGGGTTCAATCGTCTATCGATAGGTGTACTAGCACCTCAATTTCCTTTCATCTATGCCTTCGTTGGTAAATTGTACTACTGGTGACCCTCCACCCCCTAGTCTAGAGGGTTAAGCTACGCCACTGAATTTTATTCTACAAGAACAGCTTGTTCAAAACCGTCCATCTTTGCAAGAGTGATTGTCTGCAAACATTTTGAAAGATTTGATTTTGGTTGGAGAATTTTTAATCACGAGACATATTGCACTAGAATAAATTACAAAATCAAGTATTTTCTATACTTTTTAATAGACTTTATAGAAACTTATTTAATATCCATTCTTCTAATTTTAGTATACCATGTAATAATTATCTCTCGCTCATAAGAAAACTTCCCTCATATGAAAACTTTCCTTTTCTAATTCCAGGAAAATCAAGCGTCATTGATTTTCGGGAAATATTGCCTTTGAAATTCAAGAATAATAAGGGTGAGAGAAAAAACACGTGTTTTATCAATATTTAAACAAGCTTCATTTTGGATTGGCTGTAGCAGTTCAGAGGCAACATAAGACTTATGTACACTGTTGTTCTAGTAACTCCTCCATATTGGAAGCTAGCCACTCATACGTTGTCAGCATTTCATCAACCATTTTGTCAGGTCACTTGATATATTTTCAAGTCAGTTTGAACTTCTGACGCCAAAAGCGCGCCAAGTGCTGAATTTGCGCCAAGTGCTGAATTTGCGCCAAGTGCTGAATTTGCGCCAACTGGAGTTCTTAGAGTCGATTCCTCTGATGCCTGATGTTACTGAAAATATTTTGAACAGCTGAAATGTTCTTGTGGGGAGACGATAGAGTGAAAGCCATGTGTTGAATTATTCAAAGCACTTTCCCTACTTTACATTCAATAAGCATGACCTATCTGAATCATTATTGCGCATGCTGTAGATGATGCGCATGCTTAAGGCACCATGTTCCATGAATTAACCGTTTAGGTTAACAATAGCCCTGCGTTGCCTGTAAAGAGATCGCAATGGTGGCCTACATAGGCCTATTGGAAAACGTAAAAATCGCCTATAGTATAATCAAACCAATGAGAATTTAGAAGACCACTGAAACTCTTCGGGACACATAACCTTACATATTAAGCTCTATTCGGGCAACTGTTTAATAGCTTTATACATCTGCGTCTTTTCAGAGAAAAGAAAAGGAGAAATAACGTTAGTTCCTGGCGTTCTCCGCGGACTTGAGAAAGCGCATAAGATGTATGGCAAACTGAAATGGGAGGAACTCTTTAATCCTGTAATAAGTCTTTGCGAGAAAGGCTTCGAAGTTTCTATCGCTCTTGCACGAGCAATACAGAGCACAAAGTATTACATACTGAGAGATGAAGCTTTAAAGTAAGTGCATGACTGAATTGAGATCTTTTGAAACGAAGAAATGCTAAATGAAGTGAGGAATATGTGGGCCATTCGTGGCGTTACAACGCAGTTTGCAATTAATAAAATTTGTCGATTATTTTAGTGAAATTAAACCCTGAGCCCCAATGGCATAATGTGACCTTTGTTTTTTTCTTTTTACGTTGCATCTCAGAGGACCTATCATGACTCTGGTGTGTCCATCTATTAAAACATGTATTCAGAATGAGCCGATATAATTTGCGATTTCTCTTTTAAATTGCTTTGATTGTGTCTATTTGAAAATAAGCGTGGTTTCATTGCTTTTTTGCTAAAATAATTTGCTTTTTCTGTCTCAGAGAACTTTTGGCTCCAAATGGTAGTTTACTTAATCAAGGCAATATTCTCAAACGCCCTAAATTGGCGCAAACGTTCAGAAAAATAGCTAAAGATGGAGCAGATGTGTTTTACAAGTGAGTATCGGTTATGTTGTTACGGTTTGCTTTTGTTTCAGAGAACCCCCTACTGTTCCTTCTACTTTCAATGTACACATTGCAAAAATGGTTCATCGGAAGGGAACAGGGTTTACGATAATAAATTAATTCATCAGATACATTCTTCAGTTTTGTATCTCTTCTTAACATGATCAGTCAGGTATGCTAATCAAGAGGAAATTTAGTTAATTTCAGTCCAAACTTTGATTTGTTCAAATACTTTTTATGTTGAAGTCTCTTTGCACCCTGGCGGATGTCTCAGATAAAAAATGCATTGTCATTTACATTTTCATTAGGAAAGAAATTGCACATCAAATAGTTGAAGATCTCAAAACTGCTGGTGGATTCATTTCTTTGAAAGACTTGCAGAGGTACAAGGCAATAGTAAGGCGTCCGCTGAAAACGTTCGTAAAAGGACAAGCTATGCTGTCTATACCTCCGCCTGGCAGCGGAGCACTTGTTTCATTGGCTGTTAAAATCATGGCTGGTAAGTCAAGTGACAGAAAACCTCTTATTTGCCTAATCATGACGCTCTGACCATTAGATTTCTTCAAAGACAGTTTATCTATATACGGCTATGGGAAAAATATATATGGATCTCCTATGTTGATGGATAGGTAAGATCTGTGACTGTTCAGTTGATGAGTTGCCAATGTCAAGCATACCTTAAGACCCTTAGTTACACCTTCCTCAACGATTGGCTTGATTTCAAGCATATCCCCAGAACGATGCTCTTGAAAGAAGCAAATAGCTTAAACCTTAGCAGATTTGTACGATCCCAAAAGCCTAATTAACATATATTGAAAGTATAAAAAAACCAGCGACTTACTGCTTCTCATCAGCAGCTAGACTTCTGGGGGATGTACTTACCGTATGTGTAGAATAATTTTCATTTATTCTTCATTTTGAGGTTTTAATTGGACGCGAGACGACATCACTAATTATGATAGACGACCACTAACTTACCATCGAATAATCGAAGCATTCAAATTTGCTTTTGCCCCTAGCACCTTCCTGGGAGACCCAAAGTTTACAAACTTCACTAAAGAGGCAAGTGCTGCAGACTTAATTCAATTCTTGTCAAATCATTAAAATATTAACTTCTTTACTGCGTTAGCATCAATTTCACCAGCAGAATAAATGTAGATATGAAAAATTAATATCCAATTAGATTATAACGACATTGGTGTAAAAAGACTTTCATAATCACGGTATGATAGTTAGCTTAGGCCCTTAAAATTTTTATCAGAACTTTTTAAAAATGAAAATGTTATATGAAGGAACATCATAAGAAAGTCCTACCAAAGAACCACGCAAAAATCACAGCAGTCCTTTAGTAAACTTCAAGCCTTTCGATAGCTATATATCAGCTAATCTGTGGCCTACTTAACTGGACTTGCACATTTAGAGGTATTTATAGTGTTTTATAAAAAGACATGTTAAGAAATTCAAAACTTCAAGAAACATTTATGTCAAGTCCTGCCGTTTGACGTTCGATTGAATTTTAGATTCAGTGTGAAGGTGCAAAATTTTCTTTTTGATTCGTAGTAGCAGAAGGTATAGAACTGCGCATACAAGAGGGAATATATACTTGACGCCATTTCAATTTAAAAAAACGTGATAATTCTAGAGAAAATTTCACATGCGACAAACAAAACATTGACTTTATAAGTTTATTTCGTTTAAAAAAGCTTTTCTGCTGGTCAGACTATCTTTACAGAAGCTTATGACAAATGCCACCCGTTCTCTTTCTACCCATTACACTCTCTTACACATCAATTTATTTTGCTAACAAAAATTATATTTAGACAAACTATACTATCATGATATTCCTGATACCTTCAGGGACATGACAACTATATACAATAACACGTACAAAGAGATTTATTTAACAGTTGCATGATGGTGTCCTGTTCTACATATATGCATGTAGACCTTACTGTCTATATGTCATCGATCAGACAGCTAAAGACTTTATTCTGTACCATATTATTTTGCAATTCTGTATTCTGTTAAATATAATATTCATCTTCTATGGGCAGTCGGCGTTTAACGATTTTTAGAAAGCAGCATTGAATTGATTTATATCCATACCTACTTTTAAGGTAGTCCGGTACATGCTTGATGATAACGTAGCAGAAAGCCTGCGATTGCGAATCGATAACACGTCACATCCTGTCAATTACTATGGACCTCACAGCACAGCTACTCCAGTGGACAAGAAAGGTACCACACACATTTCTATACTAGGGCCTGATGGAGATGCTGTTGCCTTGACATCAACTATTAATGGATAGTAAGTATCTGAGATGTCTGTCTTTTTCACCATCAATTATCAATCAGTGGGATATAGAGCAAAAAATATTTATTAACCTCCGTGAAACTAAAATTGCTGCATAGGTGTATATGACGTTGTTGTGATCCAAATGACGCAAAACTGAGTTTTTTAGTATGGCTAGCACTGTGAACTGTCTCAACTTCTGTTATAGATATCTTTTCTCTTCAGTTTCCTTTACAAAACAGTAGCTGATTTTGATGGTAAACGTTTCGAGTCACAGGAAAAGGAAAATGCAGCTGCCCCCTTCACCCACCAATGCTTTAAACCACTATCTGCTCTTTTGTGTGGTTATCTGCAGGGGGGATCCTGGCCACGGCAAATGCCTTACGTTATGGAAAATTATATTTTCAAAATTGTGTAAGAAATCTCCAGTTGAAGTTTGAAAATCCTGCCACTTTATATCTTTATCCCTTTTGCATAGTTATATTTTCATCAGGTAATAGCATTGACCCTCATTCTCATGCAAGAATCTCTATTTCGTGAAGTGCGAAAGTGGGACATTGTCTAATATTCTGAGACAATGTCCATTGACATTATGGCATCATCTCTATTTTTCTATGCTGGTCGATTAAAGTTTTTTGCACATTATAATTTAAAAGTTATGCATTTTTTATTTGAAACCTCCAAACAACTAAAGTCTTACTTCCGTTAATTTTTTTCAGCTTTGGTTCCAAACTGAGATCGAAGAAACTTGGCTTCTTCTACAACAACGAACTTTCGGACTTTGGTGTCTTTTGGCCAAAAGTTTACAATTTGAAGCAAGACGAAAAAATCCCAGGAAAAAGGCCAGCTTCTAATGCATCACCAACAATATTTGTTGACAAATTTGGAAATGTTTCGGCTGTTTTGGGAGCAGCTGGAGGTCATTTCATACCAACCTCACTGGCTATGGTAAGTTGATGTTTTTCTAAATTTATCATCAATTCATCATTAAAAATAATTTACATTTCAAAAAGCTATACGATCGATGGCCAAGGAGGCCCAGCCTTTAACGTTGCTCTTTATCAAGTCAGTCAAAAAGTAGCTTCCTTTACTTCAGCAATCTTGCAATCATCAGGCAATCGTTAAATTTTTGGGAAACCCTGCCCCTGGGACAATACCCTCCGAAAAATACACTTGCTGTAGCTGCATTCCCAACCCACTAAGCTCAACATTCTATGGATTTGTTTGATTTTCTATATAGCTGTGACCTACTTCACTGCATATCTGGCATCTAATATAGTAAAGCAAAGCAAGTAATAAAGTAACACCTACAAAACTGTTTATGCGCAAAACTTTGGTTGTACTGAAACAATTTTTTCAGGAGCCAATTTTTCCAGGCACTAAAAAGCCAGAAAATTGTACCGTTAATATGAAAAGCTGTTCAGTAGCAATCAAAACTGCAAGTTCTAGGTACCAGCTTGGCTTTTTGTGTCATTAATGCTTTAAGACATTCATCCTCTTTTGTAATCGATTTTTTGCTTATGCCTTCTAAAGTTGCCAAAAATGTTAATTCACATCTTCATCGTTCTTCCTCAAAGTAAACTTAGAATGTCAATTTTACACGTTTAACAATCGTATGCCCTGATATATGCACGTCTCTGTGTTTTCTCAGACTATAGCCAATTTGCTCTTCTTTGGAGATAACGTAAAGGAGGCTGTTTCCAGACCAAGGCTACATTGTCAACTTTTTCCTCCCACCGTCGTCCATGAGTCAAAGTTTCCGGCAGAGTTGATCAAACCTCTGAGGATGTACGGCCATATGCACGTGACAAATAGCACTTACGATGTATCAGGTAGGAATTAGCTCAATATGTTATAGCCTGTTTATGGTAGAGGATGAGATGGTTGTTAAACGTCTAGATTATTGTAGTTATGTTCACCTGATGCCGCACAAGATTGAATGTATGCCCATACCACGTGAAAAATGTATATCATTAAGAGCCCGGCACAATAAAACCTAATTGAATATTCAACGGTGCCACTTACATCATAAAAGTAGTTGGAAAAATAAAAGAGAGAGGATCTACACTTACATTGTTGAGCCACAATATTCGTAGAAATTTGTAATCCTTAGCCTAAAATTATTTTTAAAATAATTGGTGCCTTTCCGTGACAGATGTACAATACATCGCAGTCAGATCTGTGTTGCAGTCGAAAGCGTAATTAACGCTTTTGCCCCCTGTTCATATTGGTCCATTACGCCAATGTACAGTGCATCTTTTCAGCTTAATTCTTATATGTGGATCTGGCTTACTTTAAAAAGCAGCAACTTTAAATGTTTACAAGAGCTGGGTTCTTTGTAAAGTCCTGGGAAATGATGTTTTGATAACTATAATGAAACCGTTCTTTTTTTACTAAGGGCAATATAATGCTGCTATGGGAATCATACAGGCCATTGTCCGGGAGCAAGATGGCAGGTTGTCGGCTGAAGCTGATTATCGAAAAGGAGGCTTGCCAGCTGGGTATTAGCATTGGGTCACAGAATAGGAATTAGGCAGAAGGGGAACTCCTGCCTATCAGGTGAAGCCTGAAAAACTAGCGCATGCGTTAATTTATACGAGGCTTAGCATGTATTTAAGACAAAATGCCCTATGATAGTGAAAAAATTCAATTATGTATCATAATTCGTTTATATCTGATTAATGAAAGATAATTTGTCATGACTAAGTTCGTCTAATGACATCGAGGTTAAAAGGGAATTAAGGAATTCTATTGTTGACTCAGGCTTCAAAAACAACAAAGGAACCGACGAGAGTTACCCTTCTGCCTATTTCCTATTCTGTGATTGGGTGTTAGAGGTAATTTTGAAAATGAGGCAGGTAATTGTTTAAAAAATAACAATTTGAAGCCACCAACTGGCGTTTTATTGTAAAATACTATGCATATAAATTAATTCATAAACAAGTACCAAAAAATGATGTTAAAGCATCAAACGATCTAATAGTATAATAGTTTACATAAATACCAAGTTATTTCTTAATGATAGATTGAAATTATTGATCTCACTCTAATTATAATAACATACTCCGTTTAAAATTGTTTTTTGTATATAGAATATCAATACTACCTTTTAAACATTCCATTTGATTTAGAAATAAGTGAAACTCCATTTTTCAACTAACAAATCACATCCTTTAAAAAGACTTTCTTCCGGTGCTCATTAATGATAATTCATCGCAATAAGTTATTGTTTCAATGGTAAGATCTTAAAAGATCAAAACTATAATATTGTTGATTTTTCTGTGTTAATCTAAAAATAATCTTGTATCAACTCTTTCATGATGGTAATCAGTTGATAAAAATAAAATAAACCGTTATTAAAGGCACTGATATTCAATTTACTTTGAATACACTTTTTTACTTCAGTAATTCTTTTATCTTTACAAAGAATAATTAGATATTAATCCATCTACAACGGAAGCCATAGCAATGCTGTCTTACATGACTGGTTCTTGTTGCACTGCATTTTACCTGTTTACCTGACGTGTCGTTGGGCAATAATGCATTGTGCAAAGTTACATGTGTGCATGGTCGCATTCAAGTTCATATTGTTGTCAAACACGCTTCTTGGAGGCACCAGAAATGAGTGGCTATTATTATTATTATGTTTGATTAAGATATCACATAGTACTATCCACATAGGCCTTTATCTCAGCTAACGGCTTGATAATTATTTGACATATTCGCGTGAGTTATTTTCTACTTCTCCTTTCGTGCAACTAACTACGTCCATATGTATGTTTCCGCTAATACCCTTGACCTATGATCTACCACGTGTATGGATTGTTGTTTATACGAGGCTAACCTCTGACCTTGCACATATCACGTGCTACTATTCTTTCCTAATCATTCGTGATTTCCAGACCTACAATGCCTAAACTTAAATTTCACAGCAATTGTGTTTGATTAAGAGATCACATGACATTTTTGGCTGGACGATTAATGAAATCTCGTTAGAAATGTCTTATTACGTTGCGTGTATTCGAGTCCTGTTAGAGCGTTATTTTGTACTTATATTTGTCTTTTTGTAAGCAAATAAAAGAGGTTTAGCTATGATTAATGGTTCTACATCAATCTTATGTCCCTGTCTACCTTGGGTGTCCATAAAATGATGTGTACGTATCTCATGACATGGCACCAAAACTAGCTATATAACAGACAAGAAAAAGACACGATCTATCGAAGACCATAATGTCATTTGGCAACAATTCTTTCATTATTGTAGTTTCTTTGAACGCGCTTTTGCTTGCTTGCAAGATTCTCATTTCACACAAGGAGATTTTTTCCACTGTATGGCCTTCTCCTTCAAATGGTTAAATTTGCCCAAGTAATCGCATCAGCATTAGCACCCGAATAGACCAATGCCTCAGCACTCTCGAGTGCTTTCAAGTTATTGATCTGGCACACAGGCTATGAAATAGTACTGCCGCAGAACTGAAAGCAGGGAAGGGGTTGTCCTCTCACAAATCCATCAAACATGGGGTAAACTGATTTTAAAAAAAGGTTTCTGAAATTGCGTGATGTAAACGCTAATTTGTAAACAAAGATTGATCGGCATGAGCAGGACTCCTGGCTTCACGCGTGACCGCTATATACTTGCAATAGGAGCGAAATTCCTCTTAATAAGGTCAGGGGCGGCTGACCCGTTCAAGCTCTAAAAGGACTTGAATCAAATTTTTGCCAATTTTGAAAATAAAATACTTAACTTTATTCGTTAGATATCATCTTGTTTTTTGTCATCATGAATTTTAAAAACAATCGTACAATTCTTTACATTTCCATTATAACTTTGTTTTTTGCGATATTTTTTTACGGTGTTACGTCGAAGCCTAAAAGAAGGCACGTGGCAAAATCAGAGGAAAACTCTAAAAAACTGTTTTAAAAACTGTTTATCTGTTTTAAAAACGTATATTGTCGCAAGCAATAACATTTGTCAATCTATAACGAACTAGACATCCCTCTGTAACATCGTTTTTGTATAAATAAGGTAAAACGGATAGAAACCCTAACGTTCTAGAGACAGCGCCTATAGCAATGTTTGCAAGTACTTAACAAAAGTGCCATTTTTGAGCAACAACTAGGTGTTTACAACTGATCTGTTTTTTATTTTTTTTATCTAGATTATGACAAACTCAAGCAAAGTGATTCGGTTGTTAATATGAGTTAGCAAATATCTACAGAGAGCGTCATTTGCCATTTCTTTGAGAGCATTAGCAGCGTTAACCTTTCCCAGCATTAACCCATCTAATGAAAGCCTCTTAAACCGAATTTGCTAACCTTATTCCTTAACGTTGCTAACGTTATCTATTCTCTGTTCGAATTATGAATATGTGTTTGCTTTGTTTTGGTGTTCTTCAAGGAAGAAAAGCTCTTAAGAATAGCAAAAAGTAAGGAGATAGCTTTTTTCCCGTTTGCTACCTATTGTCTCTTAGGATTTTTGAATGAAAATGAGTGATAAAATTCTCAGGCAGGGTAGACAACTGTCCACTTTGTGTCGAAACCTAGGAAGAATTGTAAAATATGAGCAAGGATGTTCCCAAAACAATATTTTTATTAGAAGAAAATTCATACTGAACTTTTAATAAATCAACCTTTTATAAAACCTAGTTTATGCACTGATAAACAGGCCAATCTGAATTGCGTGATGATTTTAGTTGCGTTACCTGTGTATTTCAAGCGCGTTACTTGATGATTTAAAATGAGTTACCTGCCTTGAAAATGTTAGCAGTGAAAAGCTTGAGCATGATCTAGAACTCGAAAACTTTCCTTGGTTTGGTTTTTTGTACAATGCAATGAAACATGGCATTGCTCTACCCTTCGCTACATTCACTTGCCCTACCCTTTGCTAATTTTTTTTATTTGTTTCTAACTAGGTCCTGAGGTAGCTTTAAGGGCACTGAGAAGCTATGCTTATCGAACGGTGTCCTGGTCCTTCCTCTCGATATGACCACACCTCGTGATTTCTACACCTAGAATTACAGAGAGTTGGTGACTCCCTTGGGTACCAGACACTCACTTATTCTACATAGAGTGAGTCTGGTACCCAGGGTAGTGACTCCCCTAACTCTGAGTCAATGTTTCGTCATGCCAGGAACTCGAATTCAAGGCCATTGTATCTGTAGTCCATGACCCTAGCCACTGTGCTATCCTTGCACTCTTTTCTTATTTTAATTCTTGCTGATGAGTCTCAATCTAAAAAGGTAATACAATTAAAAAACTTCAGCTTTTCTCTTGATCAACACGCAGTCATAGCTTGAGCTTGCAAAAAGTATTTCAAATTTCTTGTAACTCACTGAATAAATTAATGTTTCTTTATCGCTATTCACCGAATGAAATTTTAAACACTTCATTTTGAGGTTTCGATTGGACGCAAGACGACATCAATAAAGATGATAGACGACCACTAACTTACCATCGAATGATCGAAGCTTTCAAACTTGCTTCCCCCCCCCCCCCAGCACATTCCTTGAAGATCCAAAGTTTTCAGATTTTACTAAAGAGGCAAATAGAAAAGGTTTTATCATTATATTCTGAAATGCAGTTCGAAAATTCGGTAATTGTTAATATATTCAGTTGGTTTTAATAAGCTTCAATATAGCTCGTAGTGTATGTTTACCAACTGAAAAGAAAGTAACGAGAAAAATTGAAATTGTCAGTAATTGGGTACCAGGCAGGCTTTTTCGCATCGCTAATTCATGCTCTTATCTATGTAGGGCTGAAAATCCGTTAATATGAAATATGTCAATATGACTTTATTCATGATTCCCCATGTTTTCCAAAAATGTAAATTCATACCTAAAAATACACTGTAACATTCAAATATCACTTCACTTTTATCAGCAGCATACTCTGACATTTACACGTTTCTGTGTTTTTGTAGACTATAGCCCATTTGCTGTTCTTTGGAGCTAATTTGAAGGTGGCTGTTTCGAGACGAAGGCTGCATTGTCAACTTTTTCCTCCAACTGTCGTCTATGAGCCAACGTTGAGTTAATCAAACCTCTGCGGAGGTACGGCCATATGCACGTGACCAATAGCACTTACGATGTAACAGGTAGGAAGTAGCTTAATATGTCATAGCCTATTTGTAACAGAACATGCGATGGCTGTTTAAAGTCTAGATTTTTTGCAGTAATTTGATGCAGCATTGAAGGTGTGATCTTACCACGCAAAGTATGTATATCACTAGGTACCCAGCAGCTGAATCAATGCATCTGAAAATTTGATGGTGTCACTGGAGGTGTCACCCTCTAAGTTGTAGGTGGAGAAAAAGCAGCAAAAAATTTTATGCCAAACATTCTCTATCGCATGAATACGTTAATGACTAACTTTTGGTTACGCGAAATAATTTTCAAAATCATTGAATCACATAAAAATAATTTATTGAATTTAGACGAAATACAATTTCGATCCTGATGAGAATTAGGACAAGGTGTCCCCAATTTTGACATTGCTATTGAATGTTGTCAATTTAAACTGCAGTTGATGTTGGAAAACATTACCCTCAGCCTTATACAAGCACAGAATACCTTACATCTTCTAATCAAAACTCATTAGCATTGCATCACATCTCATAAGTTTAAAAGGAGATCGTCAGGCTGATTCAGTAGAATAGAGGAGCAGCATATTCGTTCTGTAACAACTGAACTAATATGCAATCACTATCCTAATATGGTAACCCAATGTGATACAATTCTAAAGATTATATAACTTGAACAAATAGCTACAAAACATCTGTTATTAAATTTTTGTAAATTTTAAACCGTTCACTTTTGACTAAGGGCAACAAAATGCTGTCATGGGGATCGGACAGGCCATTGTCAGTGAGCAAGTTGGCATGTTATCGGCTAATAGTGATTATCGAAAAGGAGACAGGTGAAGACCTGTTGGGTATTAGGGTGATTATCAAAACGAGGCAGGTAACTCAAGTGTTCACAATACGCAGTGAACAATCAACCAATAAGCACATTTATTTCTTGTTCATATTCTACTATCCGTTTAAGAGCATGCCGGTTTAATTTATGTTGACTATTCACGTTTACTGTTTGCCAGGTATCTTTTCAATTTTTAACATGAGCAAAATAAGGTATTTGCACTTGGAAAAAAGATTTCTTATCTCTTATCAGGTTTCTCCTGAAAAAATGATCGAGATAATAAAAATGGCTATGTCTTGGTAAAATGAAATCAAATATTACAGATGGTAAGAAATTGTCCAATTTTTTAAAATTTTGAGGTAGAAAACATTTAGTTAAATTTTTGCTTCAAAGACAATGACATAGAGACTTCTCAGTCTCTCACTTTTGCTCAGGGGGTTTAAATTTTGGGTGCGTGAGACAACAGATAGGTAAAATATCTCCCACTGGTCATTTATGTTTTTCCACTTTACTCAAAAGTAAATAATAATAAAAATTTTCATGGTAGATCGTTGCACAAATACTATTTCATAAGGGCGACGAACTTTTCATAATGCCGGATTTCGCATAAAACAAAGTTCCTGCGACAGTGTCTCTCGATGGTTACATTGCGCATGGCAAGGATATTTTTTCTACCTGTTGCGTGAGACCCCTTATCTAAAAAATACTTTCTTTTGAGATCAATGCGTAAGACACATGCAATACCACATAAACACTAGATAAAGCATGAAGATGTTTACAGCGCGGTGATTTTTTTTGCAACAATCATTAGAACACGAAAAAGCATGTAGAAGACCAATGTTCTGTATCATTTTATTCCGGCTATTGGGAAGGCGTCAATTCTTTCCAACCTTGATGCAACATTGCAACAACGTCGGGAGCATCCCAACATTTGTAGCTCGTTGAATGTAGACTATAATTTACCCTTAAACAAGGTAGTTTGCAGTTGATAAAGAAACGTATTTGAGAACGATCAAGCTTCAGTTAATTTTGATCCAGGGTTAACAAAAACAAACCCACAATTGAATCATATCTCAGTTCTGTATTCTAATCATATATCTTTAAGAAAACAAAAAAGATTTGAGAGACCTCTGCCCCCTTCCCATCTCCATACGTTATTGCACTGCGCCATTCTTTTACACATATTTACCTTGGTTGTCTTTAAATCGATTAGTAGTTTACTTGAGACATGGCATCAAAGCTACACCAAAGAAAAAGACAATTTTTGTCTAAGAGGTTTATGGCATTTTCGCAACAATTATTCAATTATTACAGCTGCTTTGGGGTCTATATCGCATGCATTGCATGTTTGACAAACATTTTCAATAGAAAGATTTCAATCTTACGGATTATCTTTTCTCGACTCATGCATTGATACGTAATAGAAATGTTGGTGACGTTGCCACTGTATGGTGTTCGTCTTGAGTAATCGCTTCTACATTAGCACAGGAATATATCTAGTACTTCTTAAAAGTTCTTTACATTCAAATTCTCAGATATTTCTTAGAACAACCAGTAGCTTGTTATACCATAGTTTTGCACTTCCATTTCTTACCCAACTGATACCACCCCGACTCCTCCTTTACCTCTAAAAATTTTTATAGTTCAGGCGCAAATCCTGAAAACTCACGTGAAAAAGGTTTCCTAACAATTCGTGACTTTGAATAAAGAAACACATCTTGACTATATAGCAGTGATATTGGAAATTGGTAAAAGCTAGTCAGTTTCCATAATCACTTTCTAATACCATCTTCCTATATAAGCTCTATTAAGCAAGACCAATTTTTGAGCCGAAGATGTCAAAAGTTCGTGACTATTTCGTAAACAATCACCGTCAAAAGAAGTAGTTTGGGGTGATTGAATACGATCTTGCGTATGGTTCATGTTAGGATTCCAAGACTCGTGGCTGTTATTGTATCTCGAGGGTATATTTTGCATGAGACTGATTCTGACAAGATGAAGAATCAGATGTTGCGAAACAGAAAACAAACCCGGCTTTTTGCTTCGTTTTCGCTCAGTTGTAAACAACGACTGATGGGCATGTTCGGTAAATTCATACATTGAGCAGGACCACTGGTTTCACCTTGACCTCTTGATACTCGAAACAGGTACGACATTCTTCTAATTCAGGGGGGCGGCTAACCCGTCCTGTCTCAAACAACGTGTGGCTACAAGTCAAAGATTTCTCCTCGACAGAAGAAATTTTCATTGAATTTTAACGAAATCTTGAAAATAAGATGTATACCTTTAGTCGTTAGATATTAACTTGTTTTGTGTCATCATGGATTTTAAAACTAATCGAGCAGCTGTTTATATCTTTCTTGTTACTTTGACTTTTTGGACTTTATTTCATGGTGTTACCTCGAAGCCTAAAATCAAACATTTGAAAAAGTCTGAAGAATACATAAACAATCGGTAAGTGTTTCTTTAAATGCATTTGTTATCCATGTTGGCTCACAAGTCAGCCCTTCAGCGAAAGAAAACTGTAAGGCCAATCTGTATTAATGAACTGAAATTCATGCATTAATTTAACATCCCTCTGTTATGTTCGGTAAGGTAAAGAATGGCAACTGCTATGTTTCTAGAGACAACTTCTCTAACAGTGTTTACATGATACTGTAAAACAAAGCGCAAGTTTGTTTAGCAAGTTGTGTGTAACTGGCCTATGGAATTTCTTTAGTTTTGGGCTTCGGTCAAAATAGATCAAGTGATTTGCTTCTTAACGTGAGGTGACAAGCACCAATATTACGTAAAAGGGGTGTCTTCTTAATTTCTTTTAGCAGCTTAAATCTTTCGAAAGTTTAACATGTCTAATGACAGCCTCTTGCAACAGATAAGCAGCAAAGCTCTTTACTGAGAACCTTAATAAGAAAATTCTGTATTTGATCGTCAATGCATGTCAAGAAACCAATAATAAACTTTAATTTTTTAGGAAAGCGACGCGTAAGAATTGTTTCCATATTGGTTCCATAAATAGTAATTAAATTTACTTTGAATTTACTTAAACTTGTTTAAACATGTCGAAACTTTTGTATAAGGTCAAGACGTTCACCATGGCTTTGAAGAACAAACTTTGTAAAAGCGTGATCGTCGAAAGCCAAATTTGTTTGAATTGTTAAAAGCTAATCTAAACTTGAATAATTATGAAGAAAAAGTTTGTAAATGATTTACTTCCTCACGACACAACTAAGGGCCTAGACATTTTGCCAATCGAAAAACGAAAATGGCATTAACACAGTTGGAAGGTTACAATGTAGCTATTCTACACAAAATGTCTATTGCTTTAGAAGTCAAAGACCAGTTTAAAGCAATGCATGTTTCGATTTTGTAGTCTTAAACAAATTTTTGCTACCTGTCCTTCAAACTTTGTAAATCTAGCAACAAAAGTTTGTTTATTGTGGAATCATGGAATCACTGTTTATTATGGAATCATGTCCTAAGACAATTGAGGTTCTATCTGTTGCATTGGCTGTCGTGAGCTTTTCACCCAACTGTCTAGTTGGTATTCATTGTTAAAATATGTTTTTCTACATTGTTTATCATGCTCCAAGAGGGGCCCAGAAAACATAGAGATCGCACGACAAACTTCAGACCTTGGAGAGGGCCAATGAAAGCAAAGAAAATTCAAGTGACACACCAAAGTCCTTTTTTAGTTTTGTTGTTTAATTGAGGAAGGTTTTTTTAGGCTTTGGGGTTTTGTACAGAGGAGGAATAAACGCTTCTCTGTACTCTGGCTCCTAGATTCTTTCCACAGTGAAAGAAATCCTTATACCAGTTCTTTAGTATTCATCAGCTTCCTAAGAAGACAACGAGACGTTTTCAAGCACCAAAATTGATAGAGATCTGATGTAATAATTGAACCTATCTAGCCAGGTTCAATTATTGCAGCAATACCTCTTAAGCCCTCCTCTAAAATTTAACAAAACTTTTTTCACCGTCACTGTTTTCACAATTGCCTTTCTTTGTCTTCCCCTTTCCTTTCCTCCTTCAACTGAACCCTTAGTCACGTTCCCCTGTCCGCCGCTAAGTGTCATTCACTTCTCTTTCTCTGGTTTACTGCTTCTTTGGTTTCCTTTATCTCAATATACAGTACAAAATAACTGATGTTCTTTTTTGTTTCACAGATCATCAAGACTTTCTAAAGAAGGAAAGCTGGCAGAAGACAGTGACGAAACTGGTAAGAAAAGACAGCAAAATGAGAGCGACGATGGGGTGATGGAGAACGAGCCCCCACCCTCTGACTCTAATACAGACGCACAGACAGACGCACAGACTGACGCTCAAACTGACGCAAGCACAAATGCAAACGCAGACGCTGCAGCGAGCTCTGATTCCGCTTCAGAATCTGCTAGTGTTATAAACTCAAAGACTCATACAAGAATAGCCGCAAAATCTAATGCGCGAACGAAAGCGGCGGCAAACGTCAAACTACAAGCAAAAGCTAACTCTGACACTAAAGTGACCTCAGAGCAAAAAGGGCCGACACAACCGACTGTCCCTACTCAGCCTACCACACCGACTGCTGTCACTACACCTACTGCACCAACAACTGCTTCAACTACCCCTAAACCCATCTGTGTCAAAGTGCCATATCCTTGCCCTGTCCCTTGCCCTTGTCCGTGCCCCCCACCACCACCTCCTCAACATATAATATGCTGTCCATCCCCATGCCCCCCACCATGTCCCCCTCCATGTCCTCCACCTTGTCCCCCACCACCCACAACTCCGTGCCCACCCTGTCCTTGTCGGAAAAGACGAAGAAGATCTTCATTTCAAGAGCGATTGAAACTTTTGATTGAGTTTGATGGAACAGATACATAATTTTCTTGATAAGCAGAAGAATTTCTCTCGCAAAGAATTAAAACGAACGCAACGTAGTGAAACGTATTCAGTTACAACCAGGCCGAGCCTTGAATTCTTTACAGCTGTTAATTGAACAGAAGCTTTAATGCACGAAAATCTTTTACAGTGACGCTTGAACCGAAAATTATTTTTCAGTCTGAACGACGTCTGTTGCCAAATAAAGTTGCAATCATATCTTAAATGAAGAATTTTTATTTTCACGATTACCCATTTTACATTAAAAGTTTGGAAATAGCTTTAATTTTTTTAATTATTAGTAGTTAACACTCGGACATTCAAATTTGATAAAAACTTGCGACTTTTTATTAATTGAGAAATATCAATAGAATTAAATATTTTCTGTGAATAGAACAGATTAAAAAAATTATCTAAAAGCAATAATGACTTGCTCAAAAAGCTAGCTTAAAAACTCACTTAAAAATAATTAGCTGACGACTAAAAACATTGATACAGTTCTCTACATGTATGTGAAAATTCAAAGAAAAATTCAAGGAGACTGCCATCTTTTTATCTTTTATAATTTATATGGCTAATTTTTATACTTTTTTTACAATGATAGATCCTTGTGAGTGAGTTAATAAATATGCAGACACGCTGATGACGTATTTAAAAATACAAACGCCGACACGTTTGACATTTTATGTGTTATTCTCTGATTAACCTCTCGTGACGCTAACAATCCAACTCAATAAGCGACAGCATTCAGCAGCATTCTCTTCTGTGTGACACTGTGTGACAATTCACTGATCAATACTATTCCACTTTTGACCGACATGAACAATAGATTCTCATTGACTGACAGGCAATTTGCGAACCAGATTTTCAAATAGCAATTTGATTTAAATTTCCTTGGTTGCATATCATTTAATTTACGAACCAAAGCTAGATAAAGATTATTGAATAGGCAATACTCCTCCTTCACTAGCATTTTCTGTTTTGGACTACTTAAAAATAGGCATTTTTATATCTGCACTTGAGTCAGAAACGGCTTAAGACTAGAAAGACGCTATACTTGATTGATTTATTCATGATTTATTCACATGAACATAGTCCATGGCACTACCGTTTTGTCAAGCAGCTCTTAAATTAAGCTGTTTCTTTGTTGCTTCTTACTCAGTAGATCAGGCCTGGGCCAGGAATCAAATAGACGTTATTGATGAACACGAAATTTGAAATTGTAGGCAGTGACAATAGAAAAAATTTGCCTGAGCATAGTTATTGTCCATTATAAGTTAGGAGATGATTCATACCTGCAGAGTTTGCTTATGAAAGAAACAGTTTTGACTAAATGGGCACAGCCAAGTGTTAAAAGATAATTTGCTGCAATAAGTTATTATATAGTTTCATTTGAAGGGCTACTTTCTCTACAATCCTTTGAAGCTTCATTGATAAGGAAGAGCATGGGAATAAATCGGAAGCTCGACTCAATTAATTCCATTGCCTTTTGCGATTATAGAGACCATCGTAGCTCATGTCTTTTCTGCCTATTCATGGCACACCTGAAAACACTGTTCAAAGTTGCAATCGATTTCTTCTAACAGTTCACAAGAAAGGAGGAAAACGAGCACCATCCGAACCATTGCGTTTCAAACACGCTGCGGTATCATCAGATCACCATCTCTGCTCTGAAATGGGAAAAGGAATTTTGCAGAAGGGTGGGAGTGCAGTGGATGCCGTTATCACTGTGCAATTCTGCGTAGAGGTTGTGAATTCACATTCAACAGGAATCGGTGGCGGTGGATTCATGCTTGTTTTTGATAAGAAGACAGGTGCGTTTTTATAATACATTATGCAACGGTCAACGGTCAAATCCATTTAATAATTATTTGAACAATTTTTGTTTTGCTTGGATATAATTCCTATATAAAACTAAAGTTATTTGCTTGTTTGGATATAATTTATATATTAAACTAAAGTTATTTGCTAGTAGATGTAGAATTTCTATAGTCCCCAAAACTCCATTCTTGCTCAGAGAAAGAGCCACCAGTTAATTCTTGAAATCATACCGGATATACGTTTTTAAACCCTTTGTTTCCTTGTTTGGCACCTAACATTGATTAAAGAAAGAGAATTTCAAAGCCACTTTCCTAATTCTACCAGTTTGATGGTTTATAGTTTACATTAACTAGATAATTACATGTCTAATCCAATTTTCAGCAAAGTAAAATGATTGTTTGCATACATTTTAGATCACCCTCTAAATCTAGTCTTTCAACTTATTAAATATTTTGCAAAACTAACAAGCATCATAAATACTAAACATATATACATATTTGAAATAAATTTTACATTATATATATCTTTTAAATATGTCAAATATACCTTCATATTTCTTTCTTGTCCTCTGTTGTTCCCGGTCAGAATCTTCACCCACGATTGTTGCCATCGTTGTCAAAAAAGTTCTTCCTTCAAATATAGCATTGCCTTTTAGGAAAAGCGAGCTCAATTGATTTTAGGGAGACTTTGCCACTTGGGTACAAAGATAACAAAAGTAAGCTTTTGCTTTCATTGACATATACTCGTGTAATAGTAGCCTTTGAAATTGTAAGCTATTTTTCTGCAACATCTATAAACTATAAAACTTTAGAAGGTAGCTGTATTTTTTAACTTTGTTACAATGATCAGTTTAACAAACAATCGAAGATATGTATGCGAAAGAAGCTCTGGTGAAGATTTTGAGATCCCAAAATTTTTTCCGACTTTCTAAACAACATGAGATGATGTAAAACAATCCTCTTTGGTAAAAAATTGACTCCTTCGATCAGTTCTGACCACAAAGTGTGTGTCTTTGTCTTCTCTACCTTGCTCCTTTTGTTTTGCCGCCCAGTTATTCTCCAAGATTGTTGCCCCATTTTTTATCAGTTTCCTCTACGTTGATCTGTCAAACGAAAATCTTTGCCACAAGTTGGTGTCGATACTAAATTTTTTCAAATCATTCTTTATCTGGTCTGCGTATCTTAGCTTTGGGACTCCCAATTTTCTCTCCCCATCTCTGATTCATAATATAGTAACTATTATATGCATTGATTGTCCATTCTTTGTGCGTGACTCAGACATTTTGAATTCTTCATTCCAATTATGGTTTCTATGCATTTTAGATTTGATTTTGCAAGAATACTTTATCTTGTCATTTGATACCAATGATTTTTCTAAGTAAGCATGTATGAAAGCTTTGCAATCTTTTCAATAAATGTCTTGATAATCTTTTCAACAAATAACCTTTGCCAATGAGCAAAGTCATATAAAACACCATGAAAGATTATAACAATATCCTCCTAGTTTCGAACACTGTACATAATCCTTCACCTTTCCCTTCTAACTTTAGATAAGACTCAAGGTGAAACAATTCTAGTACCTGGTGTTATGCGAGGCCTGGAGCATGCTCATAAAAAGTTTGGCAAACTGAAATGGGCCGATCTGTTTCAGCCAGCAATTGAGCTTTGCGAGAAAGGTTTTAAGATCCATGCAGCGCTTGGTCACGCCCTTGAGAAGAAGAAAGATTATATAATGTCTCATCCTGGATTGAAGTAAGGGAGTCACGTGTCTTTCTTTGTCGAAGTAATGTTGCTTTTCAATCTGTAATCAATTTAGCAATTGGTGGCTATAAAAAACAGGCCATTTTGCACTTGCATTATATCCTTTTAAAGTAAAAAAGAAACATATTATCATAAAAGTCCATGATAGAAATCATGCTAGATCAATGACAAATATTGTTCTCGTTTAATTCTAATCAGACTAATTGTGTAACAATGATTCGATATTCTTGACTTTTTTCTGTTTCATTAAACAGAATTTTCTTGCATAAAAGCCACAAGAAATCGTAGTTTCGAATGCTTATTCACCTTATGTAATTCTCATATTCTAGAGAGCTTTATGCACCACAAGGAACAGTGCTGAAAGAAGGTGAAATTTTAAAAAGACCAAAACTTGCTGTAACTTACAAAAAATTAGCAAAGGAAGGAGCAGATGCATTCTATACGTGAGTTTTGCACAATTCGATTACTGTTGCCATGGTAGTCAATTAAACGTCATTGGATTGAGACTATTTTATGCAAAAATCCCTTAAAATGAGTTGTTGCTAAAATGCTGTTTTAAATAGATCCGGTAGAAAAGACCGGCACTTTACCCCTCTTTTCCCCAAAACAATGTTAGTTGTAGAATTGAATATCATAACTATCTAACTGGAATCAATTGGAGAGGGAAATGGGAAGATAGGAAGAGAGGAAGCAATAAAAAATTATCGAATGTCTTGCAGTGTACTAATATGTTTTGCAAGAAATGTCAAACATTTTAGCTGCTTGCGTCTACAATTTAACCGGGTTGATTATCAAAAGACCGTTTGTCATAGGCTTCATCTTTGCCTATATTCCTATCGTAAACTTATTCGTATGTTTTCTAACTATTTGCAGTTGAATGCAGTTGTCAACAAAAAAGGTGTTAAAAGGCATCCTTGCTTCATTACATTGACTTCAATAAAACAAAAACCCCAATTGATACATTCATAATAAAAGCTTAGAATAAAAAGGGACAATTGACTCATTTATCTTCTGTCCATCCCAATCAAGTGCATGAATATTTTAGTATCAGCGTAGTACTGGTAAACCTTTCCTCCATAGAGGCTCTATGGCGGCACAGATTGTCAAGGATGTCCAGACCGCAGGAGGGTTTATGACATTAACAGACTTAAGTGGATATCGAGCTATCGAGAGAGGGCCATTGAGGACCAAAATTAATGGCCTAGAAATGCTGACAACACCGCCACCCGGAAGTGGTGCTTTGATTTCTCTTGCATTGAAAATTATGTCTGGTGAGTAGGATAAAAGAAAAATCGATTTTCATCTAGATGTTCTCTGGTTAACTTTACTGATTATGCAATCCCTCGCTTTTTAGTAGGTTGAAATTTTCAGGGCAATGATAGTTAATCAGTAGTTAGAACCGTTTTGCAATTCCTCAGTATATAAGAAAATGCAATTAAAAAACTGAATCTGCAATGTTACTGCAATCTGTATATTGATGCAATTAGAATTTTTTTAAACTTATTGTTGATTTCTTTCATCAATGTTCGAGAACAGAACTCTGGTTCTTAGAGAACACTATTGGCAATTAATTTTGATGCACACGTTTTAATTCATATCTAAGTTAGAAATGTTTTCATTTGGAAGTTATGCAAACTATTTGGTTTTTATTTCTGCAGGTTTTAACTGGACGCGAGATGACATCAGCAATCCTGACAAATTACCGATCACATATCACCGAATAGTTGAATCTTTAAAATTTGCTTACGCTCCATTCACATACCTCGGAGATCCCAAATTTACTAACCACACAAAAGAAGTACGTTCTTTGATTATACCCTTACAAAATCTTGTTAAAATACGTTCGTGATACTACTTATCTTTCCATTAACAAGCAAATGAAGAAGAATATTTTTATGATGCGCAAATTTTGCTTCAGGTTATTCGATACATGCTTGACGACAAAATCGCCGAAAACATGCGACTTAGAATCGATAATGTCTCGCACACAGTCAACTACTACGGTCCACACAGCACAGCTAAACCCGAAGATAAACGCGGGACCTCGCATATTTCGGTCCTAGGCCCTGACGGAGATGCCGCAGCAGTAACATCTACTATCAATGCCTAGTAAGTCGGGGTACTATAAATGCATTTATTAAAGGTTCACAACTCAGTATACGCGGGCTAGTTACGTGGGCATGTGAATGTATCTGTATATACCCTTCTTTATAAACAAGAATTGTTTGAGTTCAAAGCAAGTAAAATGTACCCTGAGAATTTTGATCTAATAACACCATGATCCAATTCCTGCCACCAGTGTTAAAACCATAAATAAAAATCTACGAAAGAAAATGGAAAGCTTGCGCGCTAATCAATAATCTAAACAATTCAGACACCAAAGAACACCAGCCTCAGAATTATGCAATTATGATTGTTTCAGTGTCGTTTTGATTACAGCGCAGCGTCTCTAAAGTTTTTATAAAGCCTTTTGCACATAATTAACGCTTAAAAACGACAATGCTACACTGCTTTATCTATAATCAGGATAAAATGTTCCGCTTTGTTCCTCAAATTTTCACTGAACCTCAATCAGAAGACAGTCATGTCCCACATACTTGTGAGATGTTAGTATTTCCAAACATTTTGTTATACTAGTTTTTTTGAAGTGTTTATGATTAAATTTGTTTTAGCTTTGGATCAAAATTGAGATCGACAAAGCTTGGAATCATTTACAACAATGAACTGGCAGATTTTAGTGAGTTCTGGCCTAGTGTGTACAATTTAGAGAAAGACAGAAAAATACCAGGGAAACGGCCGATGTCGAAATCATCACCAACTATCTTTTTGGACAAAAAGAAAAACGTAAAAGGTGTTTTTGGGGCAGCTGGAGGATTTTTCATCCCTTCTTGTTTGACGATGGTAAGAAAAGCCCAAGATTTTCATATTCCGGATTTCATAGCCAGTATTTAACAGTATTGGACCTAATATAAGTTCAATCTAACCTAAATTTTTTTAAACAAAGAGCAGTGGCGAGGTTTGAAAATATAAACATTTTGTGATTTTTCTACTCTCTAAATTTTTTGCAGAGTATCGCAAATTGGCTGTTCTTCAGAGACAACATAAAAGAGGCTATCACAAGACCGAGGCTGCATTGCCAACTCTTCCCACCTACTGTTGTTTACGAGCCAAATTTCCCCCAAGATTTAATTCCAAAGCTACGAAATTATTCACATGCTTACGTTACCAACAGTACGTATGATGTCTCAGGTACGGCCTTGTCTTTGATCTTTGATAACTCTTTGCAGTTTCATTGAATTCTGTAGCGTTTTCTCAGTAGAAGCTTGGTTCGTCTTTCATGACGTAAGCACTAACACTAACCTTAATGCGCTGTAACATTACGAATCTCAGACACGGCCTTGCCTCTGTAAAACATGACCTTTAAGTTACTTACTTGAATTCTATGAAAATACGTAACTCACGTTATAGAATATTTGCCTAGACAAGGAACTTTATTGCTGACTGGTAATCATGTGCTTGAACGTGTTTTACTTTGAACAATGAACACAAACCTGTTTATTTAATTGAAAACTATAGCAGCTTTTTGCTAAAAATTATGTAGAGTGTTATACTCTTATATATGTTGACTGAAAATCAACTTCTTTTATACCCATGTTGTTTGTTAAGTAATCATGTGTGATCACTTTTAGAACCATCTTTTACTAAAAATTGCTTCCGGTCTAACACAATTACTTGCACGCCTATTAGTCAGGAAAATTGACTTGGCGATAAATATTGTTCTTCAAGGGAAGACCTTGAGCCGAAATATTTTTCTAAATTTTGACATTACCGTAATATTGTTTTGAAAGGCTATGCGAATGCTAATTGACAATAAATATCTTATTTGATTGCTAAGCTTCTTGCATTTTCACTGACTCGTGTTTTATAAATGTAGGTCAACTCAATGCTATTATGGGAGTAGTACAAGCCGTTGTAAGAGAAGATGATGGTAAAATTGCAGCAGAGGCTGATTATCGAAAAGGAGGCAAGCCAGCTGGTTTCTAGGCAATAAGATTATAAGGAGGTATCGAAACTGTACAAATATTGAATGGGTTCAAGAAAAGACTATGTTAGTTCAGACAATTTTGCAATTTGTAATAAGATTTATGGTAATGAGGCTATCATTGAAGGTTTGCTTGATTCTAATGGCGTCCATCTGCTAAACATGTGTGTGTGGCTGTATTTAGTCGATTACAGATTCTTTGATATCGATTTGACTTGTTTGACTTTGATTCAAGAGTTCTAAAAATCAAGCTACATATATGAAACATCAAATAACAAAACTATATAATGGATTTTAGCATAATTTAGATCAAAGCAGGCAGAAGGGTAAAGCTGTATTATATAATGGTTTTCGATGTTAAACATGTTAAGTAAACCGAAGTTAATGTTTTATGACGTTGACTCGACATGGTTTATTATAACAAAAACTCTATCAAGCCACTGCGGATTCTTTAGTTCTGAAGGTTCTAGAGGGGGAACCTGAAAAAATGGGGGCTTTATTAATGCGGTTTGCATGAGAAAAAGTTTTGAAATTAAATGTACGATATCAAATGATGGAAATCTTGCAAATGAGCATATCAAATTCTTCCATTATACAATATATTAAGGATGCTTGACCGAGAAATTGGGCTAAAAAGCTCTTTGGTGTGACAATATTTATCATCTGCCTGACCTACCAACAAACTTACAGTAACGACCTTCAAGCTAAGCGTGTAATGGAATTCAGTTATCCCTGTGGAACTCACATCCCTTTTGTAGGACTCGTCTACCCTTATGAGACTAAGCCTTCTCTTTCTCTGCTTCAGACTTTCGAAGTCCTACTCTCCGAAATACATTTTTTAATTTTGCTTATACCATTACGGTCATTGAGGCCTAACGAAAGTACCACATAAGCAGCAATCTAGCCAGCAACATGCATATTGGCCAGCAATATGAATAAATATTGCCTGTCTAGAACTTCAGCATCAACCAAATCTATTTTAATGATAAGTAAAAGTATTATAGCCAAATAGTAAGTTATTGAAGGCCAGTCAGCGTAGACAATGATAGGAGTACTGGAGAAAAAAGAAATACCTGCATCGAACATTTCTACCCTAGGCTAGTTATATGGGACCTACACCACATTTATATTTAGCATATAGCTATTCAAGGAGTCAATACCAATCACTGCTCTATGGAGTGGTTTGCCTCCGCTATAACTAACACCAGTTCCATTAAGCCCTGGCCAAACGATTCCAACATTTCACCCAACATTTCGCCCAACATTTTTCTTTTATGTTGGAATTTGACCCAACGATGGTGGTCAAACGATCCAACATTTCACCCAACATTTCACCCAACATTTTGCGCTAATCGAAAAAGGACTGGGTAGAAGTTTGCGCTGAAAGCTGCACAGTTTTACGACATTTCGATCCGAAAAAATGCAATCACTGCCTTTTCTTTTTATTTTCTCTTAAGATACTTTCACAGTCATCGTGGTCTTTCAGGAGGAACGTTGCATCCCCTATCAAGGCCGTGGCCTAAATTTGTCCTCCTGCACTTTCTTGTAGCTCCTCTATACTAGGGTTTCTTCATTGACGCTTGATGCCTCTTCTTTCGCACAGAATTCGTTATATTTCGTTATCTTGTCAATAATTAAAGTGAAACTGATTGTAAGCAAACGCGATTGTTGAAACGAACGAAACCAGCCCAAGAAAACAACAACGATGCGGTGCGATTGAATTTTTGCCCTTTTTAGCCAACTGCGCGTGCGCAGAGCTAACAATGTTGGGTAAGGTGGCCAAACGATCCAACATTTCACTCAACACTTCGAAACAATAGAATTGCTGGACGTCAGCAGCCAACATTTTTGACCTCAGTCAAATTTCGTCCAACATCGAAATTTACGATGTTGGGTGACCCAACAAGGTGGTCAAACGATCCAACATTTCACCCAACACCATGTTGGGCGAAATGTTGGGCGAAATGTTGGGCGAAATGTTGGGTGAAATGTTGGATCCTTTGATCAGGGCTTTAGCACTCCAATATTATGAAACCTTTGTTTTAAAGTAGGAAAGCGTAGTTTTTGAAAGCAGAATAACATTCCATCAGCACGCTTGGTTGGTCTCTAACAGGTGTTGTACCAAACCATGTGTGCGAGGGTTTGTGAATATCGAACAACCACCCGTATTTGCAGGCACTGAGATCAAAGCTTACGTCATGTAATTCAAATTGAATGTTAAAAATTTGACGACTTTCAATAACTTGTTTTTGAGCAATCACTGGGCCTATTTAATCAGAAGATAATGCGCTTTTGTTTCGCAGGAAAAGGCGAAAATCAAGCTTAAACAACAGTGACAATTTACTGAGTAAAACATCTTGTAGGCTACAAAAACCTGGCTACAGGATGGCTAGGCCAATTTTCTTTCTATTAGCTTTACTTTTTATTGCCGCTATCTGTCTACAAGCAACTGCAAAGCCGAAAGGAAAGCATGCAAAAAGGTAAGAAACTTCGTTATCTTATTTCTTCTTCATTTGCGTTGATGTTAAAGGCTTTCAAGAGATCAGGTTATGTGATCTTTTGGTCTTCATTGACACAATTGGCTATGTTTATTTCAAACATCTGTCTAACTACGATAATAATGTTTTTATTAGTAAACTGAGGCTGGTTTTTCAAAGAATGGGCATTGATTTATATTATTAATTATTTTAAGAACTTTTTAAAATTGGGACTTTTTTAAACATTCACAAATTTCGTGACTTCATTTAGACGTCACTGATTAAAATTGAATTCCTTTTTCCTCTTAGTCAAATTTTAAAGATATCACAAGTTTTTCTAAATGTTTCAAAAATTTCCCCAACATTTGGAACAATGTTACTTTTAAAAAGAATTGTGTAAAGTCAACCCAACATCTCTAGCTACATAATAAAGAAATGCTGTATGCCATCATTTTGCAATTTGCATTTTTTCCTAAAGTAAATTGATATTCAGTTTTTGCTGCCCCCGACTTGGAAATGCCACAAAAGATGTCAACTGATCTTACTAGGGATTGCTGCTTTGGCTCATGAAACTCCGTCACACGGAACATGACTTTACTTCGAGCTTTTAATAGTCTTGTAATTATCATCATAAAGGACATACAGGCTATATAAACTTGGATGAAGCCACTGCAATTTAAAAATTGCTTCTAAACTTTCTCGATTTTCAAGGGTAATTTCAAAATCTGAATATCAAAATAGACATCATAAGATCATTAGAGCCGGTACCAAAAATTTCCTCTTTTTCCTTTCAGTGGCTTTAAGCCACCACTCGATAAACTTGAGTTATGCTAACATAGCTTCTTAAATTCAAACTCTTAATACGATTTACAATTTAAAATACAGTAGTTCTTAGAATTCACTATCTCTATGAATCTTAGAGATCTTAAAATGAAAGCCCGAATTTGATTCTCTGATTCTTTGATTTTCAAAAAAGGGGAGACATGGCCCACGTGCCTTTTCTGTCATTAAAAGCATTAAATTTGCATCAGATAACGTAACTTTGAATTTCGTGGTTTTCAAGCCTAGAATATATTCTTGGCTTTTTGCGTTTTTAATTAATTAGACGTTTCTTTCTGTGCAGCTCAAGCGCCAAGCCTGAGAGGAAAGAAAAGGAAATAAAGCACGGTAAGCGACAGTCTGTCGGGGCTGGCACCGGAGCTGGTACCGGAGCAGGCACAGGGGCATCGACTGATGCATCGACACAGTCAGATTCGGCGACCCAGTCCGATTCTGGCTCAGAATCAACGAGCCATACTGCAACTAAAGTAGGCACTAAAATATCCACATCTTCCAATGCACGCTCTGGTGCAAATGCTGCCTCAAAAGTTAAGACATTTGTGCATGCAAACACAAACACAAAAGTGGCTGCTGAGCAAAAGGGCGCCCCACAGACCACTCCAGCACCAGTCACTCCTCCAGGCGGAAAAGGAACCACTGCGACTCCATGTGGTCCAAAATGTCCACCCCCAAAAATCATTGTTTGTCCATGTCCTGTACCATGCCCTGCTCCTTGTCCATGCCCCTGTCCACCACCACCTCCACCGCCAATAATTTGTCATTGTCCACCACCATGTCCTCCACCATGTCCCCCACCACCACCATGCTGTCCACCGCCACCACCGCCACCACCGCCACCCCCACCACCACCACCTCCTCCTCCATGCCCACCGCCTTGTCCACCACCGCCGGCGCCGTGCCCGCCATGTCCTCCTCCATGCTGCAAGGGTCACATACCAACAGGACAGAAATTAACTTCGAAAAAGAAAGCAAAGATACATCGCAAGAAAAAGCAGGGAACTGTCATTAACTTTTAAAATAAAATTGAAATCAAAACACTTTTATGGAAATGATTTACGAAGGCTGACACTTTATCGTACTGTGGAAGTTGGATTTTAGGATTATTTAGGCCCTTGCTTCTCGCATGAAAGGACAGAGGGGCACGGGAAAGTTACGGCACCCACCTTCACCAAACAATTATTTTAACGCAGCAAATACTGACAATGGCGCCCTTTTTGCATTGCATCGATGCCCCTCTGCCTCTCACGTGTCAGCAACGGCTAATCATATTACTTCATGTAAGTGAACATCTGTTTTGTACAGTTAACGTTAATCAAAGCACTATCATTTCGTACACAACTCAGTCGTATCAATTAGACAATATACCATATATAAAAGGACAAGCATTCGGAAAGGAATTTTAGACTTATAAGTAATACCTTCTAAAGTAGGCCAAAATACAATGTTTGTCCGTATCAACTTTCTTTGCATAAGCATCAAATGGCAGCTCCTTTGAAGGAAAGAAGTTGAGATACTGCGATTTTTCCAGTTAATTTAGTTAATCGCGGTCCTAGTGTTAATATCATGTATACGCAATCGCTGCTCAAAAGTACCTAAAATTAAGAAAAAACAAGGCCCATTTATTAGAGTGAGCTAAAACGAGCAGTTTCTGACTAGGCCCTTGCTTGAGCTTATTACCTTTTTAAACACAAACTTCAAATAAGCGAAGTTATTTGTCTTTCTTTTACCTCTGAATTTTTTTGCTTTTCCCAGGCACACAATTTTACCCTTTTGTCCCCTAGCCACGCAAATTCTCTTTTGATATTGTAATGGCCGTGCCTTTATTCTAAAAATTTTATAAGTAAAACAGATTGCAATTGTACACAACCATGTATAGAATATACAACTATAACATTACTTGAAAAGTGTAACTCTATTGACAGTAAAAATAACTTCACCTAAATAAATATGTTCATTTTTTGGTGTAAGGTGTGTGACGCACAAGATTCTAATTTCTGTATCTTAAAGAAGAAAAGTCATATTGAAGGAAAGAAAAATATATTATTTTCTTTTAAAACTTTTCTAGATGAAAAAATATATTCTATAAAAAGTTAAGGCAAAAGAAGATTTTTCATTGCTCAATGGCCGAAATCGGCTTCCGCAATTTCTGCCAAAACTTCCCAGAACACACTCGAAGTCAAGTTTAAAAATTACAAGTTCTTGGCTGTAAAATACAAAAATTATACCCCCTTCTCTCAATCAATGATGACTGAAAAGCCTATAACGTTTTCAACAGTGCCACACTTAGTACCACATACAATAGCGACGCCACGGGGGATATGCCCCCACCCCAGTTCTCGGCAGGATCAGTTTTGTATTTCGTCTAAATTATACGAGATAATGTTGGAAGACAGAAATTTTTTGATAACGTATTTTTGCGATATACTCCTACGATTTTGAAACTACCTTTTAAGTGACTAAAAGCTAGTTATGGGCGTCCCCTGTTTGTAAAAGGGCGTTTAATGACAGTTAAAAGGGCCTGGCCTAAATTTTTTGTCTCGTCACTCCTCTCCCATAGAGCCTGGTGGCTGGTGCCGCCCCTGACCACATAAGCTTTGGAGCTATGACTAGTCAATACTGTTGCAAGGAAGAGAGAAGGATGCGGCTGAAATTATGTGAAATATTAACGTAATGTAGCAAGTGCCTTATCACAGGCACTGTTTGTAATTTTGAGATTATAGGTGCCAAGAAATACTCATTTTCAGCCTCTAGTTGCTTTTAACCATGAAACTTTCAGTCAGCAGCTTTTGTCAAATAAATTTCTTCAAAACTTTTAAGAATTTTTTCCACGGATAAATCAATTTTGTGCTCTTTTTCCCATTGTGACCGTCCAATAATTCTCTCTTTGGCCAGAGAAATTTAAACCCAATAAGACGTCAAGAAATAGTGGAAACACGACATAAAGTATTGAAAAAGTATTGAGTATTAAAACGGTCGAATAATATCCAAAAGTTTAACAAAAATTCGTTTCCCGATGCATGTCAAAATAGTATGGGAGGCAAAATGATCGTTTAAAATTTTGAAATTAAAATCTTTGAAAAAAGCCTTCTCGATTATTCTTTTAAAGGAACTCAACAATTTGATCAAAATTGATGTTCAGTTTTTTCGGAATATTTTCTTCAAACATATTTTCAGAGGAAATTTATCTATTGGTATCTTATCTTGTGTTTTCTAAAGAAAACAAACAGGCTAAAGCACGAGAAAATGTGAATCGCTGGAATGTCAAAGAAGCGCAGCCTAACAAATTCAAGCACGCAGCCGTAGCCGCAGACCATTACAATTGTTCAATAATTGGAAAAGATATTCTAAAGAGGGGTGGAAATGCCGTTGACTCGATCATTGCTGTGCATCATTGTGTAGAAGTTTGCAATTTACACTCCACGGGCCTTGGAGGCGGTGGCTTTATGAATGTTTATATGAAGGGCAAAACGCCAAAGGATGGTAAGTTATCAGCAGCTTCAATCAGCTCAATGTAGTGTTTAAGGACACTTCCTTGATAGTGTTAAATTTGAAGGTTTTCATTGCAATACCATACCAAGCATTGTTAGCAAGTTTGCTTCGCTTAATTTCCAGAATGTTGTGATCGTTGTTGTTGTTGTTGCTGTTGTTGTTATTTTGTTGTTGTTGTTGTTATTGTTGTTATTGTTGATGATGATGATGATGATGATGATGATGATGATGATGATGATGATGTTGCTGTTGAATCCTCATCTGTTGGAATAACAACATTGATGACGAATGAATTCCCACGTCGAAACAATGATTGGAGATTTTGTCTTGAGCAGAGAATAAAGAGCTATTCATGAAGTTCATAAAACAGAAGTAAAAAATATTTTTATAGCTTTCTTGGGATCAAATTTAGTTGATCTTTACTAATTCCTCGTTTTGAAGCAACTGGTATTTCAAACATGCTTTCTTAATTTTGAAGATTTTCTCCAAATTCTTTCGAAGACGTTTTTAAGTAAGTACTTATACGGTGGAGAATAAAAAAACACATTGAAAATTCTGAAGCATGTAAAACATAAATGCTTTGTTATCCTAACTTCAGAATACAGTTTCATTCTTTCAACCTGTTACACCCCTTAGATTGAATCAGGCTTGTTTACAAAAAACTCTTTCGTATTTTGGTTTTAATTCACTAACATCTAAACAATCTCCGGTAAGTGAGAACAAGAATGCTTAAATAGTGTAATCCTTTGAAAACAACGGCATCTAGCCTTGAAGAAAAGGGTCGTTAGAATATGGAAAACTGGTGTTTAAGTCCCTTTTAACGTGAAAGAAATGTCCTTATTTTATCATTCCTACATTCTTTTAAATATGGCAGTAGGTCTGCTCTACCATTTGAATTTGATAAAAAGAAAGCTACTTTGTATGCCAATAGTTTTCTTAGTGTGGCGTAATAAGGAACACTATGAAATTCATCTAAAGCTGAAAGCTCGTTTGAATAAGTTCAAAACTGGGTGCGATGTATTCAGTGAAAGTTCGCCAAGCGATTACTGCTATTTCGGCTTGGCCGATAAAGTTATGAACAAATACCAAATTACAGTGATTTGATGGGATAACAACCTGTCATAATGGGACCTTATCTTAGCTAAACTGCAACATATGTACCTGATTTTGCACATCTAGCTGTATTTTATGATGCTATGTCAGACGATGCGATCTAAATTCAAAATTTCAAAATAGAGACTTTTGTAACGTCATCACTTAAGAGCTCTTTAACAACAGTGGGCGAGGCAAAAGGGTAGGATATGCCGACATAAGGCAAATTTCTAAAAAAATTAGTTCAAGTCAGGAAAAATTGACAGAACTGCTTAGTGAATTTTTACAGTGTAAAGGAAGACGGAAATCTATGTTAAATCTTTTATCAGATTTGTATGCGTTTCCCTTTCTTAGTGTTCTTACTTTTAAATCCAAATATTTCAAAGTTACATGAAAATTCCTCATAACATTATATCTTTCTAGATATCAAAGCAATTATTGACTTCAGAGAGACACTACCACTGGGATTCAACGATGAAAAAAGTATGCTTTATTTGAAATAATGATATTTTCTTGCGATTATCATGAGATTAAGGTATCCAGACTTTATTCAGCTCAACATCAGTAAAACACCTCTTTTTTCTCAAAACATTGATTGCAAGCACTGAAATTGTTTACTAATTTTTAATAGCATTCTAAAACCAAGATTAACCAAAGATTACAAAACTGAAATTTCTATTCAGCTATTGAGTAAATTCTAATTCGATAATTTGATTATCAACAGACAAGACACAAGGAGAGACAATCTTGGTTCCTGGTGTCCTAAAAGGCCTTTGGGAGGCTCATCAGAGATTTGGGCGACTGCCGTGGAAGGATCTCTTCCAACCTGCCATTAAATTGGCAAGATATGGATTCCGCATTCACCCGGCTCTTGCAAAAGCAATTGAAAAGAAGAATGATTTCATCGACTCTAATCTTGGATTGAGGTAGCAAGCAACCCTATTTTTTACCAATTGACGCCTATACACCATTTATCAAGGAATGGTGGCTCTTGCCCTTATAGCTACCTAATCTTTGATTTTGTAAGCGCAGAGTAGCGCAGAGAAGCACGGAGTCCGAATTTAGAAGAGTCCTGTTCTACAAATCAAACCAAAGCGCAATTTTGAGACTGTTTGACGTTGTTACCAGAACCATTCCTCCGAGAGGCAATTAAATCTTGCAAACAGTGTACGATATTTTCACCTACACAAAAGGAGTTTTGGATAATACACTAGGAGTTCCACCAAACAGTTTTTCTGCTATCGGAGATTTCAAAAGAGTGATTTGCTCTTGGATTCCTCGTAAAACCTTAGCATTTACGGTGGTTGCTTTTTGCTCATCAAAGCCTATCCCACAGAAGACTTTATTGTTAAATTCTCTAATTGCACTTTTAGATTGAGAACTTATTTTGTTACAGGGAACTTTTCAAGCCAAATGGTTTTCTATTGCGAGAGGGTGATGTTCTACGTAGGCCAAAACTTGCAAACACATATGAAAGATTGGCTGAACAAGGAGCTGACCTCTTCTACAAGTAAGCCTCGTTTTCTGATTTCTAATACAGGTTCTTAATTTCTCTGCCACAAATCATTACTTTTGCTATGTTTGAACGTTTCACGTCTTGTCGTCACCTGGCGATGTAATTGAAAAGAAGAAACAAAAACACATTTCATTCAAAACAGGCTTCTTTTTACGAATTGATAGCGAATTGACGTAGTACAATATATAAACGCTTGCCAGACTTAGTCATTCTTTCGTTACTGAGCGTCAAGTTGCATTTTGTGTTACGTTTATCATTACCTTGAAATACATGCTCTCCCCAGTAACAGCAGCCCTCCTACATCACTTTGCTATTGATAAACCTCTTAAGGAGAGAACATGCCCTGTGTATATGAACAATTCCAAAGAAGTGAACGTTTAAAAGAAATCAAAAATTCTAAACTTTTTCATCAAATTGGCGACGTGATGATAGCAGAAAAAAATCTTCTCTAAGTTCAACTTAGTCTATGTTTTTCTAATCTTTGTCTGCTTTGTCTACATTCGCTAAATTTACTTTCAGAGGTGCAATTGCTCAGCAAATTGTCAAAGACATTCGCGAAGCTGGTGGCACTCTTAGTCTAAAGGATCTTGCAGAATACAAGGCAATTGTTCGAAGGCCATTGGAAGCAGAAATTAAAGGACTAACCATGTTGTCTAACCCACCACCAGGAAGTGGCGCTCTTATCTCACTGGCTCTGAAAATCATGGAAGGTATTAAAGTTATTTTCTTTTTTTTTGTCATTCTTTTCAAATATTTGGCAGAGTGTGTGCAATATCAAGGCTAAAATTTTGTGTAGCCCTTTTTGAGATGATTGTTTTTTTGTAATATTATCACAATGATATGAAGGTGTGATAAATATAGTTGGAAAATTACTCATAATATATTGTTGCAAATCAAATAGCCTTTTATTTCGATTTAGAGAAGTTGAGATCAATTAACATTATAAAAGCTAAGTCAATTATTTTTATGTACACGCCCACATCGAGACAGACACTTTTGGATCTGGGGTGTAGGAATGGTCAAAAACAACGAAGAAGGCAAAAAGTGACTTATGATTCATTGTTTAAACCAATAGAAGGGGCAAACGCTGCTACTATTAAAACATTTTAGTTTCAAGGTCCCTAGCCCCCCCCCCTTATCTGTTGGCTCTGCTTTTGGCAAACAAATTTATAATTAAACCTCTAGGATTACTTGCATGAGGGGCACATTTAGCAGCTAAGTTCTTCGCTTTTTGTTTCTCACTTGGCTGTTGAAAGTTTTGGAATCGTTGAAAAGTTGAAAGATATATGGCTTTCTAGATAAGTCATGCACATGTTTTTGCATTCTAACTATCAGTCTTTGTTGAAAAAAAAGCAAAAAAAAGCTTTTGAAATAAACTTTAAATGAAATTTTAATAAGAATCTTTATGGGCTTTAAGTGAGCAACTCTGATCCTTGCCCTCTCGTGACATACCTTCATGCAACAATAGCTCAAATAAAAACTCTCGATTTTTTCACTCAACCCTCGATTCGATTCATACCTAGGGTTCAACTGGAATGCTGAAGACATGAACACAAATGAACGGGCTCCACTCACTTATCACAGGATCGTCGAAGCCTTAAAATTCGCCTATGCACCATTTACTTTTTTGACTGACCCAGGCTTCAACAACAACACTGAAAAGGTATTTGAAAAAAAATCCCTTTTAAATGCTATTTGTCTTCAAGATTCTTATAATTCAAAACAAACTTTTTCTGAAGGTAAACAGCAGTATCTTTTGCTAAGTGAATTCCATTTTTTCTCAGCCGAAGTTTTCAGATCGACTTTTCTGAGCTCCACAGCTCACGTATAGAAAATAAAGCAATAGCTTTTGAAATGTTTTTTTACCTTTTTACTCGAAAAAGTTCACAACTTCTGTGTTACGTATATTTTTTCTGGAAGTGATTGATAGAAATTTATAGAAAATTATAAACTTTGGTCTCTCTGTGATCTTTCTCTTAAGAAAAGGTTAATACAACGATGGGCTGCTCTCAATCCTGTTCTAGTGACTGTTTGACTCTTTACAGGTCGTCAAATACATGATGAGCCCAGAAGTGGCTGAGAATATGCGAAAAAGAATTGATGATAAATCTCATACCGTTGATTATTATGGGCCATACAGTGAAATTAAGTACGAAGACACAAATGGAACATCACACATGTCTGTTGTTGGAACAGATGGCGATGCTGCTTCTATGACAACGTCAATCAATGCTTAGTAAGTCAAAGTAGAATATTATTTGTAAAGAAACAGAAGCTAAGGTGTTTCAGAGATATAAGATTTTTACACTGGCTAAAACGCAAGTCAACAAATTCTGTGCTGATGTGATGGTATCCAAATTTCTAATCACTGTCAATGTTAGCTAGCTTCTTACTGATATCAGTGAGATGGAATAAAGCATTTTATAGATCCAATTAGGTGGATAAATTTTGTCAGCTTCTTATATACTAAATCTCTCTAACATCCATCGTAGTATAATCAATCCCTAGTCTATATCTTCCCGTGATTTTTAAGTTCTTACCCAAGGTAGTTTTGCTTCTGTTTTGTTTAACTATTTCTCATAATAACTAACACCAGCAGTTTGTCATCTAGAAATAATTTGAATAATACCAGAAGTATACGAGGCGATTTGTCCTATATTCTTACACTATTCTATTCTGATTCTTTCTTCCTAGCTTTGGCTCAAAATTGGTTTCACGTGAACTAGGATTTATCTACAACAACGAACTAGCCGATTTTTCAGAATTCTGGCCCTCAATCTACAATTTAACAAGAGATGAAAAGAACCCAGGAAAACGACCAATGTCGAAGTCTTCACCAACAATTTTCATCGATAAGGACCGAAATGTTCAGGCTGTATTTGGCGCAGCAGGGGGCTTCTTCATCCCATCATGCCTTTCGATGGTAAGACTATTACTTTGACTCAACATGTTCTTCAAAAAGTGAGAATATGACTTTTTCTTTATTTCTGTGTAAGTTAAGATGTCAGGTTCTCTAGGATGGAAGTATTTCAACAATGATTTTTTTCTCTAGACTATGGCAAATTGGCTGTTTTTCGGAGACAACTTGAAAGTAGCTGTAAGCAGACCTCGCCTTCATTGTCAGCTCTTTCCACCAACAATAGTCTACGAGCCGACTTTCCCAGATGAGCTTGTTCCGAAGCTAAAAGCTTTTCATCACGTTTCAGTAACTAACAGCACATACGACGTATCAGGTAATTCTTTGATATGATATAATACTGCTTGCTTGAAAAATACGTAAAAAATGCACATAGTTGTACATTATTCTGCAATGAGTACAATTGCAAGTTCGTTAGTTGCTACAGCGGTTTCTGCGACTTTTAATGTTGCGCCTCACTTATAGCTTGAGTTTCAATTCCTTATAGACCTGGGTGTAAATTATTTCGAGTGTTTGCCTGTAAAGTTTACATCTCCATATTGTACTACAACATAAGCCTGTGATAATGTTATTTTGAAAACCAACCTAAAACACATATGCTGAAAAGTGATATTGGGAAATTATTGCTTTGTATTGATTTTTGTCTAGGGTCTTATGAAACTTAAGACTGTAAGAGGATTTTTATTCAATTCTTTCACCGTTATGGATTTATACCATAGCAAATGACAACTGAATTACCATGAGGCACTTTTTAATGAAAGTTGTAAACTTATGCAAAGTTTGAACAATCAGCTTCTCGAATTAAGCCTTGAAAACTGTATGTAAACACGTGTTTATAACCGATATATTATCAACAAATGGATTCCTATTTTAGGACAAATGCATGCCATTATGGGTGTGGTTCAAGCTATTGTCCGAGATTCCGATGGTAAGCTTGCAGCAGTTTCAGATTACAGAAAAGGAGGAAAACCAGCTGGTTTCTAAGTATGTTATCAAATACCGTAGTCGTATACACCAAGAGCTAAAAACAAACTAGATGATCTATCTCCATTGTCAAAGTGCAAGAATAAGAGAGAATTAAAAGCAGAATATGACGATATCACATAACCTTTTCTAAGGAAAATTTGCTGTGGAGGAAAATCATTGTTTATATAAAGAAGGGTACAATAGCCTATTGTTTGAAACAATGGAAGTTAGTATGTTATAAAGGCCCTGAGAAGATTTTATAATATTTTCCTGGGGAGCATGTTTTTTTCAAGCGGAATAGACAACTTTAGCTTCTTTTCATTATAATAATCTTACATCTTAGGGCCTCTTGTTTCAGAGAACATGACCATCCGTAATGGTTAGGGCTAGAAAAAAACCTAGGTAGAAAATTCTATATCTCTCCATCTTTAAAATGTCTTAGTCTATACCTTCAAAACATTTCAGACTTTGCTAAACTAGTAGTAAAGAAGCGTATCTGCTTTAAGAAATAAAACTGTACTTTCCAGACACAGTAAGCCTGTTTTTCTTAGACATGCAATTTATTCATTGTTTTGCATTCTAGTTTGATTTTTGCTTCGGTGTATTTGCCACATAGGCTTTTTTAGATAAAATGTTTGAATTTAACCTTAAGTCATTTTTAACTGTTAAGTTATTTGTAACAAAATGGTTTATGAAACTTTTGTGAGTTTTAAAGCATAATTATTGTATTTTCGAGAAGATTGAAATGTTTCATCCAACATCGGCGTTTCTTGTAAGCTCTTCGTGGAGTAAAACATTAAAAATTTGGTTATGATGATAGTTAGCAAACGATTTCTTCAATGAACACTCTACTGGAATAAGCATGTTTTTACCAAATCTTCTGGAAGAGCTGTACGAAACGTTTTCACAGAGTTATCTTCATAATGTATTTTCAGTTTGATTCTCATCTCAAGCTAATTAGGATGACAGTATTATTCTGATACAATAATACAATGAGAAGCGACATTTTTGCAATTCTGGGTATTGTATAATTGCAGAAATTTCCTCAGTATTCGATAAAAGATCTTCTTTAAACGTGAAAAGTTGTAAAAGTTATTGATTGGAAATAATATAATGTTTGAATATAACTTCTTTGTATTTTTCATGGCGACTCTTCTGCTTGTGGCGTTCAGCCTTTCAACTGGATCAGTAAGTCAAATAGAAAATTCATTGGCTAGTTCGGACGTTACAAGCTTTGAAATTTGGAAAAATCAGAAATTTAGTTAAAAGCTAAAATATCGGTTGCACTTGTTGGAAAAGATTATTTGTCCGTTGTAGGAAAGTTTCTGCTATAAGACGGTGTTGCTGTAAAAAGTGACTGCTTCTTGGAGATGAAAGAAATTAAGGCTAACTTTGTTAAAGCTCTGTTGCTTTTTATGCAAAAATACATATATAAATTATATTATGTCTTTGAATTGGAAGCATGTCAAGTCTTATGGACATTTATTGTTGGAGAGAATTTTCGCGAATAAATAGTGGATTTAGGCAACTAAACTTCTCATGATTGCCTAATTGGCCAAGAGCTATTTAAAAGGTAGGTTGGTAGCAATTGAAGTATAATTCCAATGACTTGTTTTGTATTTCGCTAATAGTAAACGACATTCCAAATAAAGAGTTATTTATGACAATCATGAAATCATGCTGAACATTACTTTTTACATAAATTTGCATAAATCAGCATAATCCAACATTTGGTCGAGAACAGAGTATAACGAAAAGCGTATGGAGAGTTTTCTAGCGACTTGAAATGTTTTCTTACACATTGATTGTTATCGAAAATTGCATTTGTTTGTAAACATTTGCTGATTTTACTATTCCACATTTTGAAGTCACGTTACATAACAAAATGTAGCAAGTCTCTAAAAAAATATGTAAAAGTTGTTGACTATTGCTCAAGCTTTGATATTTGCAGCTTAAAGGTCTTTGCTCTACACTGTGTGCAAACTATCTAATCTGCGTTTCCTCTGTCTTCTCTGTATTTTGAGCATTCTTTACTTGTTTAGAGCGCTTTTGGACGCTTCGTACATGTTTGCTTTGATAAATAACTACTGGCTAACTAAAGATCTTTACGTTGATCAAGATAACAACCAAGGAACCGTTTTTGAAAACAGCTGTCTAGAAAATGTTATTTCAACATAAATTTTCGGAAAAAAGTCACACGAATTTCAGCAAAGATAAAGTTTGGTACACCAAAGTGTTCAGTTTATTCGAAACCTCCATTGACCAGTAACATTTCCTTTCGATTTGAAAACCATTTAAGCAGGCCATTGCAAAATGCTTCTTTGTTGTCAATCCTCTACATTTCTTACATTGCAAGGAGAGCCCTTTTATCAAAAGGATTGCATTCCCTACTACCCAAGAACTTCCATTATTTATGAGTTTGCATGCCAGTGTGGTTCTGGCTACGTAGAACGCCCAACCCAAAGATCACACTTTCATTATTTCACTTTTTCGCGGGATAATATAATAATATAACAATAATGAATAATTTATTTACAGTTGACAGTAACTTATTTCGTCTATCTGGCATTAGGCTAATTCAGGCCAACCATTTACAATAAAAGTGATTATTTATAAAAAATAATGATCTATGAAAAGCCTAACCGTATAATATATATTTTTTGCACAATCTAAGGCTGCACTCGAAGTTTTCTTGAGTTTTTTTGTTTCGTTTAAAGAACTTTTGCCATATTTTTTGGCCAATAAATCAACTGGTGTCTGTACCATTGTTGTTCTTGCACTGGGCAAAATAATGGTGCTGTTTGCTCGAAATTCATGTTTAGCTTTCTAGTACCAAAAGAAACATTGCCCATAAATGTTGGATTCAAGCTGTTGATAGTTTTATGTGTCTTGATCAAAGGCAGCGGTAAATTTGTCTGGCCAATAGACACTGATTTTATTTCAGTTAATAATTGAACAAAATTGTAGGTGTTTCTTCTCATATGATCCGAAGTGCATCTTTATCAATCTTGTTTATTTTGTTATTTAATTTAGTTTTTGACTTGTTTTTGCAGAGGTTAAGGTTACTCCAAGAAGTGTCTCCTCGGTGCTCTCTTCTATCACAGACCCACGGATGTTGACAGAAACCTTTTTATCTTTTTCCCAAAAGAAAGAAGATGACATTTTTCTTCGTTCATTTTAGGTAATTATCCTCAAACCATTGCGATAACAAGCAAGCATCTCTTTCTTGCGATTCTAAATCAGTATCTTTCACCAGATCAAAACGTCGTTAATGTAGATATTGAAGAGCAGGAGACCCAGCACCGAGTGTTTATTTTGTTTTGCTCAACGAAACTCCATCTTTTTCTATGGTCCGAACATATGAATCTCTATGGGTACGAACACAGAATAGGAAATTCTGTGGTACGAAGTTCTGTTTCTGCGGAGGACAATGCCTCGGCCAATTTCTACAGCAAACAGGGAAGGAAAGAAATGGCAGCGATATACAGTATTTACGTCGTGAATAAAGCGGGCAGTTTGATTTACCAGTTCAATCATTACGAGCCTAAGTCCGAAGTAGAGAAGACATTTGGTTATCCACTTGGCCTAACGCTGCGTGAAGTCGACGAAAAACTTGTTATAGCGTTCGGAGGAGGGGATGGCTTGAAAGTAGGCCACAGTCTTCTGGCAGTGAATGGAGAGCTCCTTTCAGGTTTTAAACTTATTCTCATTTTAGCAATACCATAAGTAACCGAGCCATTAAGCTTTTTAAAAAGCTAAAAATTTTACGTGAGGCCAACTTGCTTTCTCCTAACCGCAACATGCTGACTGATGGATCTCTTTACAGAGTCTGTCTGTAGTAGCTAAAGGGAAGCTGGGTTCCAGGGTGGACGTTACACCAGATATATCCAGCATGGTTGCATGGACTTATTCTTCAGGCTTGTACCCTTGATTGCGACTAAAATTTTGATACCTTGCTTTGATTAATGTAGCCATAATGGCTTCCTACAGTACGCCATAATCTCCAAAACAAAAATGTTATGTTATAGGCATTAAAGTTTTTTTATTTAAAGCTAGTAACTTTAGAAAGCCCCTCATCACCTTTGTTGCAATAGAGGCACTTTTGTTTGGGGTTTGAAAGTTAGGTTTAAGATGATGGTTAAATTCCAGACTGGAAACTTTGTCATGCGTCTCCACTAAATTGCCCGCGCACTCAAATTTACCATCTGCATACTTTTGCATATTGGCCGCACAAAGTCCCAATTTAAAAGAAATTTCCATTATTAGCACTACAAATTGCTAAATGTGCATTATTTCAGGCCTTGTGCATTATTTCAGGCCAAATTTTCAAAATGAACTTGCCTACCAAGAAACAAAGTTTCCAGTTTGTGTGGTTAATGCTGTCCAAGACTCCAGAGCTTGGTAAGCCATACTAACGAGTATGACATCGGCTTTGAAAAAAGCAAACATTTGAGTTAACTAAAGATTTTTCAAGTTTTGTACCACCAAAAGATTGTTTAAGTATGACATCTCAGACAAGAGTGCTTGAAAAATGTAAATCCACCCCAAAGGGAACAATCTGCATGAATATGATTTTGCTGGGAACTACCATTAAGAAAAGGTCTGAAAATTTTACCAGGCTTAAAAAAGGTTTATGCAAGAAATGCACAACAGGTCAATTATTTATGCCTCATGACCTTGGTTTTAGCTTTAGCTCATCTAAACTGAAGCTCAGCAGAAAAATCAATCAAATCAATATAATATTAGTTCTCTCAACAAAAACTTTAAAAAGGTATCATTCAAGTTTGTATAACTGGTATGGTAAGCTGCAAAATTGTTATCATTGCTGTCTTTAGCTATTGATAAATTAAAATACGGTATGATATTCTGGCAACACTGCAGAGATCACAAGATTTTTCACAACCAAAAGCAATCTTGTTGTTTTTCTTATAAAGTCTATTTAGAATTTCGTTATAGTTTTTTCTCTTGCTATAGTAAAACTTTGACCATTTTTAATGTGTTATGCAAATGTTCATCTTTAGGAAAATATTTAGCAAATGGTGAGGATGCTCGAGATTTCTTGAAGAAAGAAGAAAACTACCCTGTTTCTTTAAAGTTTGGAAAATCCAAATTGACGACAAATGAAAGAATTATGCTAGCAAGTATGTTCCACTCTATGTTTGCTATTGCTTGTAAGTTATCACCAGTTGAAAAGTCATCAGGTATAGAGTCAATTGAAGCAGACTCATTCAAATTGCACTGCTACCAGACACCAACTGGTACAAAGTTTATTGTGCTTACTGAGCCAAGGGTGGCGAACATGGACTCCTTACTAAGAAAGGTGTATGAGTTATATGCTGACTTTGCAATGAAAAACCCATTTTATTCCCTTGAAATGCCAATACGTTGTGAACTGTTTGATGCAAATTTGCAGCGACTGTTAGAGCAGACTGAAAAAAGCATGAACTTTTCAGGAATGAGCTAAAAGTAATTATATCTTTTATTATTTAGAAATCCAAGAATAGAAGTAATCTTTGTAAGTATTGTATTTTAAAATTGTAGTTGAGTGAATATGTATTACACTAGTTAAAGTAAACGTATGCTATCCTGTTGTCTCTATGCTTAACTCATTTTCATGATGTCTGACCTTCTTTCTTGATTTCTTTGAATATTCATTCGCTCTTCATTTTGTTCTTTCCTTCCTTCGTTTTCTTTCCTTTGTTCATTCCTGTCTTTGTTTGTGTCTTTGTTTCTTCATTTCTTCGTCCCTTTCACACTTCCTTCCTTCATTTGTTCCTTAATTCCTTATTCCCTCCATGCCTTCCTTTTTTCTTTCCTTCTTCCTTCCTCCATTCCGTCCTCCATTCCTTTCGCCATTCCTTCCTCCTTCATTTTTCCCATCGTACCTTTCTTCCTAACTTTCTTTTGTCTTTTCTTTCTTCCTTGCATCTTTTTTTTCTTTCTTTCTTCCTTCCCCCTCCTTCCTTCCTTCTAACTTTCTTTCCTTCCTTTCTTCCTCCCTTCCCTTCTTCTTTTCTTTTATCCTGCCTTCCTTCCTTCCTCTTTTCTGACTTTCCTCCCGTCCTTTCTTCCTTCCTCCTTTTATCCTTCTTTTCTGTTTTCTTTCCTTCCTTCCTTCAAATCATTTTTTCTTGTTCTACACTGTTTTTTCTTTTACATTTTCTATCTGTTTGCAAACATTTTGGTATAAAGCTGATTTCATGGTTTCCCTCTCATAATTTGCAAATTATTATATCAGTAAATAATATATCTCCTTTTTATGGCACAATTTTGGTGTGTCAGTAGAAATCAAATATTGTCAGATTGTTTGCTTTAATTCTTGACTAGCCAGCATCCAGTTTTGACATCAGAACTGACAAAAATGTGATTGCTTTAGTGAATATTGTTTTGATAAAGGTTTTAATGACCTATTGATCTACAAAGGACGAATATCCTGTCGCAAATAGAATGGTTAATAGTTTTCATTATAAAAGTCTATCTTTTGAATTTTTGAATTTCAACAGTAACAAAAAAAATCATTAATTGTGCAGAAATGTTAAATCTATTACAACGCGGGTGCAACCTGGCCAGTGAAAAAATCAAGTTTTCTAAGGAAAAAGTTACTGTATAAGTTTGGTTTCATAATTCAGAGCCAAGACTACGAAGAGCAAAGAACAGTTATTTAGGAAATGGCTCCTGCTTGTGTCGCCCTATTCCAATTTCGGAAGATTTGTGAGTTGCTCTTGAAGGAACTATTTATGAGATCTTACAGACTATATTTTATAAATTCTAAATACAACCTCAGGATAGGAATCTTTGGATGACAAATATCAGAATTTGATACAAGCATGAATACAATAAAAAAATATAAGACCTAACTAACTTTGTTTGATCAACCAATGTTCTATTCTTATAGAAAATCTAGCTTTAGTAGAGAACATCACCCTAATTCCAATCAATTGTTAAGTATCATTTTTGCCTCTTTAAGGTAAAACATTTTCACGCTTTAGCTGGATCATATCGGTATTTGTAGAGTCTTATCAAATTTAAAAAGTAACAAAAATAACAAATTTTTACACACGCTATACAAAAAAATAACAAAAGGATAGCTTTAAGCTTAGATTATTTTAAACGACCAGTGACAAATGCATTATCAAAATATTGTCGTTCCGAAAGAAACCCCGTTAGCGGACAGCTCCTAATGACGGACAGCTCCAAGCAATGGAATACAAGTTTGTCTCAAAAATTCATTTTTACAATGGCAGTGCCTAGTATGAGTAGTCTTTCTGTAACGGAAACTGACCCTGGTACCAAAGGTATCCACTGCATTGATTTTCCTATACTTAGTCCAATTCGGATACACCAATACCGTAAATCCTCAAATTGCCTCTCCCCCTCGAAAAAGCCCCCCCTCCTCGAATAAGCCCCACCCTAGAAATACGAATTTTCAATAAGCCCCCCCCTCGAATTAGCCACCACTGCTACCCTATATCTTTGAATTGGCCCCCTCGATTTGTTGGCTGTTGTCATCTGGCGTTGCTTTTGGTGTTTTTTGAAATACCACAAAATTTCATACTAATAATTAATTAAATGTTCATAAAAAAATTACTACTAAATTATTGGAAGTCTTTTAATAATGCCTTCTTGATGTCTACTTTCATTTTAGAAACTCCTCCATGTATAAGCCCCCCTCGATTAACCCCTCATCCAAAAATATAAAAATAATGTAAGCCCCCAGGGGGCTAAATCGAGGATTTACGGTACTTGTGTATAAGAGCCAACACCAGAGACTACCAGGACCCAGGCCGTTTGCTGTTAAGGAACAGCGCGTAATCAAGTATCGTTCTTGCTACCCTGGGTACCAGACTCTCTATTTTATTTTATACATAGTGAGTCTGGTATCCAGGGTACGTTCTTGCATATGCGGTATTAAAATGCTCTCTAGGCTTTGTTGGATGTTTTATAAAAGGCATTAGCTGAAAAAGAATGTTTTTAATTCCTTTTTTTGGAACACAATATCTCGCCATGAAACCAGTAACTTTCCTTGACCATACTGTGTCAAACACTAGGTTATGTTAGCTCAACCTAGTTTGCTTTTATTCGCATCATAAACCATTTACACACACAATAACCCACCATATATCACCTAAATCCATGTAGAAATTTTCATCGGCAAGATCACGATCTTCGCAATCCTTTTCACCGTAAACAATCGTCTTCTGGTGGGAGTTTTCGAATTGTTTTTTGAAACTATTTTCGTTAAGGTGATTAACCATTGGAATGGGTTGTCAACCAAGGTTAGCGCTCTTTCTCTTACAGTCGATGGATCATAAAACAAGAAAAAATTCCGGGGGTAGTTTGATAGACTTCTCTCCAATCCAGCTGGCAATTCGCAATAAGCATTTTTCGTATCTGGTTTTATTTTATCTAGAATATATAAATACAATTATGAAGATTCTCAAAAGAATTTAACAGTGTATAGCTACAAGCTTCACATTGGTTTTTTCAACAATCATTGCGGTGCGGTGACACGTTCGCTTCAGTTTATCTAGTTGTTCTTCTCAAATTTGCAGGAAAAACATCCATTACGTTATTCATCTCCATATTTTAGTTTGTGGTTCTCATGCAATCGTTATTCTATGGGCTTTTTGAAATTGCAATGCAGTTTAGACTTTGCTGTTTGAATGAGTAGTGAGTTCATGTGGAATCGTTTATAAATTACTGATGCTGTCGAAAGTAAACCGTTTAACTTTGTACAAAGGCTTGTCTGTGCCCCAGTCCAGGCTAACAAAAGCAGGCATGAAGTGGACCACACCCTTTCTAGGAGCCGCCTTGAAAATTTTTTGTTGCTGCTATTGCGGGCTCCTATCCCCAGCTCTAGCGTCTAAGATGACTACGCCCTTGAAAGATCGCAAACGTACTTTTCTGCCTGTGTATGGAGGAAATGTGACAAAAAAGGTATAAGTACTACCATGTCACAAAGCTGCTTACAGGTTGGAATGCCCTGAGCTTTTTGAAAGCATTAGACCTGCTGTGACAATTTCGTTTTGTTTACCTCTTTATCTTTATACATCTTTATATGTCTTTATACAGCATCTGTTGTAAGAAATTATATTTCTTTCATTGTGAAGATTCAGAAACTGTAAATTTATCGTAAGGGTTTACAAAGTGTAATAATTAACAGGTTTCTGCACGTTGCTGCCTTTTGCTAGAGGAGATGACTTTAAATATGGTCTACCAGTCTTTCGACTTTTAGCGATATGTTTTGGAACGATAATGAAAACTTAGGAATTAGTGGCTTATCTTGTGACATCTTTCAATGGGTTGTTTCATTGAGGATATCTTTGCAGATTTGAACTCATTTTATTTACCTCTTCATTTTATCTACCGATTTGAACTCATTTTATTTATGTTTTTTGTTGCCGAGCTTAGTATTAGTACATTGTTAGTTGTAGCGCTGTCTTAATGCGTCAACGTGCTTTTATTCATTTAAGTAAAAAGGGAGCTTTTTTGGGAGGACTTTTTACCTATATCACGTTACCTAAGCTACTTTCACCGTGTGATTGTAGCTTATGTTTGTTAACTCCCCTTGCTTGCAAGCTCCAACTGAAAATGTGTTTGATCTCACTCTGCTTGCTTCACATTGCCTGTTATTCATTATCGTGCCCTTAAGGTTTCCACCAAGCTGCTGGTTACTTAGAATTCTTTCCGCTTCACCAATGTTTTTTGCAATGGTTACCTTCATGGCACGTAGCAAACCAAACCCACATGTTCCTTCTCAAAACCACTTCAAGAGCTTGAACGTACTGGGTGAAAATACATAATTCCACCTTGCCAACTTCGAGTTTTTCTTGCAATCTTATTTACGCGCGCTTTTAAGGTCACGTTATAAAGTACGATCGATATGGTTCTAGCTCAGCTTGCCTATAGGGCTAATTGAAACTCAAGCAAGACATGGCATGGTTGTGATTGCAAGCTCGTAGTTTTAAAACGTAAATCGGTATGCTTGCACTTAGTTAATTTCTTTTTATTTTGGCTAGCTCTAAATGCTTAAAGGCTGCACGTTGCCATAGTTCCTGCCAACGAAGCTGCGGAGGACCGTGTCATTATGCAACTTTTTATAACATGGCCAATAACTTAAGACGTGGTTTACACAACAGTCCTTTGTCTAATACATTTTATAACAAAGTAAAACCAGTGGTTTTGTCAATTTATAATTTTTGCATGACAATAAACCATCTAATTGGAGATGAGCACAACCCAAGGAAACATCTGACCAGCTGCCTTGAATTCTGTGTACCTAATAAATAACTTTGTTTCGGGTTCCTTAGATTATAGGCGCTTGATAGATAGCCACATTGCTGATATGGTTTCGTTGGAATCCTCAATTGGTTACGATATTCCAGCGAGAAAAATGGCTTGGACTTGATTTTGTTAAGATCGACCTCCCCTCAGTGCTCCCAGACCTAACCCCCGGAAGAAGGTTTCGATGACTTTGCAAACTATTGGCATGGTAAAGGCTCTTTGTTTATGGTTTTACAGGACTATTTGTAAGCGGTTCCAAATGTTTCTAGCAAAAGTATTTCCTAGTTACCAAAAGCAAAAGGCCATTGACGGCACCATCGCTTGCAAGGACAGATGAATGCCCCATTGCTAACATGAGAAAGAATGGCCAGACAACATTTCATACTGCGCGGAGTTTGGATTAACATCTTGTTGTCTTGTAACTTGGTGCTAAATGGATACCATTCTGAAGTGGCTGGTAAGTTTCGTTCGCTTGAAATTCCATTAATTGATGAGTTTTTCTTACCACTGCATGTTCTCTGGAACAGAGCAGATGGAGTGTTAAATGACTTATGAAGCAGCTTTTATGGACCATTAAAGCAGGGGCTACGGGGGTTTTAGCCCCTCCAAAAAACTTCCAAAATGTACTTAAAACCATATAGAAAATCGCCCTGCTCTTGGTTTTTAGCATGTTTAGCCCCCCTAAAACGTTTTAGCCCCCTTAATCTGTAATATGCTCCTATGTCCTTGCCAGGCTGGTATGGGCACATCATAGTCATTTTCAATTGACTATGGTCAGATCATTTAACTTGTTGACATCCATATTTAAAGTTGGAATAGCTACGTTGCAGGAATCACATGTTGTGTTCTTTCATAAATGTCTAAATACCATATTTTCAAGAAGGTTGAATAATGGTAACCAATGAAATATTTTCCAAAAGAGCTCAGCTGAAAATACTTTGTGGTGTGAGCAAACAAATGAGGCAAGTGCGTTTCATTTACAACATTTGTTAGCATATGAAAAGTTTTGTTTGGACCCAGTGTTTTTCGAGACGTCTTGGGTGCAAAATTTTAAACTTTTCAAAAGTAGTAACTTAAATATAAAACAGCAGAGAAGACTTTTTTGCGAAATGTGAAGGTTGAGGCAACCGTTGCTTCTCCTATTTTTACCATGATGCATAACCTCTGTCTTTCAAAGCTCCTATTTGGCCTATATCTTCGTCAATGAGATTAGTTTTGTTGTAAAGAAACAGGTTATTTTTAAAATTTTTCAATAAAAGCAATATTCTCTTGTAAGTTTACCGCTAGACTTTTTTAATAAGATCAACATTGAAATGACATGCAAAGGACTTATCCCGTTGCCCATCTAACCAATCCAATTTTGTTCAGACGAGAGGAAATGTTTTCTTTAAGGTTTGGGTTTTGAGTATGAAAATGGAAAGGGGCCTTATGGCAGGCTGTGTTGGATTCCCAAAAAAATACTTTGATAGATGCAATGTCGAATAAGCGAAGGATTATTGCTAGAAGAACAAAGTTAAGGTCTTTTATTATATTTATTGATATTATATTTCATGCTGTGCCGGGGCGTTTCAAAGCAAAATTGCAAAATCATGAGAAAATCCTCACACAAATGAGCGATTCTGGCATTCCAAAAATCCTAAAATGTTGAAGAAGATATTTTTCACGAAAGCGTCAAATATTCCTAGTTTGTTCTATGCCTTAAATTGAAGAGATTCATGAAATCAATTCTACGTTTAACTTCCTAGTTTAACGTCCTACTTATGTTTAACTACGTAGCAAGGTAAAGATTCCCTTGATTTTCTTTCAATCTTCAGCATGCTGCTTTTTGCTGTTACATCCACTTACTTAGCCCAGCTTTTGTTCTGACAACAAAATGCTGATATCATATTGCCATCCTTTTGCATTCCATGACTTTGCAAACGTGGAATAAACGATGCTTTTTATTATTTTGTGCCTATTGAATACTACTGTGTAGGTTTAAAGTTGGGAGGAACTTGACTGTCACATGGTTAATGACTGCGTGGAATGCTTTAGAAGGCGAAAAAAATTTAGTTGGCACAACCAGCCTTCGCTTAGCATTTCGGAAAGTTTCGGCTGGTTAATGGAAGGATAACAACTTTTCTTGATGTATTAAGTTAGACATGTTCTTCTATATCAATGACCCTTAACATACCCATTGGAACAGCCAACAAAGGTCCGTGGTACTTCTGTAAATCATTATAAATCATTAACCACCTTAAAGAGATACAACCTTAGGTCGACTGGTCTCTAGTTACATAAAGTCTGGATGCAATATCAGATCAGAAATTGTTTGAGCAGATCTCTACTTAGATTTTACTTTAGTAAAGGGCGTACAAAACCGCGAAAGTTTGCCAAGCTAAAGAGGCTAGAAACCATACTAAAAATGATAGAAATACAAAGAGCAACGGCTCATTAACTTCTTCAATGCTCTTGTCAATGATAGTCTAATTTTGGACTACAGAGCTCATTCCACCAAAAAATTGGCAGCGAAAGTGGAGGTAAATCGAGTGTTTTTAGTTAGGCTATGTTCGTTCTTTATTTCAACCTGATGAGATCCCTTCACTATTACACCGATGGCCTAGTTTTATCTTATTTAAATTAAGAAAGTCCTATGCGCAAAAGGTGAAATGAGAGAGGCTTCCTCAAAGAGTCTATGACTGAAAGTCAATTCGTTCTACAAATTCCCACCACTGACTGTGGAAAAACCCGATTTCTTTTCAGCGTTTGAATGAGTTACTGAGAATGGCAAATGAATCGATTAAGTTGAAATAAGCGAGTCATACTTAGTTTCTCTCTACTTGCATTCTTTTATGTCTCATAAAGAACCACGAAGAACAGTCAGCTTTTATGCAATGAAAACGGGACTTATCCAACATGCATTATTCATAGGGTATATTTACAATATCAACCGTCTAAATTATTGTCATCCATTGATGTGTTTCGCAGCTGTGTAACTCATTTCATATTTTTTCCAAAGATGATCAATGTGTCAATTATGCTCTTCTCTTTCTTCGTTGCATCGCCTTAGTAACATCACATAACTTAGCTGGACGTACCTCATTACGAACTTAAAATCTGTTAAGATAAAGATTTTCGTAAAACTTTTAAGGAGTAAGGGTGCAACTTTTAGCACTTCTAAAGATAAAATGGAAATCCATCTTTTTTTAACTTTTGTACATGAAAAAGTAAATACCACATTTAATGTGAGACAGAGACTAGTCAAAAAGGAGCAATTTAAGAGTATCTTCTCTAAACAGGTTGCAAACATCGAATACCCTTAGGAATGGCGTCCGGGAGAATACCTGACACAAGTTTATCCGCATCAACGACGTACGGGTCACCAGGCAGTTTTGATTATGCTCCTTCTCAAGCGAGGCTAGGAACTGTCTCGTGCTGGTGTGGAACAGATAATGGAACCTGGCCAAATGACTGGATACAGGTTGCTTTTGGTGCAGAAATGTCTTTAACTGGAATTGCTATTGAGAGGGGCTCTGAGAATCCAGCAGACATATTGACCGAGTTATATCTGGAATACAGCCACGATGGCGTTGTCTTTACAAATCACACCGATCTCAATGGCAACATTAAGGTACTGCTTATCTTTAGTTTGTCAAGAAATCTGCTGTTTATTTCCTGGTATATTATTAAATTTTTTTGAGTCGAGGACATTGGTTTATGTTGATTAAAGTACTGGGACAGTGGATGTTTTCTACAGTTTTATGGTCCCAAAGAGGAAAGGGATACAATTTCTAGTAAAGGTTTCTTTTTTCAAGAAAAGAACGCATAAGCCACGCTTTTTCACAGTTTTTGGCTTTTTGCACAATTGGCTTCTATGGTCATCTTAATCTTGTAAACCTATCTAGCGTTGAATTAAAGTTCTTATAAAAAAATATTTTGTAATCAAAAGAGTTCTCTACTCTACAACGAGTTGGCAAACTCTGCAGTATAATGAAACTTCAGTGCTGCAAACCTTTCAATAAACTTGTAATCTAAACACATTCATATTTTTTTTAGTACAATGTTATCAAGATGCCATCAAATGGTATCAACACACAGTTTTTCTGGCTTGATGCTTTTGCTACAAAGTACATTCGCATTCGTGCCTCGAAGTTGTTGCTGGCATCAGATAGCTCAAGGTTCTGTCTACGATTCGAGTTATTTGGCTGCAATTCGACATTGGCTGGTAAGAGATTTGCTGCTGATAAGCAGTTTTATAATAAGATGCGCTATTTCAGAAAGGACTTTAATCCCTTAAGCTTTGTAACACCCCCCCCCCCCCAATACAGCCAAAGGAACGGAAGCCAAATGCAACTTCCAAGGCTAGAACTACCTCCTTTGGAATAGAAACCATTTCATATCTAGGGGGAGGGGGGGTGGAGTTATGGCATACGTTGTCCACAGAAATAAAAGATTCATCAAATCTTGTACAGTTTAAAGCTCGGAAAAAAATGGAAAGGACAAGAATGTTGTTGCAAACTATATAGATGCTACGTAGCTCAAGTTGGATTCCTTGACTAGAAAATTAAAAAAATAGTCGTCTTGGTGTAAAAATATTAAAACATCTTTCAACTATAAACGCATTGTAAAATTTAAAAAGATTTTTTTTAATCTTCAATTTCATTTATTTCATTAAATAACTAATTGTTTTATATATGTAATTATTAATTATTCATTCTTAATTGCTTTTTATTCTAAATTTTTGTAAAGTAGGCCTCAATTAGCTTGTACATAAACTGTACATAGATAGTTATATTAAACCCGCCTACTGTAAATAAGTTGATTATTATTAAAAGCTAGCAGTGGGGCATCCATCGGTAGTTGCCAGCGCAACCATGCAAACCCGAAACCCCTACTAAACCACTATATCTTTTTTCCATTGCCAAGGGAAGCATTTTATCATTTAGAGATGTAACCTACGGTTAATAAGTAGTGTCAGTGATGGTTTTCAAACGCCAATTTCCTTTCAGATAAAGATATATTTCCAGCTGGTCTAGAGAACCAGATAATGACCAATTCACAAATTTCTGCCTCATCGAGTGCCACCAACAACCCAGCCTTTCATGCAAGGCTCAATTTTCCAAACAGTTGGTGCCCTGTAACTCAGATGAACGAATGGCTACAAGTAGATTTAGGCCTAATTTTGCTGATCAAAGGAATCGCAACTCAAGGGGCTTACGGAAGAGCTGCCAAAGAAATGGTTTCGTCTTACTTATTGTCCTATGGAAACGACACGACTTCTCTTGTGTTCTTACAAAATGGAGGGCAGAATTTGGTAAATCACTAGCTTATCTATATTTGCCAAATTATGATGTGAAACTTACATCTTTTCTGAACAAATACCAAACGAAATTGGGTTGCATAAATTGTTGCCAAATCGAGAACTTTTTCCTCACGAATTATTTTGGCAACAAAAGGTTATTGCAATTTTCGAAGTATTTGTCATACTTTGATTATTTTAGTAAATATAAGTTCAATTCTCAATGTCGAAAATTCATTAAAATATTATGAATTGTTTTGCAGCTTCTAATTAATAAACTGCCAAAATTGTCACTGCATCAATATGAAACTCGCATTCTTTTCAATTCCTTCCAAGTTATGTACTAAATTTGGATTTGTATTAAGCACAAACCTTTTTCGATAACAGCGAGTCCTATTTGCAACAAAGGTATTAAAATTATTGAGAATTCTTTAGTAAAAGAGAGTAGAAGGCTGTTATTTAGAATGAGATTCAAACTCTTACTCTGTGCTTGCTACAGCATGGCCAATGTTATCATTTCCTTCTGTTCACACAACTATGAAGCTTTCTGTATTTTCTCAGACGTTTACTGGGAACAACAAGACAGCCGAAGACCCAGTGTTCAATGCAATAACAACGAAAGTTGTTGCAAAGTACCTCAGGTTGCATCCATTACTAGGATACAAAAGTGGATATACAGAAAGATTTTGCATGCGAATCGAAGTTTTTGTCACCCATCCAGGTTGGTGTATATTCTAATGACCCATTCATTGAATTTTCTTATTTTTGTATGTTTGTATGTCAATGATAACTGAGTAAGGGATTTGAAAACGGGCTTGTCGCCATAGTTCCCGAGAAATGCCTCAAAAGGTTGCTCTGTCCTAGTACAGCTTGACTTACAATAGTGCAGATGAGATGACAGCATGAAAAAGGCCAACAAATGCGATTTCAAAAGAAGCGGTTTAAATTTGTATGGAAATGAAGCTATAAAAACTGTGACTAAACTAAAAGCTCACCATTGAATTTTTCGATAACATTTGAACACCAGTCAATGGATTGCAGAAGGGAACCTCTGGCTTGAACAATCCATTTGGGCCACTCTAAAGCTATTATTTGGAACGTCGTTTATATCTTAGGCTTTGCGTGATCACAAAGCTTCCTGCACGCTTGTTTTACCGGTCACCATTTATTATATTAATTATTACTTGTCTCTTTTATTTTTGCTACATTTTATTCCCTCTTTGCGACGTTGTTTAGTATTTTGCAAATTTTACCTCTGAATTATTCAAATTTTTAATGTTTCGGAATTTCAGAATGTTCAACAGACTTGACATCCGAAATGCAAACAATAGCGACCGTTATCCCAAACGAGGCCTACAAGTATTCTCCTTTCCGGTTTGGCATCAACGCCGCCTCGTCCTGGTGCCTTGGCTACCAAGCACAAGCCGAGTATTTACGAATTGACTTCGTTAATTTGCGCCTAGTCAGTGGTGTTGCGGTTGCAGGCAGTTCGGATTATGCTGGTTGGGTGACAAAGTTTGATGTCAAATATGGCTTGGTCGGTAATAATATGAGAGTTTTGAGAAAGGTGAATGATATTGCTTTTGTAAAGTCACGTTTCCGTTTAGTAAGACGTCATCAGATAAATACACACGAGAAAGAGTGCGATACATGATCATCTGGTCCTAACTATCGTTGGAACTTGCAATTTAGTTTTGATAAGGTGTCAAAATAAATAGAAAACAAAACAGACAGGCAAAGGAAGAAGGACTTCTTCTTTGGTTTAATTACATAAAGGAACCCCGGCTTTGATGGAAGAATATGTACCGACATCTGACAAAAATAGCCACTCTGAGAAATCAAGCTATTTCAACGCCAAATGTACCACCCAGAGCCAAAAGGCCAATCCAGATAAAAAATCCACCCCCACCAAATTATGTGAAACAAATACACCCAGTCCTGAATCCCCTCCACCGAGTGGGCAACACGACGACACGTAGATAGCATTAGGAAACCAGCAATCTGGGTTGCACTTTTTCAGCTAGGGGGCACAACCCACAGATATACTTTCAAACCTTATCTTGGTTTTTACTAAAGTGATGCTACGTTTGTTTTAAACACGATCGATAAGGCTGCTAGCAACGGGAAAGGAATGACCTAAGTACTAAGTGCTGTGCTATATCGTCATATATATAGTTTATTGAGTATTTGAGCAAGTCTCATGAAGTATAGCTGACAGCAGAAGTCCAAAAGATGGGTAAGGGGACATTTACCCCTTCTAGTACGCTTACAATGAAATGTACTGATCATGATGAAATGTACTGAGCAAAAACAGCGCATTTTATAAACGGTTTGGATAAGTCACTTTTATCGTAAATATTTGTATACTTATCTTACGCTCTAAATTCGTTTGTTGTTTTTGAAAATAAGTAAATTATATGCTACACTGTGTTGCAATTTTCGTCATTGCATGATATTCATAAGCGCTCTTATACCAACAAAATCTCATGCAGGCCCTTCATGGAAGCATGGGAAGAACCGAAGTAGCAGTAAACTGGCTGGATGAGCCAATTATCGCAAGGTATATTGAAATAGCACCTAAAGAATTTGTTGGAAGCAAGTGTTTACGAGTCAGCATTCTTGGCTGCACTGGCGGTGAGTGAAAATATTACTTTTATAAGATTTGCATCACAAGATTTTCATGCATTTGAAGTTTTTATGCGGCCGCCAATTTGTTATTCTCCCTATCGCGTTACTTTTCATTCGCATTTTGATAAAAATTGTCTACTTACTGTTAGCCATTATCTGACATTTATGCTCTGCGCAGTGTCGGCCGAAAAGTACTAAAGGACTATACTCAAATTTTGAGGTATCAAATTTTTGGTCATACACTCCCCTCACGAAAGTATAAACTTCCCTCACGAAAGTATCCGGACAGTTTCGAATTTAGATGCGAATCTGTTGTTGGAGAAACTTGTTTACAAATTTCAAAGTGAGTTTTAATGAAAACGTTTTTATCAATTTCCTCGAATTTTTTCTTGAAGTTTTTTGGGCCGTTGATCTATCTATTTTATTGGGTCGAAAAAAAATAATTTTATCGATACGTAAGCAAACTCTGTAACGGCTTTTCCTCAAGATGGTAGCGTCCGAAACAAGAAAATTGACTCTGAGCAGTGTCTAGAAATAATGTTATATCGCATGGTGGGAAAAAGCCATCGTTGGATGCATATTAAATTGCTAGTATCGTTGGATGCACAAAGACTGCCGCTTTTGAGATATGCAAAAAATTGAAAACAAGAAGTTTAGCTATTTACTGTAATTTTACTACAGTTTTATTATAAGACATGTACGTCACATTCATTTAAAAGGGGGAATTTTTATTGGTTCAGACAAAATGAATTTTTGGGATAGTTTATTTTTTATCTAAAATGGCAAATCTCACTCATAATGGCTCTTGTTGCATCAACTTAATGCAAGGAGGAATTTACATCCTTTTTGGGAATCTTTGAAAGCAAGCAAGGTTGTTCACTCGTTTGTATGGAACTTACATAAAAAGGTTTACCCCATTACATATGTTGTCGACGGAATTCCTAATTTGATCAAATGCAATTGGCCGACTTCACATCTTGCTTCACCAAAGATTGTCCTTATTTCTAAGCTAGAGAATTTATAATATTAGAAATTAACAAAATGTAGTCAGAATTTTTGGTAGCTTTCAAATGTAGTTAAATTAGTTGTATTTCAATTCCCTCAAGCAATCGATAGTTTCAGAGTTTCTTAGGAAGCGCAACCACAATTTGGCTGCTAAGTATTGTTTGCTCTAAATCATGACTAGTGTATAAAGAGGACAGGCTTACTGCAGATAGAATGGCCCTGCACTGTAAATGTTCCACAGAAGACTATATTATCTTCACTCAGTATTATTGTTCACGTTTTTACCGAGTGATCATCAGCCATGACACAACACGAGCACAATTATAATCACAGCTTCCCTACGTCCACCATCTGCTCATTCTCACTACATCTTATCTGTAAAAGCACTGCAATATCGTCAATGGCATATCAAAAATTCCGTTTCGGTACGTTTTCAAAGTACTCTCTGAGACCTCGCGTATGTTCCCGTAAATATTTAATGGAGCGAGGCTATTTTTACGTTAAAGACGTTGCAATGTTCACAACAGCAGTCGAATATTTGCAACTGTTTTGATGAAAATTCCCTGAAAAGTGGAGGTATTGACTTTGAAATAAAGATAAATGTCACGTTCGTCCTAAATTATTTGTTGGTTTGAAACTTTGAACAGTTTTAAGTATTCAAATACGTCCAATTCCTTGATTGTATTTTCGAAATTTCTTTGAAAAAAGCAGACATTTAATCACTTACTACTTAAAGCTTTTTCTTCTGACACTCCTCGGACTATTTGACATCAAAATAAGGGTCTGAAAGAACACTACTGAAAGTATATACCTGGTTGTGGAGACTGTGAAGATGACGAAGAATTAGATCAAATAAGGAAACTGATAAGAGGATTTTTGGAATGTAAAATTGTTTCTCTGCTTATTTTGTTCTCATTTGCTTTTAAATGTTCATTTTGGTTTGCTTTTTGCTTTAAATAATATATCTACTTCTAACGCGTTTTCTAATTGCTAACAGAATAAACACAGTCGAGGTAATTTATTCGGCATTATTTGAGTCAATAACAGTTATTTATTTGGATTAAAAAGTATCTCCTTAACACGTATCAATTTGTTTTTTTCAGTTCCAAGCAATGCATACAACCCAGTTATCAACTATGTTGCTCAAAGTTCTAGACATGCATTAATTTACTTCTTGGTAAGAAACATTATTTAGAAATTGTTTATGATTAAATGCCTTGCTGAAAAGAAATTTGCATTGCGTGCCTTTAATCCAACTGTGTTTAGTGTTCATCTGAAATGTTTAATTAGGCTGTTTTTCAATGCAGTTTTCCTCTCATTTTGTCATTTTTTGCAGACCAATAAAATTTCCTTCGTCAACGGTGTTGTTGTCAAGTATTCCTGTGACAACAGCAGCTACGGGTTGCCATGTAGAGCTAAAACTACAAAGATTTTCTCTTGGAATGAGTTCAGTAACAGCACAGTCAATCTTACCGATCTTCAACCCTGGACAAAATATCGATTTACCCTGCGCCTCGTTTTCAATACGAGTCTTTCGAACGAATCGAGCCTGACCAATTTCCAAACAAGTGAAGCAAGTAAGCACATTATTAAGAGCACTTTGGTTTTTAATTAAAAAATTTATGGATATTTTGCTTTATCAGCTAAGATACCCTGTGGTCCACATGTCCATTGTCTGATAATGCTAGAAATTTTCAGAGGGGAAAATTGTTTACGAGGGGGTGAAATAACAACGAAAAACCGAAGCCGGCTGTTGCTGTACAAATCGGTACTATTTGCTCGTGATATCAAGCTTCCTGTCTAGATATCTATCGCTGTAAATCTCTTTTTCAGTTCTTATTCAATTCATATATATTTAGCCTTTTTATAAATTAGAGCTAGAAATTTTCCACTTGCTTCCTAGCATCCCAAAGAATTACTGTAAAAAGAGATTAAATCACTTTTGATCACATAATATTTTCGGTGCTAAAATTAGGGTTTTTGTAAATATCTGTTCTGTGCTTTTATAGATGCTCTGGAGGTTAATCACGATTGAATGAACAAAAATATTTACTGAAAAGGCAGATATTTGTGTATTGAGAGCATCAAAGTGGTGGCTGGTGTGAGGAACACTCTACTTAGGTTTTACCCTGGAGGGGGAGGGAGGGAGAGAGGAGGGGGAGAGAAAGGAGTGAGGAGGGAGAGAGGAGGGAGAAAGGAGGGAGAGAGGAGGGAGAGAGGAGGGAAAGAGGAGGGAGAGAGAGGAAGGAGATAGGAGGGATAGAGGAGGGAGAGAGGAGGGAGAGAGGAGGGAGAGCTGGCTCTTGAGTACCTTTTCATGCATAAAAAGCACCTTATGAAAATCTTCAACCTTCTTCATAGAATTTAGTCTCTTTTTAACCCATAGGACCGAGACAAGCCCCAGGAAGCTGCAAGATCACCACAATGACCACATCCTCAATAACCATTTCTTGGACAACGTTGCCCAGTGATGCAGTCAACGGAGTTTTGTTGGGTTATCAAATAACTGTTAAAAGTACACAAGACTCGGCAGTAAATGTGAATATTTCAACAAGCAGCTTCCCAATGCATTCGTTTCATTATTTGAACTCCAACACCGGCTATTCAATTTCTATCTCTGCTTTTAACAGTGCTGGTCTTGGAACACCATGCATAGCCGCTGGACAAACTTTACCAAAAGGTATTGCCAGTGTTTTTTTTAAGGCCAGATGGCTGCCAACCTATGGGCTATTTATGCAAGTATTTCTATAGTCACCCTAATTTAGATGAAAAGGATAGAATGTAAGCTCATGTCCAGTCTCTATCAAATGCCATTTAGACTGTCTATTTCTCATTATGTAAAGGAAGACATACTAGGATATGAATACCTTATGATTTGCTTGAATTCTTTTCTGCTTCGTAGTAGCTCTCAAGTTGCTTATGATTAAACAGCGAAATTTGCATCTTTGAATGCCTAATTGATCTTTTATGATTGCAGTCCCAAGTGCACCTATCAACGTTACTCTAGTAAAACTCACAAAGAAACTCGTTAAGTTAGAATGGGCTCAGCCACTTACACTTGATGGTAAACTGGAGTACTACGTTCTGAGCCACAAGGAACTGTCATCAACAGAGCAGAGAAAGGTGTTGTTGCCAAACTTTACCTATTTCTATTTGGACATAGACAATCAAACAGGGATATATGAATTCAAGGTAATCTTCCTTTGATATTAATAATTTGTTTAGTCGTTTTCTAACGAAGGCCTATTTAAATGATTACTATTAAACAGTTTGTAACATATATAGACAGATCAGACACACATTCTGGTGTGTAAAAAAGGAGGATTTTGCGTTGTTTACACGAGTTTCATGCTTAATGCAATCATCAGCAATTCTATAACAAGAGAGGCATTTAAAATGAGTTATGTTTCTAGTATGCCAGTAGAATCTATTAACCATTCTATGATTTAATCTAGCATCTAAAAACAGAAAAGTTACGTCATCATTGAGATCCTTAAACCGGCACGTTTTATTTTTCATGTGTGTATTATGAAAGTTCAATTTTTTCTTTATCTTTCAATGTTTTCTTGGGTTTAGGTTCGTGCATACAGTGCCGTTGCTGGGTTGTGGAGCAATTCACTACTTTACTGGGCAAATGGACCACCTTCGAAAGGTAATTATCTACTGTTTTTATGAATCATATGAAATCTTGGGTGGTTTTGAGCAGCGACAAATCGAAACATTTCGCCCAATGGCATCAAGAAAAGAAATGGAGGTTTATAGAGATTTTCAAAATTTTGCGTAACCTCGTGATTTGTATCTTATAACTTCTAAACAAGAAATCCAACAGGGTTTGTTTCTATTATCCCTGTTAAAACTGAAATATGTGCATGAAATTTATTGATAATCTTCAATCATGCATTTAGCAAATAATTATATGACAATTTGAATAAAAAAATGAGAATGACCGAGAATAATATAGAAAGTTAGTACAAATAGGCCATTTGCTAGATTCACAGATTTTTACAGTAGTACGACTTTTTTATACAAAATGTATTGTTAACACCATGTTTCTTCCTAACATGCAGGCTTTTGTTCTTGTAATTACGTAGTGCTGATGTATCCTTACCTTTTAAGTCTATGAAAAAGTAGAAATTGAATCAATCCCGCTTTCTTTTTCACTAGAATCCACGAATAAAGGATCATCACATGATAGCTTCTCTAGGAATTCAATGATTGCATTGGTGACCTGCGCAAGTGCTGTGATGTTCTTCGTGTTGTCATGTATACTTGGCAAAGCTGCTCACGAAAAATACATTGAAAAAAAGCGAAGAAAAACGTGCTTTAGACAATGGAGAAACTTGCAGCGACTGACAATAAACGATTTCTTAGAAACGCAAGAGAAAAGCATCGACAATGATTTGATTCAGGATCGCGATAAATTGCGCAGACTTATTGAAGACACTAGGTTAAGAAAATTAAAGGATGCAAGCAAAAGTCGAGCGGCCATTGGACCGGCGAAGTACTTTGAAACCGTAAGTGCGTCAGCCCAGTCTTCAGGTAAGCGCAAGAAGATGAAAGGTGGCGGTGGCCAAAACAATCTCCCATCAGTGAAATCAAATGCTACTAATAAGCTTTCACACGAGGCAGGGCCTGAGGATTCACCGCAGCTGCGAAAGGTTGGAATAGACAATACAGCTTTCGGAAGTAGCCATCGAAAGGAAATAATTAATAAAGTTCCAAGCAATTGAAGATCGAACTGCATCAATACAATGCAATCGCTTACAAGCAGTTTGATTCTTCAAGGCCGGCCCTGATAAAGTTCCACTCTAAGAATCCAACCTTTTTATATTGAATTTCGTGTACAGTCGACGGCTGTAGGAACGTAAAACCATTGAATTTAATTGCACTCTTTGGCCTATCATCGTCTTCAGTTGAGATGATCGGCATAATTTTCTTTATAAAAGAGTAAAAATTTTAAAAATATCTCCCCTCTGGATAGGGAAAGGGGTTAACTTTTTTCCACAACTTTATCATTTTGATTTTGTACTGCATGAAAAAGACTTGCCCAAAACATTTTTGACTGCTACATGAGCTTATTATAATATAATCCACGTAAAAATTGACAAAACCCTTCTTATTAACTCAAGCAACTTTATTTCAGCCCGGCAGACTTTTCTGTTTGTTATTTATTTTTGGTGAAGCCAGTGAACTTCTAAGCACAAAATCTAGTGAATTGGATCACAGAGGAGCAGTTCGTTGCTGAGATATAAGAAACGTAGGATTCTCCAATAGAAAACCTTAGGTGCCAAAAGTGTATTGACAATCAAAATCTGATTTCCCTCTTCTCTGCAATTGCAAGCTTAATTGGTCTTCACAAATTTTGTGCTTGCTTTTTTCAGGGTAAATGAATATAACAGCACATTTACAGTCGAAACTTTGACTGTCCAGTATATTGCATTCTTAATACACAGTTCTCGTACCTTTCATCTATGACAGCGTTTGACCAATTTATTGCCCCACCTAAGTCAGTCCCTATGCGGTGCACTAGTTTTCTACAGAGCAAAGTATGTAAAGCATGATCATATTAGAAAGAGTTGGTAATGAAAGTAGGTTAGAAAAGTGTCTTTTTACAATACCTACCGGTTGGATTAGATCAGCCGTAACAGCACTGAGAACATTTTGTATTCGTTTTTACAATTGGATTTTGTAAACAAGTGTTTTATTTGTAAAAATATCAAAAATTTTGTATAGAATATCAACAATGGGATGAAAATTGTTAAATTTTACATGCTTCTGCGAAGTCGCTTTTACATTAGTCCTTATAAACTTTCAAATTGGCACGTCTCTCGTACACAGTGTCAAGTAAAGTTTCCCCTTTATTTCATTGATCTGTCAGTACTACTGGCTACATGCCCTTCGTCTTGGTGAGCATCAAAATTCTCTAAAATTTTATTTGGCCCCAGTGGTTGCGCCAACCACAAGGCTCTTGAGGGGAGGAGGAGGGGGAAGGTCATAAAATAAAAATAAGAATTTTTAGGCTACGCCTTTTTTACTGTCAGTAAACGCTCCTTTACCAACAAGGATCGTTAATATTAGAAAATTCCCACCCCCCCTCCACCCTCAACATTGCTATTTCAAAGCAATGTGTCTTTGTTCCAGAGGTGTTCTTTGTTCTAGTGGAAACAAGGGGTGAGTCCACTTGTTTTTGCTGAAAAGCAGCAAATTCTGCTTTTGCTTTTTCAACATTTTGCGAGAAAACCCTCCTTGTTATTTGTATAGCAAGCACTACAACTTTTTCGAACTACTACTACACTACAACAGCAAAGTTTTTCGAAGAACAACGTTTTTTGGCACCCGGTTGCTTAGAATGTATGTATCCCTGTGGCCTTGCGACACAGGTAGTCTCTGGACTGTATTTATGCAAGATGGCAGCGCATGCAGCAAGACGTGGGCTTCAATTTCTGGTCAAGGGCATTCTTCCAGCAGCCCCTAGAAGCATCAAAACACTGAACAGAACTGCGGCTCTAACTGGAAGTTCAAAATTTTCTTCAGCAGGCCTGCTAACTAGTGCATATTGCCACCACAGGTATTTATTTTTATGGCCTAGCTAATACAGCAACTTAACAGACATCAATCTCTTTCACACATCGTTCTAAAGTTAAGCTGTAGGTGCATTTCTTCAGTTATCAGCAAGCTGCCGAAAATTTAATTGCTAAGAGAAGAGACATTAGACAAATCTGGTTTTATTTGAACTCAGGAGTGCGTTATTCTAAATCTTTTCTTTCCGTCTTTCGAAATCCTGTTGCCTATGCCATATTCGAATATCTCTGCAAAATAATTTGAAGTAATGAATCAGAATAAACTATGGGTCGTAGACAAAAATCGAGTTAAACGCAAAAATATGAGATGTGTCACTTCACATGACACAAATTCAGGTAGTGATCATCTGTGACCAGTGGCGTCGCCAAGAGGAGTGGACTGCGGTGGACATATCCACCCCAGTTTTCCCAGAAGTCGATTTTCTTATTTCTCGAAATCTGTTGAAAAAATTTGTTTTCGTCCACCCCAGTTTTTTTGAGCTGACAATGCCACTGTCTGTGACACAAACGTGGCATGGATCTGCTTTGGAAACAAATTTTTAAGATAATTTGAAAAAAAAGATTATATCGAAATAGGAGGACAAATGTAAGCAAGCAAGCAAATTTTAGCTCCCTGGTTTGAAGTTACCTTACCAAAACATTTTATCCTGGAGATTTATAGGGGGCATTAAAAAGTATGCTGCTTATCTGACAATAAACAGTATTTTGCAATGATACTTTGTCCAAATGCTTGCAACTTCTCAGCATTCATAATTTTGATAAAATAGGGTAAAAAATTATTTCTGTTTGGCAAATGCTAATATTTGCCTCTCGATCAGGATGATTTTAATCAAACATTAAAAATCATAATGTTGCATGCAATTCAATTTTTATTTTTACCCCCAAACGTTCATTAACAGTTTTTGGCTGTGGTGCTGGGGCCCCTGTAAAGTCAATCAGAAACTAACAAATTCAAAAGAACAATGGGCAATAAAGCCTTATACTAAGGTAACTGTTTTGAAAACATGGTGGAGGGGCACCTCCAATTTTCTTGTCACTCATATGCTTATGCCAAATTTGAATGCCTTTGCCAAGACTGGTGCACAACTTAAAGGTGCAAGGAACTTTTGAAGGGGTACACACAATAACCCTTGAATTAGAACCTGCTTTAAATGAGTACCCTTACTTAAATGAGCTCCCCAGTATCATAATGAAACATTTAATGTGCACACCCTCAAGTGAGTGCCCAGCAATTGCAGCACCAAGAGGGGGGGGGGGGGGGGGGGTCAGAGCCTGAAATAAAAATTTTTTACAGATCCACAGTTTTTGTAAAAATTGGGTGTGGTACTTTGCTGAGATTGGCATCATGAGGGTAGCAAATATAGAAACTGCCATCATAGTGCAAATAGCATGTCCTAATTGGGCAAATTCTTAAATGAATGAAGTATAAGTAGCAAAAGCTGATTCTTTACAATAAATGGATTGGGTTAACAAGAAATTAGCTACATATAGCGTTCCTAATATGTGAGCAAAAAGTTATCAAAAGGAAACTCTTTTACGTGGTTTGTTCTGATCTTTGTCAAGGTTATTTTTTATTTCCTTTCACCTTCAAAAACTCCCTTAAATCGTTTTTTGGTTTTTTGGAGCCATATCTTTGCAGCTTTTCTTGGAACTCGAAACTTGCGAGATCAAGCATATATATTGCAATATTCATGTCTTTATTAAGCTATGCAGCTTTCCCCACCTGCTTCTATCTTGTTGTAGGTGATCTTCTCTCAGTGTCTCTCTGCATTCTCGGTGTTCAATCAGCCTCTCTGCATGGACAGGATTAGGGTTTGCTGCGAGAATCCAAGCCAGTATCTTGTCTGGTAGAATTCCACTGAAAACAAGTCTCAGATCTCTGTGATCTTAGTCGTTTATTTCTCAAAATTTAATGCATACTCGAATGAAATATTTTGTCTGGGAAAAAAGCTGGGTGAAGTCTCTTTTTCTTATGAAAAGTTTTTCATTGCATTCAGCCCATCAAATTCTTTGCTATCAAATCTGTTCTTCAAAAAGTTTTGATACTATAAACGAGAACCTCGTTACAGATGGCAAATGAACTCTTCTCTCGCTGATGTACAAATTGTACTTGTTTCATCTTATTCTCTTTTCGCCCATTTTGAAAGCATGATCTTTACCTCCATCTTGTTTGTAATGCAGACACCACGCACCAGCACCAGACCTTAATTTTGGAATTACGCCAAATTTGTCATAAGATTGTGCTAGATTTGCAAAAACTATGCTAGATTTCAAATCAAGGCAACCCTGCCCGAGAAGAGGCTAATCCATGCTCAGAATATCAAAAGTGGCCAGAGTTGCAATTTGGCCTTTTTGACAACCCAGTGTACTTATTCTTCATAAACAAAAAGGCAATTTAGATCCATGGTTTGATTGCCAAAATTCTTCATTTTGACAGTTTCTCAAAACCCCTTGGCCGTCATAAATTGATTTGGCCAAAGAAGCAAAATTTTCCTGAATTCTGGCAGCATGTCGCAAAAAGCAACAAAAATGCAAAGGAAACACACATGTTTGCAAAGATAGTATTTAATTTTTTTTAAAATAATTTCAAAATTGCAAATGATGAATGATGAAACAAAGTAAAAGATAACAGACAGTTTTAGATAAAAGCAAATGAAATGTAACCTACAAAGCAAATTTTGATTACGGTATCACTCCCAATAATTAGCAAAAATTTAGCTTTTTTGTATACTGCGTTTAGCTGGCTGCATTTGGCTGCCAACCACAAAATATGTGGCTGCCAACCATTCAAAGCAACTGGCAATATCCTGAAGGTGGAAAGTCACAATTCACTCCCAAAATGAAACCATAGATGCTGGTGTAAAGTGTTTGCATTTGGTAACGATAGACAATGGATCAATGGAAAGAATGTTTCTTCTAAATTATATCAGAATTTTGCAACAGTTATGCTAGATTCCAAATTATTCTAGATTTTATGCTAAATTACGTTTTTGGCCAATATTATGCAATATTACCCTAGATCAGATCACACTGGCACAAGCCCACAAGGGAGTGGTTAGAACGGGACTAGGAGTCTTGCCCCTAAATTTTTTCACCGCCACGCCCTTTGAAGCGCCGGAAAACATCCCTTTCAGCAAATATTTGCTTCTTTATGTCCTTATTCATAAACATATACAAGACCGAGTTAGATAAAATAAAAATTTATCTTTGATCACACAAGATAAATCACCGTCAAAAGGAACAAAAACGTGTTCCCAGCAGAACTGCTACTGTATACAGAGTCTATCTTACTTCAAAATAGCACACCGCATCATAAAGCGCAACTGATTTTTCTCCGCATGCACTGAAGCTTCGAGCTCTGAAGTTTCTTAATTCTTCTTTATTGTCCATTGCTTATTTCTTATCGCAATTTTCTTATAAAAAATGATTGCAATACATAAGGCTGGCATTAGGCATTCACTTCGAATTCAAAAAACATTCCCATCTCTTTCTTAGGCGTTTTGATTGGTATTTTATGCTGCGCTTTTAAGAACATGCATTATTTACAAATCCACACTTTTTACAATTACAGTTCCACAATTTTAATTTACAACCCCTCAAAGTGTGTCAGATCCACGCTTATTTTAGGTCCTGGGGGGGGGGGGGAGGTTTGGGATGTCTGCCATTAGTTTAGTCCCCTCAGAGTCTAGTGGCTTTCCCACCGCTGGTACCTTGGCCCTTTAAATGTAAATCCAGCGTCTTGTTTATGAATTGAATTATAAGGATGATAGTTGAATTATAATGACGACAGGGAAATTGAAATTTATAATGAACTTGAGTAGAGAACTGACAATTCACTTTCTAAAACAACTTGGAACAAATTTATTTTTCAGCAATTATTTTTTTCTTTTGCATGAGATCTGTGAACTTTTTAAAAGCTAATCAGCACTACCTTTTGAATGAGTGCCCTGCTTGAATGATATTTGAGGATTGCATGATGTTTTGTGACGTATCTTTGTCACGAGTAAGAATAAAATGGCAAAAGCGATTCCAAACCGAAGTCAACAAATTATAGATATAGCATGGGCTCCGACGCAGGTTGGAAAGTGGAGGAGCCAAGAGAAAGTGTAACAATCATAACCAAAGTTTCTTTTAAAAAGCTCTATTGTTTTGCAAAAAAAGTGAGGGGGCCATGGCCCCCCGGCCCCCCTTTCGTCGGAGGCCCTGTATAGTATTCAACTCCACTTTCCACAACCTGCTCTTCAACTACTACTCAAAAACAACTCTACTATTGTTCTTTATATCAAACAAGAAACAAAGTCTAGCCCTCAAGGGGCTATTAATTCTACTTTAATTTCAATTGATCGATCTGAAGTAACCTTTAGATTTTGGTGAAGTGGTGTAGCATAGCAATAAGGAAGCTTAGAGGGCAGACCCCTGGTTCGATTGCCAGAAAGCTTTTCATAGCGCTACATCCTTTATCAAATGAAACTCTAGTCAATTTCGAACTGCAATCTATTGCAAGGGATTTTGTTTCAAAGTTTATTCATTTTTGCAGCCCTTTCACCCCCGCCCCCCTCCGCTTTCGGTATTTTTTATCTAAAAAAGGTTTCCCTGTGGCAAGCCTCGTTTCAAGCATACACGTGAAGCCTCACTCCACTCAAGGAATTTGCTGACAATCAATGAGATTGCAGAGCTCGAGCTCTTTCCCACATTTGTAGTCAAGCCAGAGGCGGAGCAGAGAAGTCACTAACCAACGTCGTTTTCTCTTCACAGCACCATGAGCAAAGCCTTCGTCCAACAAGCTGCACCTCATTTCCAAGGCACTGCCGTCACGACTAATGGTGATTTTAAGGATATAAAACTTTCAGATTATAAAGGTAATTATTTTCAATTCTCAGAAAACTGTGCCGAAGTCATAGTCATCTAGGCCCCACCCCAGCTGACTAGATTTCGCAAAGGGGCGCGTGGACAAAAAATTGGTTTTTGCATTTAATTTTTCATAACGCATAACTATCTGAGTGTGGTGAGAAAAGTGCGAAGAAAGGCCAATTTTTAAACGCGGCATATAGGGATAATCATAATCGCAAGAAACGCGAAATGGCAGGTGGAAATCATTTGATGTACTTCATTTGATGGTCTTCAATCTTTGGCGAAATTTTTGCCCCAGTTAATTTTATGATTGTCTCCACGGAATTGATTGTTTTTTCGGAAGATGATTATTTCTATGCTGTGATAATTTGTAAACCTTGTCCATAGAATCCCAATCATCGTCAAATTTGTTAGCAAGTGCAAATGTGAATAGTCAGATTTGAACGTTCTCAGTCACATCGCATCGACCGACATACCGTTAAAACATGATAAGGAAAATTGTTCTAACTTAAAGTTTCTTTTATCCTGTGAAAGAAGACTAGAACGATTCCAAACTCGAGCTAAATAAATAAAACGAATCTGTGTGTGTATTTGAAATACAAATATAATTCTGTGTATTTGTTTTCCAGATATAATTCCAGGACAGGGTTAAATCCTCTCTTTTTTCACCGCATAGAAGTAACTGCAATGTTTTCTTAGAAAATTAGAGCTAGACGAAGAGAACAAAACAAGGAATCGCCATATTTGCACAAAAAAACTTAGAAGGGACAATCTTGTTACTATTCCCTGTCTTTTTCCTGATTGATAAAGTACCCTGCAAATCAAATGCTTATAATTTGGCTCTATTTGCGACAGTAGCGAATCTCACCATACAACACTTATCATTTAGTTTCAGGTTTTTGGTTGTCAGCCACTAAATGATGTTTAATTGTTTGTGCAAAGGTAAAAGCTGAAATTTGCCAAGCAAACAAGGTTCTAAATTTAGATGAAGAATATTATCTGAGGCACAAATCACTTTTGCAAATAGCGTACTATGGATTTTCTGATGAAAAAATAGGATTTCCACCAAAGTTGTATAAAATTGCCATATAGTGATCTGCCCCTTGATATTATCTAATGGCAGAAAAGTATAACACTCAAAATTAAATCTGATCTAATGAAAAAACAAACAACATATTCAAATAAAGCCTCTCTTTGCGGCTATCAAAAGATAAAGAATAATCAACTTGTTGTCAACAAATAAGACAATGCCTGAACGGCTCTTTATTTTTAGGTTGCCTACCTTACCTTTGCAGAAACACTTTTTAGAGAGATACAATGCTAATGTATTAAAAGAGTTACAAATGATTTGAGACAGATGTAAAATAATAGCACAGGAAAGGATTTGATGTAACAAATAAGATGCAAAGCAGGTGTGGGACAGGTGTTTTTCTGTTTGGTCAGGATATCTTGATAATTTTGCAGGTGCCGTCTTTCTTTTTTGCAAAATTTAAAGAAAATTAGGTGCTGCATTATTGTTATAGAATTTTTGCATGGCTAAAAAACCAGAATGAACAAGTGATACACCATCCCCCCTGCCATCATACTAAACCACAATTTTAGGTTTTGGCAGAGAGAAGGGGTTGAAAATCCCCTTCCAGGAAACTGTCAGTATGTTCTTGGAGAAGCATGAGATTGCTCATTTTGGATACTTCCATTTATAAAAGATTTTAAAAGCCTGCATTAAGACCAATTGGTGTCTGCAAGATGTCAGTAAATCAATGTCTTCTTGCACTGGTTGTGTTTTTTTGTCATTGTTGATTGCTAATGAGAAGGACAGCTTCGTTGTTTTTCCATCCTTTCATGGTTTTGAAAATGCTAGTTGTTTAAGAAGCAGAACCTTATGCTCGCTGACCTTTGCAGAGCTTCTGTGACCTTATGCTCGCTGACCTTTGCAGAGCACTCTAAACAAAGAAGAAACTCATTGGGAAAAAATCTAGTTTAAAAGAGGTTCTCAACAACAGTTTTCTTTCTCCAAACAATAAGTCTTGAAAAAAAATATGGCAGGGGGGCAGTTGCTCTCCTGTCCGTGCCCTACCTACAAGCAACCCTGTTCATTTAAGAGAAATATCAGCTTATGATATGTGAAGCTGAATACATTTAAGATGTGTAAAGGGTAACTAGTAAGAATATTATTATTACCTTAGTCAGGGGCTGTGCACAGAGTTATGGGGTTGGTAATAGCTTCTATGACCCATTCCTAAAAAACGGGGAAGAAACTTGGCACCAAGGAAATGCTCGATGTTAATGGCCGTTCAGTTTTGCAAGTGATCAAAAGACAGAGGATAGAATAAAAGAAAACATTTTTTCAAATAAAGTAAAAACTCTTGTAAAAAGAAGCACAGTCATAAAAAACAAACTTTCTTCATCTGAAACAAACAAAATTTATTTGCAATGTTTTGCATTGACAAACCCCTTAAAATGTTATTTGATATTTACTATGTTACCACAAGTTGTAGGCAAAATATTTATTCTATAAATTCTGTCCTTGTCATCCATTGCAAACTCATTGCAAAATAAAGGTGAGGGCTGCACAGGTGAGGCCACTTCTATGCAACACATTTCAATTGGATGGCTTTTTGCCTTTTCTTTCAGCCACTAAAAGACGCATTAATATATTTGCAATTATATTAACATGAGAGCCCCTTTCATTACCATTGCTCATCCTGAGCTTAGTAAAAAGGTCTGACAGAAATATTTTGATCTATTTTTATTGCTTATAAAAGTTATTTGTTTCTAAGTTACTGTTAATAAGTCACCAATGACTAAACAAGACCAAAGAAAGTATTTTTCTTCATCTCCACACATCCATGGATATGCTTGATAAGCAGATTCACAGGGTCTGTTCTTGAGGGTGAGGTGTACCCTTTTCTTTCATATCCAGCCATTTCTTGTGAATTAGCTTCCCTTGCAATGAAACCAGTGAAAAAACTTTCTGGACATTCCAGTGATGTTTAGTTTGATTGTTTGCTGATAAGTGCTTTGTGTTTAAAAGATATCAACTGGTTACCTAGTAGTCTCCGGCCACGTTAAGAGAATTCGAGAACTATTACCTCCAAAGCCAAATCATGCAGTTTTTATTCACGGATACAAAGGAGCTGAATCAATGGGTTATTACTAACCTGGTTGTTTCGCAAAGCTGATGGAAATATAATTGCAAAACTATTAATGCATGATGTTTCACAAAAAGCTCATTGATAACAGACAAGCATGCTCATTATGATTTTTGTTGGCAATAGAATAGAGATTTGTTTCATTCATAAAAGTTCAGTAGGTAAATATATTTTATTGACTGCCTTAAACTTTCTTTGACAGTTTATATTCGTTCAGAGTTTTATTTTAAAAATTTGGTAATAGACTATTAACATTATTACCACTGCCCGCTGCCCCTGATTAGTATTATTAATTAATCCAGTCTGGTAAACTAATATGCACTCTCATAGTCATGTTATCTTGTAGTAGTTAATGCTTCTTCCTTCCTCGCACATTCTTTCGATCCACACCTGAATATAAATTCCCAGCTTGCTTTCAATCGTTGGCAGACATTTATACTCTAAAGAATGTAGGACAAAACGTATGCCAGTATGCTATGTTTCTGTTATTTCAAGCCATCTTCTAATTTTGGGGTACCAGAGACTTATAGGCGTTTTTAACAATTGAACCTCTTGTGAATCATATGGGTTTCAGCATAAACAGGACTTAGACATGGTTTCTTCCATTTCACATCCTTTAAAATAGAATTATATATATTTTGTTTGTTATACTCTTTCAGTTTTATTTATTGAATAATTTGAAATGCTTGCTGATGCACATAATTTTTTTTTCAGGGAAATACCTTGTTTTCTTCTTCTATCCACTTGACTTGTAAGTAGTTATGATCTTCAAATGTTATGTTGTAAGATATCTTAGTTAGTCTTTATTTGAAAACAGGAGAAAGCCAGGTTAACAAAACAATCGGAAAAAGTAATTGTTTTAGCTATCAAGCCACCAATTGCCATTTTTTGTCGAAAAATAGCAGTTATCAGCTTGTACTAGAGTTTTAAATTTGAAATTGAAACCAGAAAAAATATATAAGTTATCAAAGCTACATAAAGTTTGCAAAATTTACTGTGAAATACTCTACAGCACAGAATTTACTAACAAAGCTACATCACAAAACAATATTAAAAATATGTTTGCATCTTTTTTTATGCATGGAAAAAATAATGCTGGAAGATTTTCATCAGGAAGATCTTACCAGATCCTTGTGCCAGTTGACAGTTTATCTACTTTAGCTGATGAGGTAAACTTTGAATGTCAAACTGCACTGCTATTTCTATCTCATGGTGGAAAGCCCATCACCAGGAAACATCTGATAAAATGTATTATTCAAATACTTTGACAAAAGTGTCCTCTGTTGTTTGAAAGTAGTTTTTTTAGAAATCCAAGAAAAGAGGATGTGTGGCTCTTTAAAGTATTCTGTATAGATCTTAATATTTTACCTTTTTGGTTTAAAATTTTTGTTGCAAATCTTATCCAAGAGTGATTCCTAGTTTGCAATGCATTCTGCTTCTGTGGAGGTGAATTCATAATTGATATGCATACTAGAACTGATATTATTTTGGTTTCAGCACATTTGTTTGCCCAACTGAAATCATTGCCTTCAGTGATAGAGCAGATGAATTCCGTGTAATTAACTGTGAAGTCTTAGCTTGTTCAGTAGACTCACACTTCTCTCATTTGGCATGGTAAGTTGAGTAAACATTAACCTTTTTAGTTTAAGTGACCTCGAAAATGCTAAAATCATTATCAGAACAATTATTATTCTTGTATCAAGCTGGCAAACACAAATTCCTTTTTTAAACTCTTTAGAATTACACTGTCTGGCAAAGCAAACAGACTTCTGTATATTTGCATGCTGGCACAGAGTAGAACCGATGTCATTATATGGTTGTAAATTAGACTAAATTGGATATGGAGATATGTTTTTTTTCTTATGTATTGCTTATAGGAACAATACTTAATTGTCTTCTTCACTAAAAAACTATACAATGTGGCTCTTTCTGCAAGGTTAGCTTTCTTGAAGGAATTTTTTTAACCGGGGTCGATTTGTCCCTTATCATAGCCCCTTCCCCTGTTTGAAATAGCATGGACATGTTATTAGATAAAGCGCTTGTTTTTGGAAACCAGAAAAGACAATTCTAGTTTTGAAACAGAAACTTTGGAAATTTTGGCTACCAAACTTTTTCAACAACTAAGTTAGTTTTCCTTTTAAATTGGTCAGTAGTAAACAGGCTTACGAAATGAAGGCACCAGTTTTCATCCTATAAAATACCCTTGGTTAATCTTCTCCTTATTCCTACCAAAACATATAATTAATACATGGATGCTTATTAATGAACATGAAAGCCACTCATGTTAATTTGTTGCCCCAGAAAGCTATCATTGGATTTTCTATTTGAAAGGTTCAGGAAGAAGAAGCTACCCCTATTTCTTCCCAACCTCCAGGGGGGGGGCATGAAAACCCACCTGACCATGTGACTGGGTGGTTGTGGGAAAATTTTCTTGCATAAAGTTCTGCAGGAGATTTTTGAAAAAGTAGTCAGGGGCAGACACTTGTTCAAATATTGGGGGGGGGGGAAGCTATTGTTTTGATAATGTGACGTCACATTTCCTCATTGTTTAGAACAAAAGACGATTGTCCTCCAAAAAATTGGGGTGGGGGCAACTGCCCCTTCAACCCCCTCCCCCAGGTGTCCGCCACTGATTCTACTAAACTTTAATATTCTGATTGTAAATATTCTCACAAGTTAGGAGGTTTGAATTATAGCTAAGCCCTTTTCCAGATCATTTTAGGCTTTCACCACTAAAGGATAATTTTCAGTCACCAAAACAGAAAATGATTTTGAAGTGTTTCTAAAATTGCCTAAACCTTTTTAAATGTAGCTTATACTTTCGTCCACAAAAAGTTTGTAACTTTAGAACTGATGACAGATCTGGAACCTGATCTTTTCTTCTTTTGTCTTCCCATTCTAGCAGGATTTTTTTGCACGATTTTTTCATGCTTTGTCTGCCTCTGCCACCTTAGTGTCCCACCAAATCTGGGATTTAGCAGTTTTAATGGCACTTTATTTGAATACCGTATTCCCTCTAATGAACGCCATCATCTGATAACGCCGCCCTCTATTATACGCCGCATCCAAAAGTTGGATTTTTTAATGAACGCCGCGGCGTTGTTTAGAGAAAATAAGGTGTATAAACTCATTCGTTTTCAGTGTATATTAAAATTGTTTTCTTAGCCAGCATTGATTCTTCTGTTTCAGGACAAGCCAAGATAGAAAGAAAGGTGGTCTTGGCAAAATGAAAATTCCAATCTTGTCTGACATCAAAAAGGAGATTTCTAGAGATTATGGTGTTCTATTAGAAGATCAGGGTATCTCTCTCAGGTAACCCATCATTAAACTATTTACGTCAACAGATTCTTCCTCAGTAAATTGCTTATTTTCGATCAATATCAAGCATAGCTTTATAGTTAATGCTTGAGGTAATAGCAGACTCTGTCATACAGTAATGTGAATGCAGAGAGACTTTTTTTACATTGGACACCGGTGACCCCTTGAAAGATGGTTTCGAACCGTTTTATTCGCCCGTTGTTTTGGTGTTCAGTCCTTTCCGTTCATGCAAGTTAAATCGCTCGGTAAAACTGTTTTAACTTTCAATTTAAAAGTTTTGCAGTTGTTAACGTTGTTTGAAGTGAAGTGGAAGCGTTGGTTGCTATAAAGTTTTGTTTGCCTTTCTAATGACAGCATGTTGATAGAACGATTATGGATAAATCGAAGGGTGTCATATTGCAATAAACCACAAACTGATATGCATCAATGGCGTTTCAAATCATTTTTAAAGAAACTTGTGTTCCGCCTGCCGATCCAGCTGTCTGGATTCAAACAGACTTTACCAGAATAAACAGGCTATTCGGATACAGGTTGCAGGTTTTAGCACTGACTGGAATCGTCGACAGATCCTGAAGAATGAGGATGTTATTTTTGTGATACTAAGACGGATAACCACATGCCCAAGGAAATCAAACCGGGCTGTTGTACTTGACTAAATAAAGCGAAATCATTTCATTTAATAGGTAGCTTGAAATAAGAATCCCCAAGAAACATTCTCCCAACCCTTTACTTATTGCTTCTTCACACCTTCATAATCTTTTGGATGTCCTTTTGCTTGAGTTTCCTTTAAGTTTTGTAGCTTTTGAGTTTCCGTCGTATAAGTTACGATTTGATTTTTGTTCCAGCTTGATTCTAAACTTAAAGATTTTATCTACGACGATAAAAGTATAATATTCCACATAAGCCTATAGTATCATGTTATTGAACTCGGGCAATTTTGATATGTACCCGGAAAATTGCGGTTCCGTATTATTAAACTCGGGCAATGTTGATATGAACCCGGGTATTTTTGTTAGAATCTGTACACTTGTGCTTGGAAAGAAATGGAAGTAGAATTTAATTTAAGTAGAAATGGAAGTAGAATTTGTATAGCTGATAAATCGTTAATCGTTTGTTTGCAGAGGTTTGTTTATCATCGACGACAAGGGAATTTTACGACAGATAACTGTAAATGATTTGCCAGTTGGAAGATCTGTTGACGAAACGCTCAGATTAGTGCAGGCGTTCCAATTTACTGACAAACATGGTGAGGTTTGCCCTGCTGGCTGGAAGCCCGGTTCCGACACGGTGAGTGTTTTTCTCCGTATGCATCTAAAGCAATATTCCCAATCATTGAAGATTTCACATTAACAATAGGCTCGAAAGATACCCTTATCCAAATATGCGTGGGGATTTATCAATGGCCAACAAACTAGTTGTAGCCATGATTCATAACGCGTATCTTCTGAAATAAAAAAGGCGCAGTTAAGGAATTCTGCCTTAAAGTTTAGGATAAAATGAAGCTTGTAGTATACTTGTTGAGGAAGACCCCAGATAAATTTCTAGATTTCTTTGACGAGCAAATAAGTTTATACGATATCTTATTTGATTATTTGTACACTTAATGCAAAATAAAGGAAATGCTACGAATGATATTTAGGTCTTGTTTTCTCTGCCTAATGCAAAGGTACCCATTATGGACCGTCAATCGCTTTTTACCACCCCCACCCCCCACCCCCCAGTGTAATTATTTAGCAAATTTGAAAATATGCATATATAGTAATTGAATAACGCTGCCCCTACCCTTTACCAAAAAAGTTTTTGATCGTAAAGAGTGCAGAAAAAACAACTGTTCTTTGTCACGTAAAATCAGTTACACACCATTCCACATCCACCAATCCGACACCACCATCGCCTATTTTAAATTTGTGCACTTTTTAGTCCGTTTACTTTTGCTCTGATGAAGCCCCTCTCCCCCCCCCCGTCGTTTGCCGGGGCGAGATATCTGCCAAAGTTAATTCAAGTGGGGCTATTGTTGTTTGTTCTCGGCCCGTTGCGGTGTTCCTTATTTGCTTCATGAGAATCAGTTTCTCCGCGCCGCTCAAGACGGAGGCTGGTCACACTACATATCGTTCCAGTTAATTACAAGGACCAACTGAGTTTGCAAGTTCCAAGCCCCCATTAAGCTTACTTGTTTTTTAAGGTCTTTCAGAGATTCTCAATCGATTATGTTGTCATTGCAACGATTGCCCCCTCACAAAGAATTAACGATAAGTACCCCCCGCCCCTTTCTTGGCTTCGTTATATGTGTAAAGCCTTGGCTAAGATCGAAACTGGTCTGGTTTTCCTTTCAGATTAAACCTGATGTCCAGAAAAGCCAGGAGTTTTTCTCGAAGCAATAAAGATCTTATAGCAACTCTATCAAAGACTGATTATGCTGAGGTAGCTTAGCTGTTTTAATTGCGCCAGGGTGAGAATCTGTTTCTTTGTGAATTGTGCTTTTGTTTTAATTCATGAACTGTATTCCTTATAAGCAGACTTTCTGAACTACAGAGACTGAATTGCTGGATAAATGCCTGTATCATAACAGATTTGTGGCGTCCTTTTGTGTTTGTCTTTCTGTTTTATGATATGTCTGAACAGTTTCAAATAGAATATATGTAAAGCAAAGGATTTAGTTTGTTTAATGTTCAGCCATCCTTGCTTTAGGTGTTTACTTCGCACCACTACCACATAGCACCCAGGTAATACTACTAGCTTCTGCAAGTGATTTGTTGCCACGCTTTCTCGACATGTTTTATATAAAGCTAAAGTCACGAAGAAAGTTGCGGAAAATAAGAAAAACATGCATTACTGCTTCAAAACATTTTCTTTCTTAAAAATTTCCACAATTACAGTTCGAACATGTTTCGGGCTCCAAACAGGGTTCTAAAACGTTATTTAGTGACTGACAAAGCATTTAAGAGCCTTAATTTTTGTCAATACAAATTTTTGATGCAAAGTGTGAACACAAGATTTGTATCCTTCAGCGAAAATTAAAATAAAGATTCTTGTCTTCAAATGCTTGTCATTTGTGACATTAACATGTAACGTTGTAAAGACAAAAATATGGAAGAACTTTGACAGTGAAAAGTGGGTGCTTGTCAATTGTTTACTAACATAGAGATATGCGTGGTCGAATTCCTTCTCAATTGTCAACCTAAGGTATTTTCACCAATTTGTTTTTAGGCAAATGCCCTAATGACAAATTTCATGCTTGCCAAATCTTGAATGGCGAATCAAAACTGTCATTCGTATGAATTTATTTATATACATCAGCATCTAGCTTAGAAATGAAGACTGACTTTTAGAAGCATGCTTATGATTATTTACGTGAAGTAACTGCAAGTCCTTCTCTAGTTCCATGTTTTCGGTTGAAACTGATTGAGTGATTGATTTACGTAGAGCCAACAGCTGTTCCTTCGACGAGCCCTCTCTCTGAAGTTTTTCTTGAAACACATCTCCATTGACCCTCTCTTCGGCCTCAATGCCCAAAGCTTTGGCGTCGTAATCAATATGAGACTGACTGTCCTCCCTGTTTAGCGGGATTGCATTGGTTGTGGTTGAGGAACGAAGCATCTGACCCTTGTTTGACTCGGTAACTTTGGTTAATTGCTTTTCAGGATTTTCGTTCTCTGTTTCTTTCTTCATTTCATCAGTATTAGGGTTTATTTTTAAAAAAGGAATCCGCACATCAAACTTTGGCTTATTCCCAATTATTTTTTGTTGTAAAAGCTCAGGACTTTTGCGTGTTGTTTCTGTTCCGTGGTGCTCCGACTTATCATACTGACGAAAAGAACTATTTTCTTCAGATTCCAGGCTGCCACAACGAGAGGGCAGTTTTTCGGTCAATCCTTTATGGTTGCTGGCTTGCAGTTTGTTCGTTTGTTTAATGGGAACCGTCTTGCCGTTTTCTTCCTTACTACGACTTCTCTTTTCGGTTTTCTCTTTGTCTCGGCACTTTTGTTTAACAGGTTTATCGGTCAGTTTCCTAATGGATTTGCCGTCCACGGATAGGTAATTGTAGATGTTTGATCTTTTCTTTTTTTGTTGGTTCTCGTGATTGTCTCTTACGGTTATCGATTCATTTGAAGATCCACCACTTGAGCTATAATATCCATCTAATGACGTCTTACAACTGTTCTCAAGGCGAAAGCCTCGGATAGATTTCTGCCTCGTTGTCACGTTTGGCATACTTTGTATTATTCGTATATCAACTGGTCTGAGTGAATAACCGTGCCCGGCCCTACCACCCTGCTTCCTCTGTTGAAAATCTTTTCGTTTATGCTCGTATCGTTTCGGCTGGTGTGAAAGATTCTCAGGCGTTGTTCTCTGAAAAGAACAAAGCTTTGTGAAAGTTTCATCTAATAAGATGAAGATCGGTCTGCTAGAGCAAATTGTGTTTGCGATTCTGCTATTCTACAGCCCTAACTTCGCTGTTACGTCACACTAGCAATATGCCCAACTGTAATTGCCTTCTTATGTAATTATTATAGTGTGTGCTGTCAGACGCGGAGGATTCGTTTTTAGTAAATTTTTGTTGTTTTAAATGGTAGCTGAGATTGGTTTCTATTGTATGATAATAGGGTTGAGTTTCATTTGACGAAGTTTGGTGTGATCTTTAACAAGATAACGAGAAACAAAACAAGAAAGTTTCAAAATAAATCAGAACTTGAAAAAGTACAACAATAAAAAATAACTATAGGAAATAGCTTCCCCTTTCTAGATTTACACTGTCAACATAGACGGCAACAAATGAGAATAGAAAAGTTGTTATTCTTTGCATCAAACAGTTCCTTGACATCGGAGTGATAGGTTTTGAGAGTTACAGCAGGATTTAATGATAGGCAAAAGAGAAAAGAGGCTGAAAGAAAATGGCACTGGCCAATGTTCGAGCATAGGGCTCCGAAAGGCTTTGCAACCCGACTTTGAAGTTGATACAGGCAAGACTAGCGAGCAGTTTCAACACTGTACAATATGCAGCCATGGGATCTAAAGATGAGGGATGCGAGGGACATTTTGTTGAATATTTCCATCTCTACACTTTTATCACGACAATCTCGACGGTAGCAATTTCGATGTTTGTGCTTTTAGTGGGGAAGGATTGCTCTTTGACTCTGCAGAGACCATTTTCCCCATAAACCCCCTATCAATCAATGTCTCCGTTGCTTTTTAGATGATGGTAGAAATAAACGAATTAGGCGTGACTTCATTGCTACTCAATGAGTGTCTTTGGATCATCGGAATCCTGTTGCTTAATCTTTCCTTACTTAGAGCTGCAATTAGTGGCATGGCGTCCAACGTCAAATGTCCTATCAATCTAGTTACTACGACCTTATGGCAACTTGATGACGCACCGAATAGCATTTGGGTAAATTCGAACACCAACAGTTTGGAAAACCGTGCGATATATCGCATTCTTTACCGTGTGCTCAGATCAGTTGAAGTGACGACTACACGGAGGGGTTAGCAAGGAGAATGAGGAAGAGGATCTACCTTACCTACCCCCCCTACCTCTCTCATCTTTATGGTCTGTTTCCCTTGCCGGACATCATTGTTTTACGTCACTGCTTACCTTTATATACTACTAGTTAGATATCGTTAAATAACTCCTTAGAAGCGTTGATAAACCAACTCCTGAATGTCCTACTACCCAGGGGGTTACTTAAAGTTTTCATATACAGAGGGTCCATCCGATAATTGTGGGTAAAAATTTTCCTTGTGGTTTTGATAATTTGGGGTACCTGGTTTGAAAATATACTTTTTCATACTTACGGCTTCAACTAACACGTGACAATATTAAGAACAGGAATAACAGAACAGACTGATTATTATAGGAAACAGTCTAAATTACTTTGACTAGTAAGTAGTATCTTATGTACTCAACAACAAGATTTTGTATTTTGATTATTTTCGGTCTTATTGACACTTTTTACCTGATAATTATGGGTCAGTAAAATTTGTTTTTGATACTTTTAGGTAAATAACTGCGAATGGACCACCACATATAAAAAGTTTGAGTGACTCCCCTGGTTAATACAATGAGTGCCTAAAATGGAAATCGTTAGTGTGCCAAAGGTCATTTACACTAACGTCATTTTTGGTGTGCGAAAAAAGTAACTGTGGGGTTTGGGAACACGATTTTTCAAAGTTTCCTTTTTTTCTCGAAGAAAGACGGAGCACAATGGGTAGAAATTTAAAACAAAGAAAAAACGTTTCGATTTTCAGAAAAGAACATGGGGGCGGGGATAGCAATTTCACATTTGTTATTAACATTACATGACAAGCAGCAAAAATTTTAGTAATGCAATTTAAAGGCCTGTCACACAAAAAACATTGTTAAATGTGTTAAGAAAAGGAAAGGCAGAAGAAAGCGTAGGAATGAGAGCTGGTGAAGTAATTGACGCCATTTGTCTCAGAGGGGTTGAGATTATCCCCAAAGACTATTCGTAATAAAGATGCATTTTAAAGAAGTTACAAAGAACAGGGTGGATCTAAAAAAAAAGACGTCATAAGCATCGAAAACTTTCGTCACCAAATATTATTCCAGGGTCGGGGTAACTATGGCAATGGCCTTGGCGATATCTAAATGTTCAAAATACGAATTAAGGGATTTTCTTCGGTATTTACTGTAGTGTAAATAGGTTTTTGCAAGCCCGTGAAGTACAAATAAACATAGCATCTTTTTACAGAGCATCTGAAGCATATTTTCTAATATGAAATTACGAGAGGAATTTCACACCAATGTTAAGAAAGTCGTATAAATGCTCCTTGCTTTTCAATGCTTGCAAAATTAAAATTTCCAGGGATTTCCCAATAATACAAGAGACATTGTTGCTCAACCTTACAAGAACCTAAATTTAAGCACTAATTCACCGTCTTCCTAATAAGATCGACAAATGAAGTAGCCAAAAGCATAAACGCCCTTTAGTTTTTCTTGAAAGACGACTGTTTGGTGCAAGTAAGTGTCATAGTGTCCAAGGCGAGAGAGAAAGTTTCATGACTTAATGCCATGCCAAATCACACAAAAATATTTTATTTCGTGTTTTGTTTCCTGATTTTCTTTCTTTGTGAACCTATGAATTGAATCTGATCAATGGTCTTAATAAGGGTTTGGCCAATATATTTTGATGCTGTGTTACCATCAGCTGTGGTCAGGGAACACTGTCAGAAAGGATATTTAACAATTGTGGTCAATTTGAACCTTCAGTACTTTGCTGTGTATTATCAGGAATGTGATTGATTTTCCAGGCATGGCCTAACCATTAAGCTATGTTACGTAACTTCCTAATCTTGATTTAGAAGGAGGGGAGTGGTTTATATATTAGAGATCCAGTGTTGATTTTCAAGGTCTTGTATAGCTATTAGGACACATTCACATCCCGTTTGGCTGTCTCTGATGAAAAATATATGCATGTTATAAAATTTCATTTGTCTGGAAGTTCCTGTTGTATTAATCAACAGAATTCGACTCGAAGGCGCACTATTTCCACCTGACTTTCGCTGTTTATCTAGAGCAAAAATCGATCTTGAAATCATTTCATTGTAGGTGTCTTAATGTAATAATTATTCTAAGACAAAATGACAAAATGAAATGTTTATCACTAAATACTTGATTTTAATTGGTTGCTCGAAAAAAGCAGCTGTAGTTTTAGCAGGAGCAGCTTTAAAATTCAGCTGTTGTTTCCCAAGTTATCTCATGCTCATCTATCAAAACAGCACAATTTAAAATCTTTTATCTGCATTTTCTAGGTCAGAAACTAAGAATAGAACTATTTTAGGCCCTTCGAACATTTGTACTGGGACGCTGCTTGTTTTTTGCGTCCCTTCCTTGTGTTAATGTCTCATAACACGCTTTTTACTTGATGAGATGTTCAAAAATAAAGTACGAAGATAGCAAATAACCTCGTACCTCTTGTTATTTAGCAGTGACAACCACAGAATACAAGCTGTTACAGGCAGGCCTATCAAGAATCAGTTGTTGTGTCGCAAACCTTATGGTATTTCAAAATATTTGAAACATAATAGAGTGAAAAAAGGTTTGATTTTTATTAGAAAGAAAATTCAGTCGTTTAGGGTTTAGAATTTTTGGGTCCTGCGTGATTTCTAAATGATTCAAACTTGGGTCCAAAAAAGTGGTCCACTAGGTTTTGGTAACCATGTTTAGAATTATGAAACAACACCAATCCACTTGTAATGTGAAAAGAATTAGCGAATTGCTTCCATCTCGGGGGCGCGTTTTGCATGTCAGGTTGCCATTGGCAGCTGTTTGTCTTTTGAAATTCACGTTCACAGCGGCTTAAAATGTGCACGTGACTAGAGAACAATACTCGCAATGCTGTAACCAGTTCGATCAATAAAACCTGGCATATGTTCACAGAAGTTGAAGGTTTCATAAAACATAGCAGTTAGCGAGAGCGGTGAAAGGATAGACGGTCGTATACGATTGGATAACGTGCAATTCAAGGATTACGTACAAGCGTTGGTTTCATTACTGTGGTTGACAGCCAATCATACCTGCATTCACCAGAGCCGGTGAGATATCGTCGATGTATGAAGGAAATGAATACACAACACTGATCTCTACAAGAATGAATACACTACACTGATCTTACCAGAATCGAAGTGCAACCGGGACGAAAACACTAAGAACTTCGAAGTTTTGATCAATTAAGCGGATCTTTGGGTGGGCAAAAATTTCGACTGATTACAAAGGAAATTGGATTTATCGTTTTGAAATAAACCTGTTAAATTTTTGAATATACACTTCAATTTGACAGGCTTTCTGGCAACAGCGTTCGGAGACAAGTGTGTTCGTTGAAGCGGATAAAATATATCTAGCAGTTCCAACTTGATTTGGAAAAATTCAGTAAACATGCTGGACCAAACAGCGCTAAAATTTAGACGTGCAATGTCATTGCCGAGTATCTTACTTGACGTGGAGGCTGAGGAGAGTGAAAGGCTTGTTATTGGCGATAACCCAGAGTTTAAAGCTGGTCAGGAAAAAAAAGAAAAAAGAAAATGGTACAGCCGTCTCCCTAATCCAGGGCACCTTCTCACCCCGTTAAGAAACTCGTTGCTGAAGTTTAAGCGAAGGCATGATCATTACGAAGACGCTAGCAATGAGGACGAGAATGGAAACGTCGAAAGAGCGAGAAAAACAAGTAACGACGACGAATCTGGCGTTAATACAAAGAAGAGCGCAAGTGATTACGACATCACCTACGTTGATAGCAATACTATTACAGTAGAAACTGGCATTGCTAAAGACTATAAGCTTTCTGATATTATCGACGTAGATGTCAATTCAAAGCATCTGAGTTTCAATGAACATATTGGAGAAGCTCGTGCTTTAGCGCATGGGAGGGTAACCGTCAAGGATGTATTCTGCGGGCGGTATAGAAAACTGTAATAGGTCTTTTGTGAGCATTCAATTCTAGATTTCTGACATATTTCAAAGTGGCATTGTGTATGGAATTACTCAGTCAATGCCGGATTGTGCAAAGCGTCTGGTCTTCCTTATTTTGCTCTACACAAAACATAACAATAAATGAATCAATGACGTGTTTTGTTTACCTTTTGAAAGGTCGGAATTCCGATCACACATTACATAAATACGAGGATGAATTTCGGGCTGGTTTCCTTTCTAGTGTCACAGTATTTCTCAATACACGCCTGTTTATATCCGATGGACCTGCTGATCCTGTTTCGTACGCGAATTCTTCAAAATGAAGTTGTACGGTCTTATCCCGATAACTCAAAAATTATCAGGGGGGTGTGAACGTATAAGGAAGGTAGAAAGAGGAATGCTCAATCAGTTCGAGTTAGCGAATGCTCGAATTATCGAGGTTCAAGTCATCCGGTCATACAGTACTTTAGTGCAGAGATTCCCTACCGCAATGGTACCTATCATAACCACCTCAAGAAAATATGCATTTAATTGCACATATGGAGGCTTGTGGCGGTGTGTGATTAACATTAACAAGATATTCGAAACCTTAGACATGCCAAACCTTGGATATACGAAATATGAGTTATTCCGCAGATTCATTCATAATTCATACGTTGGTTAACTAAAGCATGTATTTTTGTCTTTTTTAGACGCCAAATGTGCACTTTAACCAAGTTTCGGTCGCCATTGCGTTTAAAAAGTGTGAATCTAAAATACAAGGAGTTTAAAAATGTCTTCTTGCACGGCATTCGTTTACGCGATTCGCGTTGGCGACCGAAAAGGCTTGAAGTCAGCAAAAATCTTTCAGTTTTGTTTATGCAACCAATGATATTCTCCAATGCTCAAAAATAATTAAAATCTTTTTCAAGTGCATGCATTTTGACGCAGGTAAAAATACTTAAGATTACATTTTGTGTTTAAAAGATGTTTAATAAAATGTTTCTCATCTTGAGAAACTTTTGGCAATCCGGCATATGTATGTACTTAGGGTAGATTTAATATATGGCTTAAATTTTAGAGATCAACACAATTTTAACGTCATCCAATGTTATTTATGAATAAGTAGGTTAGATTATCGTAGGATCTTCAGTTTTGTTAACCTGGACTATTCTAGTGAAAATTCTATGCAATGATATATGGAACGAAATATACTTGATATAGAGAAGGCACAGAGAAAGCCCATTACTTTCTCCATGGTGGCTTCTATTTCCTTTTTCCAGTTCCTTTCCTTTCGTGACTATGTTCCTGACCCTTGTACTTTAACTTAGTTGTTTTAAATGTGTTAAATAATTTCTTCAATGTATAATTTGTAACATAAAACTGACTTGTATTTATGTTTAAAAATTGAAAAATTCAAGTTGATTCCTCGATGTTTCGTTTTTTGTTGATATGCAAAATTTCTTTCAGTTAGGATGGAACTGGTAGAATTTTCTAGCAAGTGACAAACAACTTATTTGCGAAAATGCCAAGTTATGTGTTTAAATTTTGGTCTTTCTCTTTTGACAATCATCCTTTTGACTTTTCCTTTTCTGTGGAGTATCAAATTAAATAATTAGGAGAACATTTTGTTGTTTGAACGGAGAAAGATTAGAATTATTGGGCAAGGCAGTCGAAATGTATGACTACATTCACCGTCCATCGGGGATTTGTACCCAGTTGTAATGCTTGGTGAATGAACAGGTACGGCTGATGCTTTTCGAAACCAAGATGAAAATTTGTAACGGTTCTGTCCACGACGCATCTTACTCTCCTATTGTGTATATCAAGTTTCGAAACGCCCACCACGCGTTCATCATTGTTCAAAAAACAATGCACGTCCTGCTTCGAATGCTAAGGAAAACTCAGTACCTATACGTGACCAATTTTTTCAATTTCTTGCATTTTTTCTTCTTATAACCACGTAATATCACAAGAACTATTAAAAGTTATTTAAAATTGGAATTGTCTGATTCCATTTGCATACTTCATGGTGATTCAGTAGCGATTTTCGACTGTGGTATGCAGATATTCTGACAATTTTTGGCGTTTTTTTGAAAATCTTCATCAACAAACAGCTATCTCCTTGTTCAACTCAGCAGCATCCTTGAAGTTTTAAATGCACATACTACACACATTCAATCACTGCGTGTTACCAATGCAAGAAATATTGGTTGAAAATTGTTGGCATCGCTATTAAACAAAGAATCAACATATCTTTGAACATAAGTCGATTCCCAAAGTTTACTTCGGTATATTGTCAGTAGTGGGCAAACTAAAACATTATGAGTTCTGTTGATATAGGAATTGCTGAGGGGTAGCGCTGTAGCCCATATTTGCTTCTAGATTAATTGCTGTCTATCACTTGATGCATAACAACCACACATCCCTTGTTGCAAGCTAAAAATTCTTCATTGCAAAGTAAAAATAATTGTTTTATCCTGTCTTGAAACATAAATTTAGTATGTTCTGTTAAGATACAAGGAACAAGGCTCTGCCAAGCCCACCTACAAAGAGCATTCAAAATGGATTGCTTGTTATTGCTTTTCCCTTCCCTGTGTTTTTTATCGCAACTCTACCTATCTCGCGAGTGACGTCACTCTTTCCCAGTTTTCTTACTGACAAGTTTATTTTTAAACACGACAGTCTTATTATACCTACCTTTTCTTTTCTTGGGTCTTTTTCAGGTGTAGTTATAATCTTCACCTGGAATGCAGAAGGAATGGTTTTGAAATAGCACAAATAAACCTAAGAACACGTAAATCTTGTGCGTTTTTGAAAAACTTTTAGAGGCAAATAAAGATTTCAGAATCCAAAATGACTGGCAAGATGAGTTGAAACGAGGATCTGCGTTAAGAATGTTTTGTGTATGAGATAGTGGCCGAGCTGCATCATGTGACTCCAGCCTACAGAGACTCAAGGGTGCATTGTGGAAGCATGGCGTAGCTGCAAGTAAAGGCATTCCATTAATCTATAGTTTGAATATTAATAGCTAAAAGTTGGTATTAGAACATTGGTAGGTAAATAAAAATTGGACAGTTAAATGCCGAAACGGTGTCTGGGTCTTTCCAAACTGAGAAAAATTCGAAATGTAGAATTTGTGTGCATCGTTGTAGGCCCTTCAGTATCTACAAGACATAGAAACTTTCACGTTTACTTACATTTTCCCAACTAAACTGCTCTTTCCACGATAGAGGGAACGGTCTAATTTTTTTCTCCCTGCATTTTGCTATATGTTCATCGTTGTCGCTCCACACTATTTTATCATTTTCGTCTTTTTCTTCTCTCTCTTCTTTTTCTATCCGCACCATATCTTTTCCATTCTGTCCAACTCTGATATTTTCAGGGTATTTAAGCAGTCTTCCAACTTTGTCACCTAGTCTCACATCCATCATATAACACATCTGATTCTTATTGCTTTGTTGGCATAAAAACGCGTCAAGTACACCTCCGTGGCCTTCTGCATGAAAATCTATCCATTTCGGTGCAGGAAGTGTTGGGTTGCTGAAGTTGTACCACTCAGAGGCGTAGGCGCCCCTTTCTATTTTATGTAGTATTTCCTTAACGCACCGGTTAGTGTATGATTTTCCGACATTTGCAACAGTGTTAGGTCGCCATTCTGTCTTGTCTTTCTGACTACTCGCTCTTGATGACGGCCGGCGGACTGGTAAACTTCTTACAGATAGATTCTCTTTGGACAAATTTGATTGTGTCTCGCTCTTACTAAACTTTCTTTCCGTTGATCTTCCCACTTGTGGATTGTTACCCGCTGAAATTGTGCACACATTAATTAGTTCGTAAACGAAGTTAGTTTGCATAACATTTCTAAATATTTGCTACCATAATAATAATTGAAGCTAAATCTCCATTTCGGAGCAGTTACCCAACTACTGGGTATCACAAGCTGGTGCTATAATTTTAGCCAATCTTTTTATTTCTATTTCATCCATTGGTAAGAAATTTTTGAAGGGTGTTGTTGATACTTTTAAGAATTTTTGAATTATTTGTAGCTAAACATGTTTTTTCCATCTTGGGTTTTTGATAAAAACTTGGGCAATCCCATAAGTGTTCAATATATTCCTCATGGGCCCCACATCTTCTGCAAAGAGAATCAGAGTACTTTCCTTTGTAGTTCGCTCTTAAGTCAACCATGTTTAGTTTTAATTTCAGCAGGGATGACGCGTCTTCACACCCCAGATACTCTTTCATTTCAAATTTACTACCCTTGATAAATCTAAGTTTAGTCTTACTATTATTTCTAATGTTATTCTCTATGATTATGATCATTTTTTCTCTAACAATTTTTTTCCACTGTTCTTTGGTTAAATTTTTGATCTGATTTTCTTTGAGGTTAATATCAATCAGTTTTATGTCACTAATCACTTCTTTATACCAACAGTTTGGGAAATTTAAACGTTTTTGCTCTTCATAAACTATCTTGGTCAATCTACTTTCGTTCATGTTTAATACCTTATGGAAGTATATTAATCTTTTCTCTTTTATTCTAAATTCCATAGGCATCAGGCCATATTCAAGGACTATTCCATCATATGACATTGATTGGGGTAGAGAGTTAATTATTGTTACTGCATCTTTTTGCAATTTTTCTAAGTTTTTAAATTGCTTATTAGTTACGTTAGTCCATGTTTCACATGCGTACAGAACTTTTGGCATCAAAATTGCTTCAATCAGTTTGATACTGGTTGCAAAACTTTGTTTCTTGAATGCCTCCTGTTTAATAAGGAATTTTATTTCTTTAATAACTCCCAAGGCAGTGTTGATTCGTTTACTGATGCACAAATCCAAGGTTCCTTTGTTATTTTTCAAGTCCCCTAGATATTTATATGACTCTACTTCTTTAATAACTTGGCCATTTAAAATTAAAGTTTCTTTTTGGAATTTTTTACTTTTGCTATATTGCATGATCATTTGTTCACTTTTACCAGCAATTTTGAATCACTCGCATGTTGTACTTTCTCAACCGAATGTCTATAATGTTGAAACTATACGTCTTATAGGCTTTTGCTACTTCAATGCTTTTTTTTGAAAATAATCGTTCACTTCACATTAAAAAAATATATTTGATATACAAATAACCAAAAAACCTTGACAAGGAAAAAACAATCATTCAAGCAGTTTTAGGTTCGAGAGCGTCGGCTGAGTGATATCTGGCAAGATTCTGCACAGTCATAGAACCTAGAATAGCATAATTTAAGGTCTTAAATTAAAAGGCAGTAACAAAACCCTACCCCAGCCTGTCAACCCTTTATTGTGCCACTGCCATAATTTTCTCTGGGTCCACCCCTGGTGGCTCAATTTGCAACAAAATATGACATTATTTTCTTTTGCTTTAGAAAAGGGCAGAGTTTGACAGTTTTTAAACTGTCCTGCTAAAAATGTCAGGCAAAACCGTCATTTAATGGTTTTCGAAACATTTTATAAATTGTAAAAAGTCAATGTTGAAATAGGAACATCATTAAAACCTCAAATTATCACAAAAATGTGAAATCCGAAGCCTCTTAAAAAAGGAAAGCATCCCATGGCTGAAAATCAGGTCTGAGCAGAGGTGATTTAGTCTTCCTATTTCCCGAAGGGATTACTCCTACATATACTGGTTTGAGATGTGACATTTTTGGGGGTACCTTTTTTCAAGTCGAAAATAAATTTTGAGGGTATCAATTTTGGTAAAATCAGACATAGTCCAAGCACGGCGGAGCGTTGAGAAAAGTAGGGGGGTCTAAAAAATGTGGGGGGGGGGCTAAAACCGTATAAAAAAAGGCTTTATTGGTAGTTTATCACTTAATATTGTCATTTTTTGCAAAAAGTGGGGGGGGGTGGCTAAAGCCCCCTCAGCCCCCCTGCTCCGTGGTGCCTGTAGTCATAAATCTTGGGACTGATATTAAGCATGACCAGAAATTTTGGAGAATCATCTCCAAAAGAATGTTTTCATTACTTGATTGAGTTGTTGAACTTTTGCCTCAATTGATATTAATCTGGAATTTGCATTAAATTTAACGTATGCATTTTATGTTATATCTAAATTTTTGGGTTGGGTTTCAAGAAAATTTATAAACTTCAGGTGTGTCTCCATAACTCAAAATGGTACACCTCTGTCCTCTGCCTATTAAAATTACCCCCCAGGCTTATTGCTAGGTCTGTACTTATAATTTACAAAAACCAAACAGGTATATCACTCTTGTGTAACAAGCTCTATGAGAACCATTCTGCTGAAAATTTTATGACAGTGTCCCCTTTAAAAAAATTGAATGGTCGACAGTCAGTCTTGGGTTCCATCTTTGAAAGTTTTGCTTCTCTGCCTAAAAATGCACATCAGAAATATCTTCAAATGTTTTTTAAGTCCACTTTCTCTGGTCACATTGTACCCATTCTTTGTCACTCCAAGACACAAACTCCAATAAAAAAGAAAGTTGCTTTGCTTGTTACAAAGAGGTGATTTATATGTATAAAAAGCTGGCTGGAAAAATAGACCAATATACCCTGCCTTTAAATAAACTGCTAAATACAAAAACCTTGAAAAATTGAACAAAATGCATATTTACCTGCATTGGTCTCACTTCTTTTGAACACATTTGCAGACAGAGAGGCATGTCTTCTCATACCAAGTTTCCTATTTAAAAAACTTTTAAAATAGTGGGAATGGCATCTTTTTGTTGCAATTGAAGAATGATATGAAGATTATATTAGTTTATGAATTTTGCGTCCCAACTTTGTACCTAAAGCAGATGATGCACTTCTCATATCTCAAATATTGAATGTATGCATTAATCTCAGTGTCTTCATTAAACATTTTCACCAAATTTTAGCTTGACTGGCAGAAAAATATTGGCTACATGGAAGTCTCAAAACCAATTTACAGTGGCATCACCTGACCTTCCAGACTAGGGGGGTGGAGGGTCATCAATAGAAAAATTTACCGCAAAGGCAATAGAAGAGAATAATTTAGGTGTGCTATTTCACCTACTGATGCATGATTTTGTAGACAAACTGAGGATTTTGTAGACAAACTGAGGATTTACCGATGAATTCATGAAGTATGGGGGGGGGGTGTTTCATCCCCTACATCCCTGCTAGCTACACCCCTGCTATTTTATAAGAAATCTTTACCAGAAGGGTGCAAGGGAGGCACTAAATTAAATTCAAACTTTAAGCTGGGGTGCCATCCTAAAAAGTAAGGAAAGGGTTTGTCTGGTTGGCAAGTTCTAGAAGACAAACCAAAAATAACAAAAACTGCCACACCCATTAAACTTGCGTTTGTTTGTGTTAAAGATTCTCTGCTGTGAATATGAAATCATTCAAACTATTTCAACTCAAATGACTGGTAGGCTGTAAAGCTATTTCTGCTTTTATAATTTTCTTGAATTTTCAAAGCTTAAAGCTTGGCAGTGTGTGGCAACAGGGGTGTGTGTGAAAATATGTAGAGCAATTGTAATTTAAATAACAAGGTGAGCCTGGCATGATATAGTGAAGTGAAAGGAACAGAGAGTAATCTGATCCCCTGTTATTAAAAGATAACTGCAAGAACCAGTACCTAATTGGTCAACTTTGAAAATTTTGTTAAAAATGGGGCTCGTGGCAACATCCTTCAAATGGATGGGAAATTTGTTGACGACAACTATTGACCTGATGTTTGATAATGTTTGTGCAAGCTGTTCTTTTATTGCATTAAATTAGTAGTCTTAATGTGCAAACGCATTATATGCACTATTCCTCCATGATGAACATTTGAATAGGAAAGCATCAGGGGAAAAGAAATCTTTTTGTACAACAAATTAAGTAGATGTTAATGTGTTTCATTAAAACTTGGATATCCTACCTCTGAGAGCCAACATAACTTCGTTCTCTGTCGATTTTGGCCAAGATTTTCTCAGCATTAGAAAAAGTATCATTCTGAAATTCATGCAAAAAAACACAGATTGATAAACAAAAATGTTAGGTGAGGCAAAAAACAACTTAACAGCATAGCGACGCAAAGTAATCGAATGCAGAGAAAGTATTTATATAGGTTTATAGAATTTAAATAAAGTTGCATAATCTGAGATACCATTACAGGGATTTTCCTTCTAAATTTTTGATCGATTCAATATTTACCTGTCGATGTTTCTTTTCTAAGCCATGGGACACTTCATTGATGGTTTCGACAGCAGAGAGGCACCTTGACACCATAATTGAAAGTCTAACTGCAGATGGTGTATTGATAAACTAATTGTTTTTCAATCGTCGTCTGATGTACATTTTCTTGTGAGGAGAAGCTGGGAAAAAAACAATCTGACGGCTTTGTCGAATGCAACTGGCCTGACCTGAGAAATCACGCGTTGGAACAAGTAGCGAAGAGTTTTGTAGAATGAAAAAGTAAAATATCAATTGAAGCTTCTTCTTGGTGACAACAGAACTCCGTCGCCTTTTTAATGATTTTCTTGTATATTCTTGTGTGATTGATTAAGGTCCCATTAGAACAAGGAAGCAAGGTCACTTGCTTGGTGATAGTAACCAAGAAACGTTGTGCGTGAATTTAGGCAGGGGGTTTCCTACATACCTGAACTCACTGAATGAATCACATTGTGACCGAATCTTTTGAGCGAGAGTGTCTTTGAAAAGTTTCCTTATTGATAAATTACACTATTTCTACTTTGGTTTAAATGCGTTAGGCTTATTTCATTCAATTTCAATTTTTTTAAGGAGGATACCACTTGAGCAAAGTGACCCTCCATTTTTATTTTTTTCTCTTGAATTTTCAATTTTTAAGACAAATGAATTAACGTTGTTAAAGCAAGTTCATATGCTACAAATCAAAAACCTTTTAGTCAAAATTCAATGTTTGGAATAGAAGAAATTTCAGAATTGTGAGCACTTATCTACTTCATATGCTCTTTCAGATAACCCCCTGCCCTAACTCCACAGGTAAACCATACCGTGATAAGTTGATTTGTCCCGATTCAAGTGTCGCTTACTTCTATTCTTTTGTATAGAAGCCGCAAAATACACATTCAAATCATGTTTATTTTCATCAACCAATAAATAATTTGTAAGTGATTTTTTATTGTCTTTTAGTCCAATCAAAGCTTGTTATTTATTTTAAATCCATTACGTCATTCTTCGTTTACACGCGGTTATTTCGAACAGTGTTGTGCATATGCTGATGAGTCACTGGTAGACCTTCTACTACAACTTTGTTATAAACAACAAAGATGTCGCTGGAATTCACGAAGGATCAGCCTTTGCTTGCTTCTAAGATCAAATGGACATCACAACCATCGGTAAATGTCTTATTTTCGTAATCTCAACAGTAGTTCTGTAGACGCGCGAGTTTTCGCATCACGCACAAGGCAAAGACCTGTTTTAGGCCACATTTGACAGTAAAAGTACATACTGCTTGCTATGTTTGGATTGGGAAGTTTTGCTGATTTTGCATAAGAAAGTTCATTATGATAATAAAATGTCAATTCTTTACATTAAACTTTGAAGTGAAGTAGCAGCATTAGTTTCTAGGCCTATCAGACCTATTATGGATAACGCCTCATATTCCAAGAATTCTGCCTTATAAACAATACACGCCTCCTTTTCTTTATCAAAGTGGTTTTTGGCCTGGAAAATGTTTTAGTCCAGGAGACTATGGTAAGATAATTTCTTTTCTGTGAAATTCAAGTTAAAATTGTTGCCAAGGTTTCCCCACCTATAACTGTCTCCTGTTAATTTTGACATGAATCTATTAACAGTTATGTAGCCATTTAGATTGCTAGATGTTTTTGAGAAATATTTTAAAATTTAGATTTAAGATTGTAGTTATGGACAGAAATACAGCTTTTCAGAGGTGGACGCCTTTTCAAATTTACGGCTTTTTGACGGGATGGCATCCAAAACTTGAACCTGAATGTTGTCAGTCAGTAGGTTGTCACATTTGGCAATTTTTGATCAATTGCCTAATTTTGGTTCCAAATAAGTAACAGATGGTGCTTCAGAATATTTCTCTGATATGCATATGTAAACCCTCTCTTTATGGTTTGAAATATAAGACCAGTGATGCAGTTATTATAACTTTTTACAGCATTGAAAAGAGTGAAGGCATTTGTGTTTCCCCTTTCTTATGAATTCTATATAATCTTTGAAACTTTGCACTGCAAAAGGTTTGTTTATTACCAATTTATTTTGCCAAAAGTTACAGCATCATAGAAGCTCTACTTGAATCTATTGACAAAGTAAAGATTGCACTGATTTCTGGTCTTAGAAAAATTTGCTAAACCAAGTAAAATATATAATTAGAGGATGTCAATGTTTCATCTCTGTTAAACAGCAATTTAAAAAACTAAAATCAAAAGGACTCTCTGGTAGTCTGAACCATGCTGTTGGGAATCTTGGTAAATTTGCATTATACACCAGAATACAGCGGTCCTACTTTGAACTTTAGGTATAGAGCAAGTTTTTGCTATCAATAATTTGGAATGTAAATTATGAAAAGGTGCTGGGGTCATGGGCCCCTAGCCCCTTCATGGCACTGCTCCTGAGCACACTAGCAGAATCCAAATTTGCTTTTCGTGTATAATTTATTTACAGTATAACCTTGGAAAAGTTTTGTTTATTTTGGTCTTCAACATAGCTAAATACTTGCAAGCTTCTTTGATGTTGTAGTTTTTTTTAAATAAATTTTCAAGGGTATAATCACTCTGATAAGTTATTCTGGCATGCAACTGTGGGAAAAAGAGAAAAATTGAAAATGCATCATCTATCAATTGCTGCAGACCTCAAACCTCTGAAATAAGCTTCAATAATTTCGTTAAGGCTAGGGATTGTTGCACTTTGTTATAAAGGATTTTGGCACAACTCACAAGTCTGATTATTCGTAAAATTCAACCTTTGCGAAACCTTTGCGCTTTTGGCGTTTGCCTCGTTTAATAAAAATTTCAAACGAGACTGCGTCATAATAGCCCGTTTGTTTTGAATCTTTGAATCGACTGTCCATTACTTTTTGGGCTGTGGCTTCCATGGACTGATGGACTAGCGACATTGATTTAAATCTAAATCTTCTAGTAAGTTCTCATCAAAATTATTTTAGAAAAGCGTTGTCTTTACGAATGGTAAGTTTGTTTTATAATTCATTTGTTTTTAAAATGCTGCTGGGAATTTTATATTTCCAATTGGTTCTGGCTTCGTGGTTTGAACGCCGCTGGTAGAGTGGTCGAATGTTGTTTAAATTTCTTACGCATTGACAATACTTTATTTTGAGACCATGCTGTTAGGTCGGACGTTTTGTTAGTTTATTTTGAGTAATGTTAACGGATTAGAATATAAACTGCTCATTGGCCAACACTTGTAACAAAGAAAACAACTAGGAGGGATGCATGTCATTAATAATTAACGGTAAAATTCCAATCTGCAAATTGAAACTCAGCTCTCGATTCATCTGGTCCGATGCACGAATGTTGCCCTGAGTAAATCTTTCGCTCCAAAAATTACGTGTCACGCATACTTTTACAACGAATATCGATTCATTCAGAGTTTGTTTTTGAGAGGTAAGTGCGTAATTTGTTCAGAAAATAAGAGTTCCTTTTTATTGAAACGGCATCATATTTTCTGACGTTCTTTGACTGTTTTCTCTTTTCACATGGCTTCTAGAGGACCAATTGTTTCAATCAAATGCTATTTTTTTTACTATGATAGCCACTTCATGGCTATTCACTAAGTATTTTGATTTACAAAGGAGAAAATTATGTGCTGAATAAATGACAGGGGCAAGAGGATATATTTTCAAGATATTGAAAATACAAAGATGTCAAGAAGACTATCAGATAGAATGTGTTGTATTCTTGAATTTCTTGATAGTTTTGCATTATGTTGTCGGATTGATTAATAAATGAACTAGGTTTATAGGTAGTCTGATTAACAGAAAACTCTAGATGTTAATTTACAGCCTGTGATAAGAAGAGTAGATTGAATATATCCATACCATTCAGAATATCAATGCAACCTGAATTTATTAGAAAACTGATATATATCTATTGCCTGGCAGATCTAAAATGAAAAGACTTGGTTAACAAAATTTTAGGCTTGAAACTTTACCTCAGCCTTTAATGAATTTTATAGCTGCTTAAAATGGCATTTCCTTCATCACATTGTATTTCTTGAAAATCAGAAAGTCTTCTTTGTCAGAACTGAAATATTTTTGCCTACCTAGGACAAGTGTCACCCATTAAGCTTTGACACAACTGCAGAAAACAAGGATCAGAATAAATCTAAAAAACTGATGCAAATCTTGGTGTTCTAATGCATATAAGGTTTTATGCATCTAATCATGCTATGTATGTTCCAAATTGTTGATGTCTGAATTGACTCTCTAGATATTATGCTTTTCTCTGGACATTCTGATTTCTGAAGAGACATTATGCTTTTGAACTAAACATTTGATTATGGTCCTTCCTAGCTAGAACCAAACAAGCAGATCAAAGCAACCATGTCAAATAGCAGCCAAAACCAAAGATCACCATCTCCACTGGTAAGCTGCATTGGTGCTATAAAATTTTCAATATGAAAGAGGAAGATATTTTTGTAGAATTAGGTGATATCCAGTAATTTAATTTTCTGATAAGTCAAAATACTATTAGTTATTTTAATGAATTTATTTCTGATTTTGGCCTTGTGGGTTCTCCATAAGTCCTTTGTGCATTCACAGTTATTTTTTATTTTAGTTAGCTCAAAATGTGTGGCTTTTTCAATTAAGGTTGTAACTATTTTCTGAATTAGGTTAAGTTCAAGTTTCAGGCATTCAAAAAAATAAACTTTTTCCATGATCAAGAAATTTGAATGCAGTTTGTATGACAGAAAAATGCCACATGGACCTGTAGTTATTCCACAGAAGAAATACTTTTGTATCCCTCTTTTTAAAAATTCTGCTGCAATGAATGGAAAATTGCCTGGGTTTGATGAATAATGTATGATAGTTTTGTCTTTTCCTTAAATATCAAATCTCGAGTTTTCCTCTGACTCAATAAAGCTATTGAATTCAGTGAACAGCTATTCCTCAACATTGTTTAGCTATCTTAAAAATGTATTTTTCTTTAGATTTTTGCTGTTCTATACTATTGCCATGCATACCTACAAAATTCAGACTTTTGAAAGCATTTATTTAAGATGTCCAAACCATAGAATCCCAGCATTTTCATGGAAACTCTAGTTTAATCAAACAATCTTCTTTCCACTGAAATGTAAAAAACAAGTGAATTATTGACCAAAAAGTTTTCAATCCCCCAGTTAGAAAGTTATCCTATCAATTGGTTTACCCATAAAAGTTTGTCAATGATTTCTAGAGAATTTTAATATTACCACCTGTACACAGTTCACAACTGTGAAAAGCTTTCTTCAGATCATAGTTTGCCTACTATTGAATGCATGCTATGTATAATGGAATATCATGACGGATCATGAACTTCCAAAAAGAAAGAAATTTTTCAAATTTCCTCCGTACTTTTTCTATTTCTACTTCAAAGGAAATTTTGATTTTTAAAGGGCAGCGGCTAGGTTGGTAGTGATTTGAGACATATTAAGTGAGCCTATTGTTTAAATTTACTCTTGTTGCGGTACAAATGTGGCACTTTTTGCAGAAAAACACATTTTGTATCATCAGAGAGTTTCAAATAGAGTTTGCTGATAAAGAGAGACCAGCACATCAGATTTTTTCAAATATACATTGGTAATAGAAATACTTTGAAACTGCGTTAAGCGAATAGAGTTGGAATGAATCAACACTACCATCTATATTTGCTTGTTATTTTGGTGATATAGGCCTTAAAACGGCTCATTGTAAGTATACATAATCGCAGCCTAGATCGTATTTTCTTGTAAATCGCTTTGTGGACATTATTCTTAAAACGCATACATATAACTACTGACAAGTCTTAACATTGGCTCAACCGGTGTAAACCTCTTTATATGTCCTGTTTGCAGTATCTCGCAACTGATCTGCGAATTAGTTCAATTATCTCTCCGCACCCATTACTGCATAATGTAATCGCAGATGACTTCATTAGCTACATGTTTATCATTTGAAGAATACGTCGTGTACTGCGTTACATACTGCCTATCACTTCATCATTGTGGTTTGGAACGTCATCGAATTGGGCATCTCGTGTCTTTGATTCGCGTTTTTCTGTTTGTAAACAAACGTAATGTCGACTGTTAGTCATTCAGTGCACTTCCAGGCATGTTTTATTTGCCACCTGTAATGGACGTAAAAGAAGAAACCAGTGAGAAGATGTTTTAAAAACAAGCATTATTTGATTTTGAAATCTTCTCTGAACACAAGACTGCACGTGATATTGCATCAAAGACGAATTTTTTGGCCACAGTATGGCGAACCACCTCAATACAGACTGGGTAATTAAAATTGTGTCGTCCATTTCTATTCTCCAATGCGTACTAAATAAAATTTAACGCTCTAAATGGATTCACTTTTTCCACTGAATGAGTTTTAAGCATTTTGTGGATTGTTGGCCGAATTGTCGAATAGGAGAACTCCTAGCCTAGAGGATCATTTTTAACTAGAGAGTCTATCGTCGCCAATGTCATTTTCCAACACTGGCCTAGAATACTTTTCATCTTAGTGCTATAGAGAAAATAACATATGTGCAGTCAAGACCATTCATGTTATTTATTAGAAATTTGTGTTAATTTTCCTTACTGACATGCCTTGTTATTGTTTTGTTTTGCGTCTGAATAGCCCAGGCTTTCCGAAAGTTTTGTATGCTCCATGCCTATCTTTTTGCTGTAAGGAATTCTCAGGAGATGGAAATTCCATTTCTTTTAGATATTCATACTACATTGCCATTCATGCAATCCCATTGTCGACTTTTTAGTGAAACCCCCTTTTCTGGACATAGCTGTCTTTATCAATCCAAGATTTTATAAGGTTTTATTCCATAGAAAATTATATTTTCTGTTAGAGCTTAGCATAAACAAAACTCGACTCTTGTCCTAAAGAAGTAAGTCCTAGTTGCCATTGTTGTACCTTCGTCAATAGATTGTGTTTTATATTTCCCAACCGGCCTAAACGATGGGGAATATTCTTATTTTCTTCGTTTGGTTTCAATTAAGTAGCCGAAGAAAGCTTTTTGCGGTTACAAGGTGTTCTGGTTTTCCAATTAAAGACACTGAGATTAATTCTAAGACTTCGAATGGATTACCCAGACGCTATAATTTCGAGTAAAGTGTTTTTGCAATGATTAAATTGGAGATTTTTGTAATAATTTTATCAAAATCTCTACTGCCGAAAGCCATTTTTGTCAAAATTTTCTCGTTGCTAATCGTTTTCAATTTGAGTTAGACGATTAACGATGGTCGATGATCTAGTTGACCTTTTGAACACAATATTTGTTGATCTTCAGAGTAAAGAGAATCTCGTTAACAGACCTCTTCATTGGCTTTCGCTTCGTCGCTTTTAGAAGCCAACTTTGTTTTTAGCTCTTTTATTTTCAGTTTTGTATAGCCCGTACGTCTTGCTACGAAATACATTTGTTTACAGGCACAAAACAATATTATGAAGTGGCCTAACTTCAAAATAATGTTGATCAAACATTGTTCAAAAAATTAAAAAATTCAGTTCATGTATATTTAATGAGAGAAACTAGGATTATCGAAACTGTAAAGGTAGCAATATTGTGTTTGCATACGGTGCGTGTTTAACGAAGATTATAATGACAGTTCTAACCTACAATATCTTTCGATAGGTTGACAAGCCGGTTTTTAATCACAGACGTCGTAGTCCATCCCCAAAGTCAATGGTTTCTGGACGATCGAATTCTGAGAACGTGCTGGACAATGATCTATCTGCAAAAATGAAGAAAATCGTCCAGAAAGCAATGAGAGCCAGGCTATATCTTCTACACCAAGGCGGTCCGCTGACATTCCTTATTGGTGGTGATTCACCTGAGCACAAGTATCGTGTTACGATTGGGAAACAGGTACTTAATTATCTTGTAAATCTGTCTTAAACTTGTGAAATATCCTCAAAGCTTTGCCTATTTACACCGCCTGTTTTACGGAGGCCTCCAAGCAAAACCATTTCAGCTTAGCCTGTGTTACCCAAATTCCAAAAAGAGATTTACTTTTTGCTCATATTCAAACATTCACGGCCAAATAATTCCTACAATTCTTGTTAAATATTCCTTAAGCGGACGTTAATTAATTTTTTTATGTTTAGTCCTATGAACCTTGCAGCGAGAAGATTGCACCGTTATGTAACTGCTGATATTACAGGTTTTTCTTAATCCATAAGTATAGGGTTTATTGGTGATCTCATGTACCTTCATTTGCAAGAGCTGTTTTGCTTTTAATTCTTATTGACAATGTTTTAAGAAGGCTCATCTTTTTAGCTTTATTTTATTTTTGCTGCAACATTGAGCTTTTGATACAAACATTATGAAGTACTTGATAAAACACAGTGTAGATAAAAGCTTGAAATTTAATTTATTTTGAAATTTATTTCGTGATATTGGATTCTCGTCGTCGTATTGTTTTGTTCCTGTATACCTTTCATAGATAAAAGCTGTCAGGAAAATACTCCGCCGTACGTTGAAAACAATTAAATATTACATTTTTTGCAAAAAGTAAACCCAGTAAGAACAGAACAGAAACAGAGCAGCAATATTAAAAAGAAAAAGCTGCATCTTTTGGTTATGATATAAAGCAATTTGACAAGCTTTGGAGGAAAAGGCCATGTGGCACTCTCAGTAATGCCTTGGTAGTATAAAGCAATGAAATTTGATTTTGCTTGCAAGTCTAGGATAGTTAGGGTATTTGCCTGTAGAATGTGATATTGGCATTCAATGAATGATTGGAATAGTTAGTGGAAGGAATATTTGCTAGAATTGTTAAAAGTTCGAATAATTAAGCGTTGGCTTAAATGGGGATGTGTATGAAAGGAGAAACATTTTCTTTCATTTAGGGTGAGGGGAGTCGCTAGTTCTCTGTTCTTCCAGGCGTAGGAATCACGAATTCTCGTCATATCGAGAGGAAGGGGCTGGGCACTGCTCAATAAGCATAGCTTCTCAAAGTCTTAAAGCTACTTTCAGAAATTTGATAGTAGCAGATACAAATAAAAAATTCAGATCATCAAGCAGTTGAGTCACCTGGTTTTAAGTGAACCTTATTTTATTTCGAGCACAGAGTTAAACACGTTCCAATACATTAACAGCTTCAGGCAGCAATCAGATACGTTACAGGCAATCAAAATTCTTGACAATCATTCTGCCAGTTGTTATTTACATCTATTAATTTTGCAACGTCATCAAACACATGTAGTCTGCGTCAGACAAAAAGAAAGTGTCGACTTAAAAGAAGCGAATCTGCATCGATTTTCATGAAAATGTTGACTCCATACCAATGTTTCTATGACCCATCTGTAAAAGGCAATGTTGCCTGTCGATTCGATCAATTCAAGAGCTTACAAAGATAATTAAGTAATTTACAGAGGTTAAAAGCGCGACAAGCAGAAAATTGTCAGCTCAAATTCATGTCTATAGTTTAACGTAAAAGCTCTTTTGTAATTAGCCCTTTACAATGTGTCAGCAGATGTTTATAATGTAATCATCGTATTTCAGACTGGGCGGTATCTCCTACCAGTCATGCACATTGTTTGGTGTCGCCCTTCATAACAAAAATGATTAAGTTCAAGCTGTGGTTTTTTCCTAAACCGAATCTGTCCAAGGCATATGAATTTTGATTCATTGAGCGACGTTCTCCAACAAGTATCTGCTAATAAGCGAAAGAGTTTGTTTATATCAGGATACAGTTAGTGGTTTAATAAGGTTACGCAGAAGTACTGTTTTATTATTTTTTGAAAAATAAAACCAAAAAGGAAGAAATACATGCTTGTCGATGATGAATTATTAAGTGATTCATATGCCAAGTTCTGGAGCACCGGGAACAAAATTTTAGCCGTTGACATCTAAAATAGCTTTAAGAACAAAACATTCTGCAAATTTTTGTTATGGAGGAGCACTTGTTTTACCACCTATAGTTTTTGTTTATTAAATACCGTCTTTCTTTCTCTTTTTCTGTACCAAATTTTATGGTATTGAGTCTGAAACAGATTAGGATTGCCGGATAAACTGTCGTATAGGATTACTGTAAAAATTCGCCATAAATATTTCGAGAAGAGCTTTTGACAGTGTCCTGCTGAATATTTTGTCCACAATAGTTGTACCCGGTCCAGAATTTTGAAATCTTAATCGTAATTTTTGTAATGAAAATTGTCTTTGTAAGTGCTAAAAAGCAAAGTAGGTTAAGCATGCCCGGAAATCTCTTAAGTGGTTTCGCAGGAATCTATTCCCAACTGAAGGAAAAGCAAACAGAAAAAGACGCAAAGAAGAAGGTAAAAAATGAACGAAAAATAATTAAGCTAGATTTCGGAAATTGTAAATATCGGGTAGCAGAAATTTAGATGGTAATTTCGCCATTGGTTGGAATAAATAATAGCCCATTGTTACGTTTCCCAATCGGCAACAGAAGACTTATTCTCAACGTAAATCCTGTATTGCCGCTTTTTTCAGTTATAAACGCGACGCTGAGCCTGAAAGATTGATTGACGGGACAAAGTTCCTTTAACCATCAGCCAACAGTTGTCTACATAACAAAGTTTTGGTGTTATGTTTGATAGTTCTGATTCTGTTCTTTTTACTAGTCCTGCAGCTGTGGTAAAGGCCCCCATTGCATTCACGTGTTATTTGTCATGCTTCGTGTGTTTCAACTGAAAGAAACCGATCCTTTGCTGTGGGCAAAAGAGCTGAAAAATTACGAGGTACGAGCTGCGTTTTATTTCATCATTTAAGTAGCTTGAAAGTATGGTAATGTTGCTTTTGTTCTCCTTTGCAGAAATCTTTTATGTCTCTGTCTAGCTATAACCAATTCGTTCATACATCAGCCTTTCATTGTCATCATAATACCAGAAAAGGGAACGGAGATGGGCAACATTCCCTCTTTCGAGAAAATTAAGTGCTTTGTAGTTTAGTTGACTTTGCTATCTCAAGCTGGAATGTGACAAACCTGAATTTCAATAGTATTGTGCAGATGGTGTTCAGTAGATACTTTCGTCCAAGAATGGGACCTTTTTGCCTATTAAGTATTAACCCTTAGCTACTTACACTTACCAATGAAAAACAAGCCTCCCTACCTCTGCGAAGGTTTATTTTTAACTCTCAGTTATTTTCTAATTCATTTCATTCAACCGAAAATAACAACATTTATTTAGTAGCTAATTAAAATGACTTATAAGAGTCTTTCAAACAGTAGTACTAGTCAGTTTAGCATTTTGCGAATAAACATCGGCATGTCAAACATAAATCAATTTACAAAGAGCACGAAAAGAAAAATATCATTAACTTAACACAAGATTGCTAGAGCTAATAACTCTAGCTAGAAAATGAAAACCTAGACATAAGTTTGGCATCAAGTGAAATGAAAAATCACCACTACAGTACAGATGCTCTGATATCCTAAGGGGAGGGGTGGGAGGGAATTCTTATCCGCAAAATAGCTATCGACGTGTGAACTTAAAATTTCAGTACAGACTATTTATACTGACACAACTTCACGTGTAAAACAACTTGAAATCACTTTCACGCTTGCAGCACAACTCTATTGTAACCTTCTTGAAGACTCTATTCTCTTTCTTCTCCTGGGACTAAATAAATTCAGTGATGTTCTCTCTTAAGGTGGAAAGTCTCTTCCGAACGTACCACAAACGGCTTGCCAATCTTGCAAAAGGAAAGAGGCAGCCTATAACTGATGGAAGCAAGAAGTCGTCACAACAAACCGAAGTGGCATCGACATCACAGAGCTCCACCAGTGGCTCGAATTCGCTGCCAAAAGAAAAAGATGATGACGAAACGTGTCCGATTTGTTTGCTCGAGATGGTCGAAGGCGAAAGTATGACTATATGTACAGAAGGCTGTTTAAACAAGCTGCACCATCACTGCATGTCTATCTGTAAGTTGTTATTTGCAATGTACTATAACTCCTCCTTGTTTGTGTTTAAAAGCTTGCAAAACAGAATTATACCATAGACAGTTGCAGTTGAGCTCATTTTGTTTACGATCCAGACTTTGCTCACACATTGCTACTCTACTATACAACTAGGGGGGGATTTTAGCTAGTATAAACAGCCTTTCGATTCCTCTACCTTTTTGAGTGCTAAAATGAATTATTGACAATATGCTTGTTATCGTTGTAGCGCCTTTTGTTAATGTAAATGTCTGTTTTAGGGGCACAAGAATGCAAGAGACGTCATGAACCAATGCTCTGCCCTCTCTGTCGAACAGAATGGAAATCAGCAAGGAAGCGAGCAGCAATGCCTGTGAAAACGAGGTAAGTTTTACGAACTTTTAAAGAAGAGTGTTTTCTATCTGTACCAAAATACTTGCTCCTCAATTTTGTACCGCGCTTACACTGAATCAATCAATAAACTACTGCCAAATTCCAATAGACAGTTTCGGTATCCCCAAATCTGAGAAAGAAGCAGAAAAGTTCCTCATGAGTCATTCATTGAACTGTCCTTGCCTTGTATGAATATGTTGTTTCTGATTTATAAAGGTTCTGTTGTTATTTTTCTACATAAGAACAATTTTCCATAATTTGTCACGCTAGATACATATTTTTTGAGTGTTTACATCAAATTATGTTGATTGGTTATGACATTGCTTGTTCGTTGTAAATTGATAGTTTATTATCAATGGGTAGTTCTGTATCAGTTTCATCATGTTCCTTACTATAGCGAGATGAATATACCTCACAAGGGTGTAACCTTAATTCCCCTCTTTTCAACTGTGATATATTCTCCTCCCAAAGACTTTGAGTCTGCACGCGTGCTACCCTCCCAGGGCCCAAGCTACTCCTTCAGGGGTAGCAAAGAAACAATGGAGATAACAGAAAACATTCTTTTTCTACGTTTTTTGCATTATCAGACCACTTCTAAACGACTGCCATCGTAATATTATATAATATTGCAACGTGGCAATATTTCATGATATTGCAATTATATATATTTCATGATATTGCAATTATATATATTCATTCTTGCAGATATTCTATATGCTTGCACTCAGCATAAGTTTATTATGGCTATTTAGAGCACGGGATTTCTATAGGCTCCCTCAAGGTTCAGAGTTTTCATTTTTACTATTGGATTGTTCCTTGTGGTTTTTTAACAAGTATGAACATTGTTTTTATAGCTTGAATTCTCCAAGGATGGCAACAGTGCTGGGTGGAAGTCAACAACGAGAATCAGTGTCACCAACTTTAAACATTGTTCAAGAAGATGTCGGCCTACCTAAGGGAGAAGTTATTCCTGATGATTCGAGAGAGTTGACACAGTCATGGGTGCAGGTGAAAAACCTTTCTATTTACCATACTTGTCTCATTTATGCAATGCCTATAGACTAAATAAATCAGAAATGTTTGTATAGAAGATACCGATAAAAATAATGTATATGTCAGATAGTTTTCATACATTGACCTTTCAAAAGCAGTTAGGACTGCTTCCCTCGTTTTTTTATTTTGCCATAAATCCATATGTTGTCAATTTACGTAATGATTTTGTCTTGATATTTAGGGTTTAATGTTCTTGAGACTTTTGAAGCTTTATGGAACTTCCTCCTCATCCTGAATAGAATTAGGATTTTTCAGTAAGGTTTGACATAGAACTTTTCAAATTGGTCAGTTTTTCTCAAAAGCTTTTGTACTTGTAAATAAATTTAGCACTCACCGACTTAAAAATAAGGACGCCAAATGGTACAACAGCTTTCTTCAATGAATTAAACATTAGCGTTCACACGCCTTCATTTCATCAACACTGCATTTTAGATATTCGGGAATGACATGGTTGCCTGTTTGCTCTCGAGAGATTGGAAAAACAGAGAGACAGGATTAAAGTACATGAGTCGCAAAGTGACAAAAGTTTTGAATGAGAGACGAACGACGACATCTTACCAAGAAACAAGATGGAGTGTTCTAGATGTTTGCTGCTCCGTTCTGAAGCACATGTCAAGTGATCCTGTGTACAATGTTTATGTTGGAGCTCTGGTAAGCTGATGATTTCATATTAGATGCTTCTTTGGTGCAAAACTCTAGATACGGATCCTAAATTCAAAGCAAACATTTAACACCTTATTCCTTCACCATAATCAAAATAAAGTTACCTACCTCAACCATGATCAGATTGGCTCTGCTATCTCACATGGAGACCAAATCATAGCAATTGCAGATTACTTCGCTAATGCCCCCCTATAAACTAGGTGGCAAATATGGTTTTTAAGTTCTGTTATATATCTTTATCAATAGAACATGACATACTTCATTAGTATCTTACAATACAACATAACCTTTATTGCTATCAAACTACTAAACAAAATAAAGGATTATAGATAAATTTAAAAAATATTGAACAATAAGGGATTGAATTTGAGTTCTGCCTGACTTTTCATAACAAATATTCACCCATTTATATATGCTTATGAAAGTATTAGAATGATGTGAATCAATCCACATTTAAGGTTGAGAAGGTCTTGGTTGCTTTTATCGTAGTGTTCTTTATAAAGTTGTTTACCTCATCGAGCACCTGGCTAACTGCAAATTTTCTGATTCTTCGAGTCTTTATGCTCTTTAAAACTGTTCTCCCATATTGGTTTTAAAATTCCTTGCTCATTTTCGTTTTTCTATTCCCTGTCATTTGCAAGTCAATGATTTTATTCCGTTGCTCTTCATTATTAGCGTACCTTTCGAGCAATGCTAAGCTGTGTCAACGTGCGCCGTCATGACGACGTGGCGACGTTTTACGAGATGGTTCAACCAGTCATCGAGAAGATTATTTTGAAATGCGCTGACAGTAATAGGTGAGAAATTAATGTGTACCCATTGTAAAAAGTTCCACACAATTATGTGGTGTTATCAGATTTTAAAATTTGTCTGCTATTTTCATTGTATAGGAACATCAACATGTGACGAAGGAGTTGTTGATAATCTCCTTTAGGCCATCTCCTGTTGCTACGAATTTTCATTCCGACTTCTATGGAAGCTTTACAGTAAACAAAATGCCCCTCTTTTCGAACAAAATTTTCTTTCCCTTTGCAGTCATAAAAGGTGATTCTGTGTTAAAGTTTCTAGCCAATTTTAGTGCCATCACACCATTAGTGCAAATAAAATCAATCTTCTTAAAACCGTATTGCTAAGTGAAGCAAAATCTTACGGCATTAAGTCTTTTAACCTTTTGGTACTGCCTTGGATGAAGGAAAAGCACGGCCTTTAACTTCAACGCGGACTTTCATAAAACTTGAATGCCAATTGCAATTCCTCACAGCATTTTAGAATTGATGAAATTCTTGAAGGAGAATAAATATTTGTGCGCTATTTAACGTCTTGCATCTAAGCCAATACGAAAGTTTGTTTGCGACAGTAATATGTTTTTGGGAAAGCTTAAAACTGGTCAGTATATTTTTGAGCATCATTAAAAACTAATATCTAAGTCAGATTCTCTAAATCCAAAGGCAGTCATATCACCGAATCGTCGTTTAATTACGCCTTGCTTTTTATGTGTAAACATATCGATCGAAATATCATTGCTTCTTTTTTGTCAATACATTAGAACAGCCATGAACAGTGTAGAACGCAGATTTCGATTGTTACCAAACACTTACTTTATATCAATGTTCTGAAGGTCTAACGCAGCATCATTGACAAAGCAATTCTTTTTTTTGAGGCGAGTGACGGTAGTATCATTGAAGATTCTTCAAGAGTTTGTAAAATGGGACAGTCAGCCAAGAGATAACCAAGCAGCATGCAAGGTGCAGTCCTCGGGTTTCGATTTCATAGTCGAGCTGCTAGAGAAATACGAAAACCGTGGAGACTCTTCGTGGCAATGGCGCCTCGGGTTTCTTGTGTTCTTGAAAAGAGTTTTTGATGAAAATCTAGAATTTGTTATAGGCATTCCAGAAGAGGATCTTGACGAACTATCTATTCAGCCAGTGTCATTAGATTCGGATTTTGACATGAGCAACTTTCTTGAAACCTTGGAGCAAAATATAGATCATGTTTCTGGAGAAAAGCTTTTTGATGAGGAATCTCTTTCGAAACTTAGAGCGATTCTCCGATTTTGCGCCACCTCTTCAAATTGTAAACACAAAAATGTTTGGAAGATGGCGCTTAGTCTGCTTATACGAACGACTCAAATTGTTGCAAAGGATAGAGAGACGTTTAATAGCTTGAAAGTCTTGTTGAAGAGTTTAAAACCAAATATACAACATATTCTCCAAAGACAATTATCTAGCGATAGATTAAGAACTCCGACCAGCATGAGCCCTCCTGCTGAAGATTACGCACCAGATGATATGATCATAAACGAGGCGATTGATCTCGGAGCAGCTGGAACATCAACTCCTGTTCGATCAGGAAGCCCATTAAAATGTGACAGGCGCTCTGGCACAGGATTTTTAACACCACCACCAACCCCTCCAAAGTCTGAAAGTGCCACTGCTTCGCCTCTTGATAATACAGATTCACCAAGGTCTAGACTGAGTCAGTTACGAGAAATGTATGTTCCAAAGTGCGAGGAGCTAGTGGCACAAGAAGAAGCTGAAGCACTTGCTATGGCTATTAACATGTCACTTACCAAAATGCAGTCGGTCGTTCCTGATCAACTGTCCCAAGGGAAGGATGATGACATCATAATAAGGGTGCAACCGGAAGTAAGTAATTAAGAATAAATCCTTCTGGTAACATAAAGCTAGCTTTCTGCTTTTGCTATTTCATATTGCCTTTCTTCAACCTTAATAACAAACTTCTTTTCTAATTTTATTCAAAATCGTTAAACTATCGCAGTCCTTTGCTTTCGTTTTCAAGATGCATTAAAGGCCTGGCCGAACGAATAAAACATCCGCAAAACAGTGCAAAACATTTTTGTACCAGCATTGTTGGACGATGTTTTATGACCTGGCCAAGCGAATCAAGCAAATGTTAAAACATATGTTATGATTAAGCGCTGCCGCACAGCTTCCTACAGTTACTGCGTCGCATTTGCCAAATTTTAACCTACTGCGCTTGCGTACGTAAAACAGATGTTTTAAGAGATGGCCAAAGGAACGCAACATTGTCGATCAAACATGAGAACAAAGGAGATGTTTTACGAAATGTTTGATGGAAATCAAATTTTGCAAAACTCTTTAAAACATCGTAAAACATGGTGGCCTAACGAATAGACATGTTTATGCAAAAATATTGGATGATGTTTTATGCCGATGTTTTATTCGTTTGGCCAGGGATGAAGTAATTCTAGCATTTTCTTAGCATTGAATAATTATGATGCCCAGATGTAAGGAACAAGAGTTTGAATCGCTTATTTAGACTTATATTTTTTGTTATCAAGTGCGCTTTATCTTTAGGTCAAAATGATAACATGAATGATTTAGTCACGCGTGCTTGTCTCAAATTATTTTTTGTACGTTTTCAGGTTTGATTTGGTTAGCAAAATCATGTATTATTGGATAAGGTAGCATGATCTTAACATCTATAAATTAAGTCTCTTGTGATTGGAAAATTGTCTCGCTACCGTCCCGGTAGCAAAAATTTACATTATTGCGCCTATTTATAATCGCCTAATTGCTTTTTTCAGAGTGAAAAAGACGAGCATGATGGCAAGCATGTCTACCTTGAGAATAGTCAATGGAGGAAAGGGGGTCTTCTTGGAACTGGCGCATACTCTTCCTGTTTTGAGGTCTCTGATATCAAAACTGGAAGGCTAATGGCTGTAAAACAGGTATGCTAATTTTGAATGGGAAACCCGTAGAGCTTGTATTAGAGAGATTCATAACTTCAGCTGTCTGTTGCTTCAACTAAGTTAACACCATGATTTGCAGATCATATTCAAACATTTTGATTTCAATTGAAAGCTAAAAAATTGTATATATATATAAAGCCATGTATAGCTGTGCGGTGGAAAGAAACAAATAATAAAGCAAAGAAAACGCAATAAGAAATCGTCAGAAATTAGAATGTGCATTATCAATTTGATATGATAATATGCATATTTACAATCCTCTTTCCTCGCTGCCGGGGAGAGAAGGTCCTATGGCCCCAGATTGGTTTGAAACACCAAAACAGTTTTGTTGCAAAATCTTTATTATGGGTTTTTAATTTGCTCTTGCTCCCCCCCCCCCCATCCCATTTTCCAGCTTGTGCTGGAGACTTTCAATCTAACGTGCCATTATTTTCATCTTCATAGTTGGTATATCGTCCTTTCTGTAATGCAACATCACAATGATTGACATCTTTCATCATTTTGTCATTCAGGTATCATTCTATAGAAACAGTTTGACAGAGCAAGAAAAGGTGAAAAAGGCTGTTCTTGATGAGATCAATCTAATGTATCGTTTACATCATCCACATATTGTAAATTGTTTGGGTGCAACTCAACATTTGGGTCATTTCAATATTTTCATGGAAATAATGCCAGGTAAACATTTTAATAACCATTATTTTGGTGATTTTTTGTTTCTCTCTGCCCAAGCATATTGACTTTGGTTGACCTTTAAAAGACCATTGACCTGTAAGTTAACGAATTTTTTGTTTGTCATATCGTTGATGTATGCTAAGGATCTTGAAGTTGTAGGATGATCTTCTCTTTTTTAATAATGATAAAAACACAGGCTAGTGTAGGATGCATGCATCAGAACTGGTTCCTCTTCACAGTAATTCAAAATTAGTAATTGATCGTGTTATCTGACATCTCATTGTGTCATTCGGAACAACTTAATTTAAGGTTGTTACTGCTAGCATTATTTCGCAACCTTTTAATGTCAACATTGTTTATGTTTTCTGTAGAATGATTTAACTGTTCAGTTATGAGTTAATAAAAGACAAACATTTAAAGTGTTATTGCGTCCTAAGAAGTAAGTTGCACACGTGACTACGTTGAATGCAAATTGCACAGAAATATGAAGATGATTTCCGTTTGGATGGATTCATGGCATATATTTTATTGTTCATTGCTGTTTTATCAATTTGCTTTCAATGAACCATTCAATTTTATCGCAGGTGGATCGTTATCAAGGCTGTTATCCCGTTTTGGCGCTTTCCAGAATACTGTTATCTTAAAATATACTAGGCAAATATTAATGGCATTGGCTTATCTTCATGACTACGGATGTCTTCATAGAGATATTAAAGGTAAGGCCAACTAATTAATTAAAAATTCATCAAAAGTATTGTGAACATTTCTGTAGCTGATGGTTTTGTCACTCTATTCTTTAAAGCTATCTTTTTCTAATAAAAGCTCGATCCCTCTACTAGCATGGGTTATTTAAATTTTTTTCATGGTGTTATGCTGTTGTGCATAAATGTAACTAAAACGTTGACAAAATATGCAAGTAAAATAACTGCATTATTATTAGTCATGATCCTTTGCTATTGATAGGCAGCGTATTTTTTTGAAAAAAAACAAACGACTAAATCAGGAGAACATTTAATAACATTTGGAATGTATTTGAAAGTATCCTAAGCAACACATTGTAGCATTTGACGATGCAATTGTCATATGAAATAGCCGCAGTGCAAAGCTCTGTCTGCAGATCTTTCTTGCTAATATTTCTCTTCTCGTATATCTAGGCTATCACTGAAGGTTTTATATTTGTTCTTGATTTTGCTTTGTTATTTGTGACGAAATTTACCCATGTTCACCAATTTTGTCGAGCGTGGTAGCTAAGAAATAACGAGTCATGAGACTTGTAGCAATTTAGAAGTCAATTTGTAATATAGCTATGTAATACGTGCATGAACTCCTTTTCCCTTCCTTGCCAAGTTATTTAAGCGTCGTATCAACATCTAAATTTTGAATCTAAGGATACCGTTTGGATCTTTTTTAGGCGCAAATATTTTAGCAGATAGCACTGGTCAAGTTGTCAAACTTAGCGATTTTGGAACGTCTTCTAAGCTACTTGCACAAGGAACAGGCTCACATGAGTTTTGTGGCCAGCTTTTAGGGACAATAGCATTCATGGCTCCAGAGGTAACAATGAATTCTGTTTTCATACTGGTGTTTTTCTTATATGTACTACATATAACGCATCCATTCTTGCTGAATAGCTCTTAGGATTTGCCGTTTTTTATTTTTCTTGTAAAGTATTAGATATGTGAGGATATAGTATATTAACACATAAAACTTCATATCGCACCAGATTATCATATTTTGTCTGAGTTATTCAACCTTTTAGTGCTCAATATATGATGCTAATGTATTTCCAGTTACTTTGGCTTGTTGTGATGCTTTATCTGATACAAAGTGCCAAAATCTTTTCTAGCAATTTTAAGATGACAATGTTTTGATAGTTTGTTAAAAAGCTACCTTAATTAAAGCTTGGAAAGTGGAACTTTAGCTTAAAAATATAGTCATATTATAAGAGATTGCAGTGGAGACAGGATCAAAGCATTTTGATGCAAGGAGTATAACCAGAATGTTGCATAACCTGATTTTTTACAATCAAATGAAGCTCTCCTGCATACAATCGTTGTAATGATTAGATTCAAAGGTTTTAAAAATCTATATGTCTGCAGAAGTAGCAATTGAATGTTGTATTACCACCTAGGTTATAAGAGGGGAGTCATATGGTCGAAAATGTGATATATGGAGTCTTGGTTGTGTTATTATCGAGATGGCCACGTGTCACCCACCTTGGAATGCAGAAGCTGTGTCAAACCATTTAGCTTTAATGTACAAGGTAAGTTTTGAAACATCAAATGAGCTGTGGCTATTCAAGCCTTTGTGAAACTTTGGCCACTAGGTATCAGGGGGTAGTGCTATTAAATGTAGGGGGTCCTCGCAACCAATTCTTTCAAAAACGATAACCAGAAGTAGAAAAGGATTTTCTCATTAACAAGGATGCGCATCCCCCTAGCTCTTTACCTCTGTTAGGTATACAGCTACTACCTAGTTTTTACCGAGAGACTGAACTATTTTGTCGTTCAATAAGATTCAATTCTAAAGAATCAATTTTAAAGGGAAGCTTAGACTACCATACAGTGATTCGCCTCAGTAAAGAATAGTTTCAAAACAGGGGATTACGGAATGCATACCTTATTTCTAGCTTTGTTCTTGTTATTGTTTTTGTTTTTGTCCGGTAGTCCGCTGCTTTTTGTAGATAACTGAGATAAAAGTGTCTATTATTATATGAATTGTTCGTAATGAAGCTGAATTTTGTGTATCATTTTCTCCACAGATTGCTAGTGCAACAAACCCACCACCGATACCAGATCAATTAGAGCCAGGTATGCGGGATGTAGCATTGCGTTGCCTTGAGCCAAAAGAAGCTGATAGACCAGCCGCTCTCGATCTTTTGAAGCATGCCGTTTTCAGAGTTTAAAAACGGAAGAACCGTGAACTTGCTCTGGTGAGACCTTGTTTTCTATTATGCTGTGGCATAGGATGAAAACATTGATGCATCCTTTACTGATTTAATTGTGCGGTGCAACATTTAACTTTTTCATTCTATAAGGACTGGTCCATACTTTGCATTGATGCCTCAAACATTATCGGAATGATAATGTGCAAAAATGCGCGTTAGGTTATAAATGTGAAGGAAACATGCAGCAACCCCATAACGCACGGCGACACACAATCATGCAGGGGTGAACCCAATGAAATCGCCCGCATCTCAAAGTCAGGTGATGCATGGAAGATTGCAGACTCTTTGGATCTTGCAGACTGGCTACTTTTGGTCTACGGCAATCTTTGCTTACTTTCTCCCAGAAGCCAATTTAAAATTCTTTACCCTCAAGGACAGTGTTGACAAGTGTCCACTACGTAAAGTCTGCTCAAAACTTTTAAAAGTGTATCAGTTTGAGGATCAATTTAGCAGCTTCAAGGAAGGTAGATTTTGGTGGAAGGATATTGGCCGGTGATTATGATATTGTGCAGGTTATTTACTGCTGTTTGATTCAGATACCGTTCACAGTACTATCTTTTTCTAAAACGCCGTTTCGAATTTATCCATTATTGCCTTGCATTCAAGTTGTCACAGCATAAAAACAGATATATTTGGAAGCGTTGTTTGAAAAGGAGCAAAATGAAAATGGACCTGAGTCGAAATACGCAATGTCGATGCAAAAATACCGGAACAATTTTCAAATGTACATTATGTGATGACTGTGCTATTTTTTTCAAGCGAAGCAGTATGAAAGGGGACATTTTGCCAGTTAAAAGGGGACATTTTGGTAAAGAATCAAAATGAAGACAGCACAATGAAGATGGATTCATAAGAACATTGCCTTGGACATTGCAAGATCACGACATTGGCATTGAGAATGTTTACTATTTAAGAACAGGGTGATAATATAAACAAAGTTTGATGACCTTATTTGTTCCAAAATATACGCTAAACAAATTGGTGAATTTGATTAATGTGATTTGACAAATAACTCCAATTGAATGATCTTCCGGCTCTGATATTTTAAAAAAGGCGTGAACTTTTTATGTTGATCAATGGGATTTTGTCATGGTTTCAGTCTTCGTCATTATTGTCATATGTCAGGTAAGTCACACGCATGATATATTTCATGCGTGCGATTCACACCCATACCCAGGGTCCCCAACAACAAGGGGCAATGGGGCCATTCTCCCCACTTTTGCAAAACAAAATATATTTTTAACAATTCATTTGTTATGAGTTTTAAATTTGTCCCCCCCCCCTACTTTCCTACTTGTGTCGGAGTCTATGTTACCTATTTGGCTTTATTATTGAAAACGTTACTTTTGGTGGGCGCTTACTTTCAGCATTGCGTGTATTTCGGGATTTAAAAATCACACATGAATATTCATATTGCGCTAATTCTTTGATTGTACTTAGTTTCGGAAACTTTAGGGCAGGTACCTAATCATTTCAAAGAATCATAACCATCCCATCTTTAAAATAATAATTTTCGAGCAGTTTATTCAAGTTGAGATTTATCTGTACTATGGTTCGCAGTTCAATTTTGTTACTTTTCCTTGTTTCTACTACAATTAAACGCAAGTGAAAAAACGAAGGTGAAAAGAACAAAAATGATTAAAAAAATGTAAAATAACAGTTAGTCTGGGTAAAAACGGGAATGGAAAATTGTCAGCGCTTCTGCATTACTGCCTGTTCACTAGTGGAATTTGAACAAAGCAAACCAGTTAGCCCACTGACACAGAGAAATTGGGCAACTCTTTCAAACGTTTATTTCTATCACAACACCCAGGTCTCAAAGATAGACGCACGGGCGTGCGGTCGTTCTTAGCGTGAAGCTATTGTACGTGAAAGTACAGTAGCAAGTACGACTCTGTATGATAAAACCAGCTGGAAAGAAATCGTCAATACAATCTAAGGATAGAAACATCGGAAATTAATGCATTTCCCCGCCCCACATACTTTTTATCAGCCCAAAAAGACCTGCGAACTGTCATAAACATATCGCCTAAAACAAGTGCGAAGAGATTGGCATCCTGGATTTGGTCGAAAATTGATTTTTATGTCTTTGCTGTCCCTCGATTGCATGTTACTGTCCTAAATAATTTGAGTGTTGCTTTTTTCCAACTGTATGATATTTTGATTGTAGATAGGGTATGCAACAATTTTATATGAAACACAGATACTATGTTATTCCCTGTGTTAGAGTCAACGTAATTATTATTGTAAACCATTACTGTGTTCTTACTAAAAGTCTTTTTCGTGTTATTCTGTTATTTTCTTGTGGCTGTTTGTTCTTGTAGAGAACAAACTTGAGTCCCATCACTACAAGGGGGCATGTGACACACCCTTGAAAAAAATTACATTGTAAAAAGGGAGGATTTTCCTATCTATGGGTGCTAAGTCAACATATTTCCAAGCTTGTTGGCAAATGGGACTTGGAAACCCCCTTGAGCACAATAGCTAGCAACAGGGCTGATTAGGGTAGCGTGAAACAGGAAGCAGATAAGACTTAATTGCAGAATGACATGAAAAAGACTTTGAGCAAGTCACCCTTCACAGTATTTTTTAGTTATAGACCATTTGTTGTCTTAGCAAGTCATGTAAATATAGATTAATGCCAATTTGGGAGATGTGTATTTTGAATGGAAGTAAAATATAAACAATTATATTTCAACTAACATTGAAGTTCACTTGTTCATTTTTGCTTGCAATTGAAATTTTTCAACCAACCCAATGTTTGCTAAGAATAAGCTTTTGAGACAAATCAAGCTGCTATAGATATTTTTAATTAATTATATCATGAAAATAAATTAATAAGTATATCACAAAGAATGTAATAAATTATCCCTCATAACATGAAACAGAGCAACTTCGAATGTATGTTTTACAAAAAATGTTTATTATTTTGAATCTGAATCATCCTAATAAAAGTTCCTTTAACTGATATTTGTTCTTGAGTTAGAGTCCATAATTATTTCAGAAATCTACTTCTAATCCTTGAAATCTGTTGTTTCTCGACCCACTGAAATAATAAACGACTCTATTCTAAAGATTTTTGTACTCTTCTCTTTTTATGATTTCAACAAAAGTTGCATTAATGTTGTACAAAAGATTTTGTAGAAGGATGCAGATGATATAATACTGAACTTGCAAAAGTGAATAAGTGAACCTGCAAGATTGTCATTCCATTTGTTCTTGTAAATAGTGGATAAATTTGATTTTGACAGTGTAAATTAGACTTTGAAGTGATCAATTTAGATTGATATATGATGTGTTTCATTACCTGTTATTCTATTCTATTTTTCTAAACATTTTAAGCAAAATGCTTTCTCCAGTATTTGACTACAAAATAGCTAGGCTGGTGTTTTTGACTTGCTGGTGGGTTAAAAATTTGGTAAGATTACCCCTTCCTTCAATTTCTTGCTGCTATTTGTTGGCATAAAACTTCAATTTAACAAAGCCATGAGGTGCTTTTCAATAAAATGATTATTAAATTCATGCAATTTCATGCTATTTGTTAGCATAAAACTTCGATTTAGCAAAGCCATGAAGTGCTTTTCAATATAATGATTATTAAATGGCAGAAAATCATGATTTGCCTAAAGCTATGCACATGAAGCAATGCATGATTTATCAAATCCATTTTAGTAATTTTAAAAGATATCAAAAACATTTTTGATAAACACTACATTCTTGAGAGAAACTTCACAAATTAACTCAAGTATACAAAAATCCAGCATGTTATAGTTTCAACAAAAATATTGAAGCAAATTGGCACTGCAAAATTAAGAGAATTAGTGCTCAAAATGCATGCAGGTTCCAATTTTGCTTTTATATCATTGATAAATTTAACATGTTTGACCTTTCTATTTGCATTCAAAAGGTGTTAATACGGGTCGTGGAAAAGATAGGAAATGATACTTGTATGTGAAAGGTGGAAATGTTATCTTTTCAATGAGATGTGGCAATTAAAAGTGGCCAGTGAAAGTGGCAATTAAACAAGACCAGCAAAGTGACCATCAAAAGCAAAGCTGGTCCCAAATATGATATTGTGTGTTACTACTATGAGGTGCTCGACCCAATGTTGCTTTTATTCTGCTTCTTAGTTGGAAAGGTCTGGTACCTGGTAGGAGAAAATCAGAATATTGCAAGAACACAAACAAAATGAACAGATCCAAGCAATAAATTCAATAAATTACAATAGGGATGTTGGATGTTGGCTACAGTATGAAAACTAAAAAAAAGCATCAATGGTTTGCCATAGTTTAGGTTAGTTGACACAAATAGAGCAACGGAAGAAGTAATCACTTTGGTCAAATTTGGCAATCGCTGAATATTGAGGCTTCATTATCAGCAAGAGTTATCAACCTTGCAGCCTTTTGTAGGATGCCAATTGGTCTTTGTTGAAGAGCATGACTTTATCTAAAAGGCCAGCTTATATTGTCAGTCATTGGCTGAGTTATCCAATGTCATCTGCACTGGAATCACTATATCACTTTCAGACCTAGGCAGGACTAAAATTGTAGAAGAGCCATTTTCATTGCCACTTTGATCATAACTCACGATTGTTATTTGGCTTTCATGGAGACCCTGAACCATTTCAGAACTTTCATTGTCCAAAATGTAAGCCAAATTGTCTGCATTTTTCTCAATGTCCTTTGTATTTGAAATCCTATCACCAAAAATCATGCTATTTTCCTTTAGAAAAGATGTAGCCCAGGTTTTATCAATGACCATATCACCTCCAAATTCAAACAGTAGAGACCTAGTATAAAGAGAAACCCTTTTTAGATTGAAAAATTGACAAACCTAAATTGAAGGTTAAGAAAACATTTTAGAACATACTTAAACTTTTTGTCTGACACTCTTTAGAGTATAAAGCATCAGAACATAGATCAGAACACTAAACGCATATATTCTAAGTTGCTTGATGATCATCAGACAACTTGATGATCTGAGAAATTGTATTCACATTAGCATAAAAACCTTAGAATGATCATTTTGCAGGCAAGAAATTACTTCTACCTCAGCCTACATGGCATCAAGTACTCTGTAATAAACAAGGAAGAAGTTATCTTAGTTTATTATATGCAAATATAAACAAACACATGGCTATTGAATGTTATTTCTGTTGGAAATTTGTCTGTGGATAGTTTGCTGGGGTGCATTATCTGTCGCGTTTATCAGAAACTGTTTTCAAAAATTATAAATCTATAAGGCGTTTTCCAGAACTTATGGCTTGGGTTATACCTAATGCAAAATCTTTTTTTTAAATTTTATCTTACTTCACATTCTTTTATTTCTAGAAAGTTGAAGAACACAAGGACACGGGGAATAAAAAGCATCAGGTCTCTGAAGAGCCTGCTAAATTGAAGATGGGTTTTGTGGCTGCTACGTCCAAAAGATGTGCCTGAGAGAAAGAGGTTTCTGGTTTAATTTCACCAACACTTATTATTCTTATTATTTTTATTATTGCTTAATGAAACTTTTTATCTTTTTTTGTAAATAAGAGTTTTGAATGTCTCAATGTTATCATAATTGATAAAGGAAGAATCATATGAAAATATAAATTGTGAAAATGCTTTCAATGAAATTTTTGTTTTGGCTACATCAAGTGCTTTTTGGCAAAGTTTGAAACAAAGTCTTTGCACTTAGAATCAAATAAAGTTAATATGAATAGGATATTTTATAGCTTTATGCTAAATAACAAATGTCAACTTTTTTAATTGAGCTAGTAAATATAGCTCAAGGACTGAAATTAGGATTCACCACTGCCAATAAGGAAGTGGAAATTTGATCTCACAAAGTTTAACAGGTAATTATTGTATAGATAGAAAATACCCTGTTTTGATAAGTAAAAAGGACAGAAATAGAAATGTATGCACAAAATAAGCATGATATTTTGCACAATGCTGCTGCCAGGTAGATTGTGGGGTAGTTTCCAAAAGAATTTGACAGCAAGTTCCATAATTTAGGACTGAGTTTGTAGAAACCACATGTAGAAAGCTTTCAACTTCTTGAGAACAAGTTGAAAACATATTATGCTCTGTTCACGGTTTGATGGTACAAATAGGAAGAGGCACATGTCATAGAACAAGAGCACTTTTTGAAGAGGTTATCCTTAGTTAAAGAGATGTGTGACCCTGGTGCACCCCTGGTTCCAATGCCCCAATCAATATACTTTTTAAGAATACCTGTTTTCAGTCATAATGACACCTTTGGCGATAGCAATCACAGCTTTTGTGTTCAGCATATTTGAGTCTTTTTCTGCTATTGCTTGCAAGTATTTGATGATTGTCTCTTTTATTTGTGGATCATCTCTGTCTGGACGAGCCCTTTTCTTTCGTTTCTTTCTTGGTAAGTTGTTTATCTCATTAGCTATACTTGTTATTGGGATTATCTTATCTGTCAATGTTTCAGAATCCTCATTAAACTTGACTGTTGTTACTAAATTTAATTTATCCATGTAGCTTCTATTCACTTCTGAGATTTTATCTAAACCTCCATTATCCTGAAGCTCGCCAGCTGTGCGCTTTTCTAATTCTTCCTTGAACATGTTTTTGAAGCCCCTAACCGTTGACTCAGAAAGACCTGGGTAATCTTCCTTTAAGACTTTCAATGCATTCATATTCCCATTTTCAAACGCGAATTTCCCGATAGTTGCTCGTTCCTGTGCAGTATATGTCCGGTACTTTCCTCTTTGTTTTCTCTCGCGTTTTTCTACAGTCTTTTTATTTTTGGCCATCTCTTTTAAATAGAAAGTCTTGAAACTCCTGACAGTCGATTCTGCCAGCTTCAGCCCTGGGTTTTGTGTTTGTAATTGCCGCATTGCCCTGGTGCTTCCAACAGCTACAGCTAGCTGGCCTATGTTGCTTTTTTCTTGCGGTGTAAACTTGTGGTAGTTTCCTCGTCGCCTTTGCCTGCTGTTATGCCCATTATTCCCTGCAAGATCTCTAGTCATTTTTTGACAACCATTTTCATCTCCATTTGATTGCTGTTCGGTTACATACTTGCTAGTATCCTTTTGTTTCGCTCCATGGGTGCAGCTTTCCTGCTCCTCATTCTCTTGGCCAGTTTTAGCTTTAAGTCTCACATCCACTTCCTCAACTTTGACGACCTCCATAGATTCTTCGCGCTATTCCGCTCCTCCTCCATCCGCCATTAAAATTTGCGTCGTTTCGCGATATTATTGCGCATTGTTTTTACGCCTCCACCGCCTCCGCAGTCCATATTTCTTGGAAATGCTGTTCTCGTGGGCACGAAAAACGCTAGACTTTTCATATGGGTAAGCAAAAGCTGGACGCTGGACTGAAAAACATAATTTTGAAAAGTAATACCTGTCCGTGGATAAGATTCTGAAAAAATGAGACCTGTCCTTGAATAAGATCCAGGAAAAAAATGGTTTCACTGATTTGTGTGTTTGTTGTTGTTTATTATCGTCGCGTTGCGGTGTTCCTTATACACTACTATTTTATCGTTTTTCGCCGCAAGATTTCCTCCGGAGTCCGTCGAGCAGCCTGCTATCGTGGCCTCTCCTATTTTCGCACACTAACAAATGGTTTGCCTAAAAATAATTTCAGTGATAATACCTTTTGTGTATTTGAAGGAAAGTTAATTTCTTTTATTCCCTGACAAATCTGACATGACCTGAAAAAAGCATCTTCAATATGCGTGCAGTTCCTGTGCTGGAAAAGAGAGACAAAAAGTATAACCATTTCCCAGGTTTTTCAGACATATTCCAGCAGTCATTGTATTGAGAACCCCCTGCCCCCCTTAGTCAGAGACATATCACTGCATACATGGGGCATTGTTACACCATACATGGGGTTTGGGGTCCTAAACTGAGGTGTCAAGAGGCAGTGTTGGATAACACCCAATTCAAGCAAATCTGGCACCGCACAGCCATTAGTCTAGCAGGGGCTATAGCCCCCCTTTTGGCTATAATAGGCTAGAAAACTTGTAAAGGTTTACATTAATGCAACTTTGAAAGGATCCTACGTAGTAGCAATTCATCTTGACTGGGAACCCTTTTTTGCTCATTTTCATCTTGATTGGTGTCTTATCTTGTTAAATCGATTTTTATAGCTATTGACATCCTCTCTGAATCAGACTGCTTTTAAAAGGTAAGTGGAAAGAAATAGAAAAGTTTTCTAAAAGGGACCTTTTCCACCATTCTTAAGGGTGTGGCCTCAAAAAATTTCAGGCCATGTCCTCTTAATCCCACCCACTTTTAGAAAGGTGCATGATGCAAATGCTTACAAATCTACAGTTTTGTCCAACACAATTTCCCCCTTATAATAAGGACAAATTTCGAAAATTTGTGCTATTGTACTTCTATTTCAAACCCATTATCTTCATGCAAATTCCTTTTTGTCTACAGGTTCATGAATTTTTTAAACAATAAGTCAGTCTAGGCTGGATTATGTTGAAGATACAGTCAACTCAGCTTACAATCACTTGCAGTCAATTTAACAAAATACAAAAAGATGGACCCAGTTGTACAAAAAACTGTAAAATTTAGCTCTGCTTACAGTCACACACTGCTTACAGTCACAAGTTTTCAAGCAACATTTGTTGTACTATCAATAAATTCAAGTGTACCTTTACAGTATCAAGGGAAATACCTTCTCAAGTTTTCAACAACAAAGATACTCCTTAGCCACGATTAGTTACTCATCTGAATTGATATAGGAGCAGTAAAGTTTACAGCTAATATTTTCCAGTGTTAAGTTTGAGCAAAAGTCTAGGCTCATGCTGTTCTAAGCTTAACACTGTACGGTGACTGAGCATATTTATTAGACAGCTATAGTCAAATAAAAATGACTGAAATTTAAGTGCTTTAAGAGCCTTTTGGGGTTCAACCTGCCAGGACAGCACTGATGCAACCAAACATATTGGAGAGAAGCAAACAAATTAAAGACAAATCTGTGTAATTCCTCAGATCTTATTCAGATTGGGCTTTTATTTTACAGAATTTATGTAGATTTTTGAGTGGCTGCCTGTCCTTTCCTCTTCTGAGACTTGGCTTCTGTTCCTTCCCTAAATCCATTTCTAAACTTCCTTTGAACTTTCTTCAGGTACCTCATTCTACCAGTTCCGGTTGTTCTTCTTCTCTTGGCTTTCATACTCCAGTTAACTATATGTAAAGAAAATTTCATTACACTTGGCACACAAGCACCATTCAATAGCAGTAAATACCAATAAAATATGAAGATCTAAAAATCATTCACTCCACTAAGGCTCAAAAAATGGCACAAACCATTAAAATGAAACATGTAAGAATAAAAAATGATACCATAGTAATCATTAAAACCATGGAGATCAAATTTATATTGTAAAAGGCACACATCAATCAGGAAATTGGTCAATTTCAGTAGATATCTACAGGTATACCCTGTTAATAAGTATGTATCAAAGTATGATATTGTGCGAATTGAGGCTGGCCTAACTTTTTTGCAATTGAGGCTGGCCTAACTTTTTTGCAATTGAGGCTGGCCTAACTTTTTTGCAATTGAGGCTGCCATTGTGATACATACTTTCAGACTGGAAACTTTGTCGCAAATCCCTCAACATATATAGCCCATGCACTCAAATTTTATATTGGCATCTGTACACATTGCTGCACAAAGATCCCATTTTATAAAATTTTACATTTTTACCTCAAAATTGAACATGTCCATGCAAAAAGTTTACAGCCTGGACATATTTCAGTGGTGTGAAATATATTAGTGATATCAAGTTTAAGATTATGGTGAAAAATGTGGCCAGGTCTTAACTTAAGACTTTCAGAAAGGAGAAAATAGTTTTCCAACGATGTTTTGCAAGACCATCAGGTTGGCACAGAAAGACTTTCTGTGTTACCAGGCCAGCTTTCATGTCAGCATTGATACTTGACACCGTTGATTAAAAGGGTTGTGTACAGGACTACATACACCTGTTCAGAAAGTATGGTACTCGCACAATTGATACTTCAAACATGACACAAACAACGTTTACACCTAAAGTGGTCGTCAAAAATCTGCTGGCCCCTGAGACTATTCAGTTAACAATGCCAACATAAGCAAGTCTATAGGCTTGCTACCTTTTGAACTACAGCATAACAAAAAAATTAAGGAAAATTTATTTGCCCAAAGGGACTATACATTTATGAAAGCAAGAGGGGGCTAGACCAGGATAAGATGGCACTCAGAAAACTAAGGATATTGTGATTCTTTGAATGATTGGCATACTGATAGACCAAAAAGTGTGAAGTTTTGAATTGCTAGTTCTGCATAATTTGGCAAACTGGCCATCAAAGAGAATAAAGTAGGCAAAATGTCAATCTTACTGCTGTCATGAATTTGGTGCAAGTTTTCAAATTTTGGTATGCAACCTGCATCTGCCATACTCTCCTGTCTGGCCTGAGAGTGTATCCCATGCTAAACTAATGCTGGAAAAACTCTAAAATAGTCATTTCCATCCCCTGCATCTGAATGAAAATGACCTATCTTTCCATATACAGGGATGACATGTTAACTATTAAGGTATCCTTTAAAATATGTCTGTAAAAACACCTCTGATATGAAAGTCTTGAATTAAGCAACGAGGTAAAAACTATAGTTGTAAATAAATAGTAGTAGAACTTACACCCTCGTCTCCTGGCAGATGGGTAGCCACATTGGGCGCAAGTTTTCTTCTGAATATGAAATGCTTTTCGGCCACATCTTACACACAAGGTGTGTGTTTTGTTGTGTCGCTTTCCAAAGCTGGATGTTCCTTTCGTCTGGAAGATTGAAATAAATCTTAATTATTGCGTGGAAAATTTAGAAAGTCACTACAGATAAGGTTCAAATTGTAGTTTTGGATAGTTCCTATTTCATTAAAATGTAGATGTTTATTGAACGGGAGAGTAAGGAACTTGACGTATTCTGACACACAAAAACAAATTAATTGTTTGGTAAAATTCCAGTTGAAGCGATTTGAGTCAATTTACAGTCGTACAATACTTTTTTATACTGGATGATAAAGGATTTAGAACGTAAATCGTGAACTGACTGGGCACCTACCATCTTGACTGTACAGAGGAACCAAAAGGATGCTTCGAAGGTGGAAACGAAAACGAGGCTGCCTCAGGATGGAGAATGAAGAAAGATGGCGAGGAACTGTGAAAAACACTTCGTTGGTCTTAATAGAATTTTCCTAGAAGAGCAGTGGAAGAGTGAGTTTATTTGTTTCTTGGGACACTATATGTATATAAATTTAATTTCTCTGTTGCAGCGAAATGTATCGTACCCAGGAAAGCTAGATATCATCGGAAAACCTATTTTAAAACCGTACACAGTTCACTTCATGAATTCATTCACTTCATTACATGAACACAGTTCAATAAAATAGAGGCTTGACCCAGGAATTTGTTCTGATCAAGCATCTAAAACACCAGCTGAGCTGCTAGCTAAACGATTTTTGCTACAAATGCAAAGTTTTCAAAGTATCTTGGAATGCCCTCCCTGTAAATCTATGGAAAGTCTTCCCTGACAAATTTTCCAAAAGTTTTGTGCATTTATTTATGTTCACGAATTGGTTTCCAATGTCAAATAAGTTTAATGCATCAATTTTCAGTTTTTTTGGAGTGGAGAATGGACAACCTGTTAAATCTCTGTGTCAATTTTGATATAAGCCAAGTCGTCAGATGCCTTTTCATTGAAAAGGATATCTCCCTGAAGCTCTTGGTGCTGGGTCTGCAGTATCCTCAAAATGGTGCCCTACATGGCAAGTTAGTTTATGGTGGTGTCTAATGTATCTTTAAAAATGGCTGGCAACAAGCCTAGCTGAGAGTTGAAAGCTGTAACATCAACATCACCACTGTAATTCAATTTTAGGAATAAAAGTTCATGTTTGAGACTGTCTTTTGATTGCAGGGCATTTAGAATTAAACATTTCCTGCTGCTTTCATGCTTCAAAGCTTGGAATAAATCAAAGTTCTAGTGATTCTACAATAGGTCTTTTGCAGTATCATGAATCGCAGTATCATGTATTGCAAATCTTTTTCTTGGTAATGAAGGCACACCAATAAAGCTTTTGTCTTGTTTTCACCAAAATTGATGTGTAGAACAGCTCAAAGCAATGGTCATGCCTAAAGTTGTGAAGTATTGTCTGCTTCAAGTTTTGACACAGCTGCTTGACACTGCTGACATGTCCAGGTCTTTCCAGGAAAGACGTGTGATTGCACTCGCACACGCCGGTACACACCTCCCCACACTGAGGAGTGTGTTAAATCGCATGCCTATTTTTATAAGCTAATAAGTTGACATAAACAATAAATTGTTTTTTGTTTTTATTTTGGTGTGTTTCACCGGTCTTGTCCACCATCCTGGATAACCGTAATCATTTTGACTTCTTGTACAACTCTTGTATGCAGTCAAACACAGACCAAATGACTGTAGCATTGGGGCTAGTAGTAGTCTGACAAATTTCATTCTTACATCGCAAAAACCATTATTATACAATTTGCAATCATCTTCTAGCCCAGTGCTCACAAAAACTAAGTCAAATTTTACCATAGACCTGTGTTAGCATGTACATGATTCTTCAATACCATTTTCGAATGGTAAATTAAGTCGAATTTTTAAACAAAAGGCTTCCAGTTTAGATAAGATTAGTGCTGTATTTCTTCTGATCTACACTCGTAAACTTAGTCAAAAAGGAGCTAGCCCTATTCCTGAAATGGGGCAACGATTACATTTTAGGCTATACTATTTAAGCCCACAACAATTAGCAATATGTAACAACGATCTGTTGCAAGTTGTGTGCGAAATATCAGAATGTCAGGCATCCATGTTCTAAGGGACTGCAGTTTTTATGTGAAAACCTTTGATGATGGCTCATGTTGGAAAGCTTGCTTTCTGTATCATATTGCTTTTACGCCAGTGATTCCAGTATCCAGTTGTTACCACCAGCTGGGATAAGTGCAGCACAATGCAACACTTGGGCTTCACTCTCTGGATTTGAAGAGAGGAAAATCTGCAATAGAATTTTTCTGTTTTAGGCGTTTCATGACACTAAAACGTTTCATGACATTTTCAAATAGTGCGTTTTCAAATTGTGCTGTTTCAAAATTGTTTTCATATCCCTTTTGATGAGAGACGATTGAAAGTGGGGGCCAAAATATTAACTTTTTCAAGGGTTTCACAAAGACTGCCACCATGGTTGGTGGCAAGAGAGATTGCAGGGAACTGCAAGTAAAATATTTTCAGCAACAAATTTAGTTAAGATCCCTGGCAATATCCATAAGCTTTCCTTTATCGTTATGCCACCAGAAATACTTGTTGCTAAAGTTATGTGAAAACTGAAGAGATGACTCAAGAATGGGGGTTTTTGAAGTCTCTATATACTATATATGTAAACCCTTGGTAGAAATGAGACAAAACACCAATAGCACTCCATCACACCCCTAAAACAGTCTAGGGGTGCAAAATGCCACACTTGTGCTAATTTTTTCCCAGGAAGGCCTGCATGTCCCTTTCCTGTTTGTAACAATTTGTCTCTTTCCAATGTTTTTACAAAGGATTATCCCTGTGACCAATTGTTTTTGCAAAAGATTTATTCCAAAAAAATTGAAAGTTTGTCATTTGATGTTTCCAGCCATTGATATTTGCTTGGACACAAGGATCCATTGTTCTCGATAAGAATTCTTTCCACAACTTCTTCACACCATAGTCTCTAAAATTCTTTGAAAACCATTAACCAGCAAGGTCCACCTTGTCGTGCTGAACTTTGTCAACCCCCCTGACACCTTGTCAAAATTCTGTTGTTGGTTATTTTGTATCTGATGTATTCAAATTGATCTGATATATCTTATAGTTATATAACTATCTCATATATCTATGATATATTTAAATGGACCTCATAACTGTGGATTGATGATCGTCCTCTTCTTAATTTTTACATTTTTTGGCCACTAGTGGAGGAGCTTTAGTCCCCTCCCCCAGCCCACTGCTCTGCAGTGACTGCTGTGTTAAAATTGCCAGCCTTGGGCCATGATCTGGAATTGTATTGCAAGTCATATCATATTGTACAATAAATCGACCATACATCAGTGCCTCTTTTTTTAATTATAGGAAAGTAAAAGAAAAGGTTACAATTAGAATAGTGGTAAAAATATTATCACTGTATCTTCTTGGACAGAAGCTAACCAATATACAACATTACCTTTTAAAGAGTTTTTTGCACAACTTCCATCTAACTGTTTTTTTATTATTACTTTTAGAGGACAAAGAAAGAAAAAGGCCATATCTGGTAGGCATTTCTAACTCTACTTTGAAGAATTTTATTTTGTTTTCAGTTTATCTCACTTAGAATCTACTCAGTTTTTTTTGCAAAATTGTATTCCGCAGAGGACTAATCATTTTGCATAAAATTAACATGAATCAAATAGCTAGCACAATATATTCATTAACAATGCCTGAAATTTATTACTACAAAATGAGATTTTAAACTAAATCCAGTATTACCTAACTATCAATTATATATAACTTTGCATGAAAAAATTTAAAACATTTTAAACTGATTACTTCTCCCAAGAAAATTGTAACACAACAAGTTACATACATTACTTCTCCAGCAATCTCTCAACACTGGTGCAGAAATCAAGAAGTGGATACCAAGTATAAAAAGAGAACTTAACTACTGCTTACAGGTGAGGTTACTGCTTGCTTTCAGAAATCCCAAGCTTATAGTTGCAAGTACTTGTGGTTGAAATTCATCAGTATATGGGAATCACAACACTTCCTTTTGAAGGCCAAGATGTTGTTTGATTGCAAGTAATTTTTTTCTTAGCAACTTTCTGGTGCAAGAGGACATGATTACACAGATGCAAAGATAAAAGAGTTTGAAGAGAGGGTTCAATATCTTGAAAGAGAACACAAGAGGTATGATATCAAATTGGAAGTGAGCTTGATCAAGCATATAGGGTGAATTTCAAACTTAAGGGACAAGGCAATTCAAGGGCACCTTGAATGCACTCCTTGCTGCATGAGGAGCAAATTGCAGATGCCTATTTTGTCAATACGGTTTTCTTTACATTACTTTTTGATTTATTGCTGATAATTGTTTTAGAAACAACAATTATAATCAGCTTGGTTGTCTGTTAAAAAAATGCACTGGGTAGTTAAGTTTCTTCATTTATTGTTTAAACATAGATTTATTCAAAAATTGCGTCAACTGGATCCTAGCTCAAGTGGTGTACCATGGGAAGCAAGACCATACAAAAGAAAGAATACACAGGTATCTCTGTTTGGCCATGGCTATCTTTCTAGAGAAATTTATTTCAGTTTTAATTCACAGACGAGCTTTTTTTTTATCCTCGCCACCTATATGACTTTGAAAGTGGAGAGTGGTTAGGGGGGGGGGGTGTTGGCAAGAGTAAGGGCAAGTGAAACCATAGGCTTATTTATTAAAGATTTTCACCCATTCTCTTTACTGGCCCCATGCCATCATGTTGTGTGTTTTCATATTTCATACAATATGTTCAACCGTTCATCCATACATTAAGTGACTCAATGGTGGATGTTGAGATTGAATACTGCAAAATTGTTTAACTAACAAAAAATTTAACTGTTACAATGCTTTACCGGTATATCCAAGTTCCTTAACTATCACTAAAGAAACAAAGATGATAGAATTGAGAGCTCAGACCTATAGCATTAGATGAATGACGATGGATTTGTTAAAGTAATGAAGATTTTGAGTTACAGTCTCTGTGTAGTGCATTAGAACCAAGATCACAATTTTAATTTCTTTGCTTATTCAGTAGTCTAGAAACGATGTCCAAAAATTTCTTAAATTCAGGAGGAGATTTTTAACTGCCTCATTTGGTATATTTTGTCCTTGTCTCGATTATCAATGAAAAAAGGCAATTATATTTCCTTTAGCTTTAACTGGTGGAACATCCCTTGCAAAGGTAGAAAATTAGCGAGATGGCAATGGTTAATGGAGGCGGAATGTTATAACCCTTAATGGTAGCACTGTATTTTGTCCATCTGGCGTGTCTGAGTGCTGCCTCAAGTATGAATTTCTCAGATGTACCCCACGTATCTTCAGTTCATAACATATTTACGAACTGGAGCTTCTCTAACAAACACCTTGCTTTCGAATCTACCTAAAAATTCAATCATAGTTCTAAGTAATTGATGTTTGTTTTGAGTATAGAATTTATGGTTAAAAATTTTCAGATTTTAAAAGCTAGTCTTATTTGAAAGATTGATGCCAATTGCAAAGTTTGCTAAATTTATAGTTATCGGCAGTTTAAGCCTGTTGATTGTAAAAATTTTAAGGTTCTTTGTGATTATCTCCACTATCATTGTGATTTTTGTTTTCTTTCAGGATTCACACTGCAACAGGAGGCTGGGAAATTCGAAGGCGAAAAAGAGGACTATAGAAGTATGTCAAGAGCTTTTGGACGAAGAGGTAAGCCTACAAAATGATCTAAGAAAAAAGTCGTATTTCTTTCTAATTCAAATGTGTTTCTTGTTAGTTGGCGTAACCAGTCTACAAGTAATGCGAAGGTGTTCCCAGTTATCAAAATGATATTATAAATAGGCTGTAGAGTTGTTAATTTGTAATTGCTCTAGACATATCTATCATGAATGAAGATCATTGGAACAAACGATTTTGATACTAACAGAGAGATTCTTAGTTCATAAAAACATTGTAGAACATGTCTCTTTTCATGTGCTCGCTGATAACTCATTTGATTTTTACTGCCTGTGGTGATAGTAAACTCGCTTAAAAGATATTTTTTAACAGATCCAGGCTGATTTTGAAGATGGCAAGGACTTATCACCACTGCTTCCTGCCATTGCCAGTAGCAATTCAGAACCACAAGATGAAAAATATATCTATACTAAAGAAAAGGTAGTTTTACTTTGCCTAATCGTTGTCAGAAATTTGTATCAGAATTTACTTTTTCCCAAGTGTTTTCACTTACCTAAGTTCCTAATGTTCTGATATTTCACAGAGGCAAACGAAACAGTTCTTGTACCAGAGATTTTGTAGTTTAATTCAATAATCAAAGGATGATTTTTGTTTTCTTCATTTCAAATTCATTTTAGTAACCTTTTTAAAAAACATTTTACCAGTTTTGGCCTTTCTTACTGGATATAAACCTCGTACCAATTTTCAGCAGCATTTTAGCGGTTAAATAACAGAATTGATTATTTGTTAACTTATATCTGGTCGATGAAAAGAAATCCGTCTGATCTATGATGTAACATTGGTTTTCAGCATCAACCAAAATTAGAAGAATCGACAAAAGCAGAAACGTCTTGTCTTGGACTTGTATGTTATGACTCTTCGGACTCTGATGATACATAATTAAAAATGGTCTGTTATTTTGAGATTGCACATGGAAGTGTGTTTCATTTATTTATATAGAGATGTCCAGTTGTAATATGACTGAAGAAAAATTTCTAGTAAAGTGCCAAATTCGTGCCATTAACAAGGGGACATGCGTATTAAAAAGAAAGCCTGTCCTGATTAAAAAAACATGCATCAGGATGGCAGGGTATCCCCTCTCTTCGTTGCCTTTAATTTCGCCACCGAGTACCCGTTTCCTTTCCTGGCTGGCTTTAGGCCTTTCCAGTGTTGCCGCCAGCTACCCGTTCACTGCTGGAAAACGATCGTCAAAATCACGGCCAGACGACCTGAGTACGAGACAATAGTCTTCGGCATTGTTGTTAAGTACTCTAACCTTTGGCACTGCATTTTAGGACTAAGAACAGATAACAAAAAGGAATTTTTAAAAAAGGAATATTGAACGAGATTTATTTTTTTCTGGACATATATAAAGTACTTATATCAAGTAGTTACACGTAGGAGTATGGAATGATGGCGTCGAGTAATAAGTGACTATGTTTACATTAATGCACATTTGAATTAATTATTTGATAATGTAAATGCAGTTTATATATATAGGGAATTGTAAAATAATATACGAGATTACTGCAGACTAGTTTCGACCGTAGGTCGTAATCATGGCAAACTAAATGTTACAGAATTTTGAAATGCGTTATATAATTATTACTTGATATATGTGACATTTGATTAATACAATGATAGATATTCTAAACCCATACCCTGGGAACGAGACAATCAAATTGAAAATGAACGAATGATAAAACTGGGTATAAAAGGGGTATATATTTTTCAAAGTTTGACAAAGGATGATTGATTATTTGGTTAAGGCCAAGTGGGGTTAGTGTTGTAAGTTCTTGTATAAAGTTGTAATAATAATTTGTAATAATCATTATTGAAATGTTTGCATGCTGGTTTAGCGTTAGATTTGGAGTCCTGACGGTGGTCATTCATTCTCAGATTAAGTGGGGTTTCGGACTTACCTATGGTGGCCCAGCATTCTCATTCAAAAAACAGAAACATATTCTATGAAGTATAAAAAAATCACAGATATTTGTGATATATTTGACATTAAATTCAAATTATTTTCTTGAAGATTAAAATAACATGTCAAAAAGCAGAATAAACATAAGAAAAAAATTAAAGAAACATTTCCATTTCCAAGTTTCAAATAGAATTTTTTCTTTTTGTTTCTGAAAATCAGATTGAAAGTTGTCAAAAGAAACAATTTCGTTTTCATTTTCAAAATGAAATGTCACGATCGGCCCAGCGTTCTCATAGACCACAATGCTTTGCAAGAATAAGCGCCTCATTTCCATGCAGCTTTTCGCGCCCTTTTTGATTTTCTAAATAAATTACCTTTGGCTTATGTAGCCAAGAAAGGGAGATTTTGCTCCATATGGCTGCAGAATATAAAAGAAATAACGAATGGACAGAGGATAACGAACTCCAAAAATTTATTCGCTGTATGGTTGCCAGAAACTTCGAAGAGCTGAAATTCTTGACTTTCTGCCAAAGGATTTTTCTCAGTACGCTTGGAGCCCTGGTACATTAAGTAGGCGCATGAAACATTTTGGAATAAAATTTGTCGACTACGATAAAACTGTAGATCAAGTGGGTGAGGCATTTAATGCAGAAAAAGATGGTCCAGATCAGTTATTAGGCTACCTTGCTATGCACAAGAGAATCAGAGAGCAGTATGGCCTTCATGATTCCAGAGGACTCGTTTACGATGAAATGACCCTTGATGACAATGAAGGACTAGTTCAACGGAGAACGATTGGGAAAAAAAGAAGGGGTAAAGTTGGAACATTCACGTCATTGGTGCGAGGTTAACTTGTTATTGAATTCATAGGGCTGGCGAAATAGAGGACCATGTCCTCATTTTTACAAAGCTCTAAAGAACTTTTCAGTTAAAAATAAAAAATATGAGTGTACACTCTTTTTTATAAGAAATTAGGATATTTTTCACTACTCAAAGTTTCTTTATTTTTGGCTAATTAGGGTAGAGTTTGGGAATTAAGTAGTTTGGGAGGGAAGGCAATTAGATCCACTATTATTGGATCTGAATAGGTACCCAGTACCCTTACTACCCAAACTTAACCCTTGCCCTAATCCTACCCCACAGCTGCACCTAACCGAGCCTTACCCCACCCCGAGTGCACTTCCTGCATCTAGGTGCAGAGGTCTTCTGGTGCAATGTCTGGCGTAGACTTTAGATAGAATGCATCCTGGCAGAAATTATGGAGGGCTTGGAGGGCTGAAGCCCCCTAAATTAAAACTCGAATTTTTGTTTCAACTCTAACACCCTTACTTAATTTATAAAGCCCCGACAGTGAACCCAATCCAAGTAAAGTGAACAAGCTTGAACCGCAAACCTCAAACTAATTGATATTAGATTTATTAAAAAAAGAAGAAAAAAATCCTTATCTTTCCGATGTGGTATCTGTTGAATATTTGTGCACAAGGGACCTTTGTTTGAGACAAGCACGTCACACGTATTGACAGGGAGGCCAAAATGAGCAGCACAAACACCCTTCAAATTAGGTAGAGTTATTTCATCTAACTCAAATGATACAAATTCGCGTGTCTGAAACGGACGATAGGTTTGCTTGCTGTCGGGTTCTGAAGAAAGCTTCTGGACGACAATCTCGTGTGGGGCAGATCCGAGTTTTTTATTTTTATTTGATGCCTCGTTTTGTTTTTTCTTTTTGTTACTCATTACCTTATAAAGTTTTTCCCAAGTATCATGCCTCTTCATGATTAATTCAAATTAAATAGGCTACCACGAGGTATGCGTTCTTCGCTGTTAAGTGACAAGGCGAAGCAAAAAGGGCGCGAAAAGCTGCATGGAAATGAGGCGCTTATTCTTGCAAAGCATTGTGGTCTATGAGAACGCTGGGCCGATCGTGACATTCCATTTTGAAAATGAAAACGAAAATGTTTCTTTTGACAACTTTCAATGTGATTTTCAGAAACAAAAAGAAAATATTCTATTTGAAACTTGGAAATGGAAATGTTTCTTTAATTTTTTTATTATGTTTATTCTGCTTTTTGACATGTTATTTTAAACTTCAAAAAAATAATTTGAATTTAATGTCAAATTTACCACAAATAAATGTCAAATTTACCACAAATATCTGTGATTTTTTCATATTTCATAAAATATGTTTCTGTTTTTTGAATGAGAATGCTGGGCCACCATACTTACCCACGTCTTGTAATTTGCATCTTACGCAATCCACCGGGTAGACAACGTGTTGGCTTTTACAATCAACATTGTGAAATATTTTGAAGGACTGGTTTGTCTGATTGCTACGAAAATGAAACGTTTGTAAGATTTGTTTAAAGCATAAGTTTCCAGATTTAGTGTTGCAGGCAGAGCCGCGGTGAGGTTTTATGGGCCCCGGGTCAGGACGAAAGATGAATGGTAAAACTTGTCTATGGCATTTGGTTCTAGGGGCATGGGGAATGCTCCCCCAGGAATTTTTGAAAATGATGGTTGCTTAAATTGCCATGGTGGCTATTTTGGTTGCTAAAATTGCTATAGTGACTAAACTGCTCTGGTGGCAGCGGCGTATATAGAAGGGGGTCAGAGGGGCAACAACCCCCTGTAGAGCTAAACTGCTATTTTGTCGGAAATCCTCTTGTTTTGTCGGAGATTTAACATGGTTGTCTATGTTACTTCAATTGCTATGTTTTGATAGGAAAGAATTTAAAGTTGAATAAACATATGAATATCTGAATATATCAAAACATTTATTTATTTTTGTTCCGATGTCGTTATGTTATGTTAAAATTTATGAAAATAGTATTAATGCTTGTTAATTTTTAAGAAATTATTAACAAAAATATTTTTAACACTCAGGTAATGAAAGACTCAAACTGGCTCTACCTTAATTCATTCATAGACTTTTACATTATTGTTTCTTTTCATGACAGTTTGCTGTAATGGAGAGGCTGGATTATTGCTCAGAAATTTTTCAAATTGAATTATTATTTATGGGCCCCTATAGCCAAGGGCCCCCGGGTCAGTGACCCACCTAACCCCCTTCTCCTCAGCACTTGTTGCAGGGTTTGCAAATTCCCAAATGTTGACTATTATTTGTCTTAATCAGTTGGTTGTTTTCGATTCTGTTGCTTCCTAAAATGTCTTCGAGGCTTTTATTTCTCTTGTAAGCAATCACAGGTTGGTCTTTAGAAGTGTCCTTCGTATTGGGGTTTAAGGTTACGGTAAACGTTTTTGACATGATATTTGGTTTTCTCTTCCTAAAAGCAAAACTATTAACGAAATCAGATTAAACTACACATCATTCGATGCACAAGAATGTGGTGATTCCAACCATACTAAATAATTGGCAGAGATTGTAAAATGGTACTTTCCCGGCAAATTTATTGCTTAAATGAGTGTACCACCTTCAAAAGCTATTTTGTACCCTTACGTTTCAGGTAACACAATCTGACTTACAGCAGCAGAAAGCGCAGATCCTTAGCTATCAAAG